GAGATAGTAGTAAGTAGGTGCTACTAGATACCTGGGTCAGTAGAGTAGTAGGGGTCAATTATCAGGACCATCAATGCCTAGAATGACTACAAGTCTAGCTGGCTGAGTATTAACAATCTAGTAGCTAGCAAGTATGATTGTACATTTGAAAGAACCATTTCATGGGGCCCCCCCCCCCCAGCACAATAACACAATAGGCATCCAACATCTACTATCGCTAGCCATTTCCTGTTCAAGCTATATTGCATCACACATATTACCAAATCTCCTCAAATATATTACTTTGAGACATGATGTTAACGGCTAGGCACCTACCAAAGATAGCAGAACGAAAGGATCGCAGGATCGCAGGATCGCAGGATCACACGTGGTATTTAAAGTCCCACAGAACGATTAGGATAATAATAATAAGCAGAGTCTAGAATGGCACCATCTCATCAACTAATCTCACTAGAAGAAGTATTCATCCGGTCCGGCCGACCGACCGACCGACCGACCGGTCGAGCGTAATCTTCAGACCCTGGACGGGTAAATCGAAAAAAAAAAAAAACAAAGGAGGGAAATTAAAGTGATGACCTGACTGACTGATTGACTGACTCCCTCCGATCGGAGTCGGAGAGATGTTCTGTCCGTCCAATGCATAATATACTCAGTATTGTATTAGCTATCATCGTTATTTGTAATGCGAGTTTATGGACCCCCTCCGTGGCGTTAACAAGAGATCCTAAAATATAGTAATATAATAAACGATGAGAACTTTAATAGACTCTTTACTTAGTGCGAATCAGGCGTCCAACCGATAACTAACCTGTATGGAGTAGTCAGGTAGTCTAGTTAGACCAGCACAATTAGTTACATGCCTTGAAGGATTCATTAGTTAACTACTGTGTGTGTGTGTGCCATGAGTGCGTGAGTCATGAGGCCCCCATCCAGCTTTCAACAGACAAGGCATCCAGCTAGCCTTACCACCAATCAAGAAGCCTCTCCCATCTTCCTCTTCCTTCCAGATATTGATCATAATAAATTACGGTACTAGAAAAATCATGGGGAGAAAAGGGATCGGATTTCACCGACATTCATTCAGCTTGTCCGACTCCGTATCTGCATACTACACTACTGTCTGCCAATGCATTAATTTATTTTCCTCTTGAGCCTCCTGGTGTCACTCATACTTGACGAATTCCACCCCTCCTCCCAACCAATGCAGTTCTCTGGCAGGTGAGGTGAGGGGGGAAGAAGGGAGAGGGGGTGGGTAACATGGGCTTTCAGCCTATACGAGATGGATGGATGCATTTCTTTTCCCTTTCCCCTCACCCCTCACCCCTCACTCACTCCACCCACCAAGTCAAGTCAGGTCCCTTTGACTGCGTCTCGTCTCGACTTTTCTTGACTAGACTAGATTGTTTTTCTTCCTTCGGAAATCCCTGGCGTCCGCAGCCGTTCGGGCTTCTGATGTATTATGTTGCCCATCGCGCATCCCTCGTGTAACTTTAGCCTGGTTGCTGCAACGCTAAGGATTGGAGTGGATAATCCTGGTCCTGGTCACTCTGAGCCTCCTCTTCATCCATCTATCTACCTCCTTGACTTAGAAATGATGAATACGATACGTAGATTGCGATAAATGATGCCCTTGGATGGTTGGTGCCAGCGAAACATTCCCTCCGTTTCTGAACGTTGTACAAGACTCAGGATTAAACTTGGGGGGAAATGGAAAGAAACAGTACGGGAAGGAGAGTATACATCACATCGCAATCAAATGAATTAGATTTAGATTTATAATCGAAAGAGAAGTAACAGTAACGTTTATTTAACTCCGAGACAGAAGCCAGCATTGTGTGCATGTGTATGTGTGGCTGCAGTAGACTCGTAAATTTGAGCCTTGTTCAACTATACTTTTATCCTATCCTATCTATGTATCTAACGTCTGCCACGCTGTCTGCCTGTCTGTCGGGCATGGTCTGGTCTAGTTTCAATTCTACCTTAGGCGTGCAGCGGAGCAAACGTACATGTAATTTACAATTTACATTTAGATTTGATTTTGGATTTTCTGCGGCTGTGACTGTTGCATAACTCAGCGTTGCATTCGTTTTATTTCTTTTTCTTTTTCTTGATTTTCTGCTATCGCCACTCATATGTATGTCTGTGGTATACAAACAAAGAAATGGAGGGGATGAGAAATTGTGTCTTGACCATACAGCTTTACTTCCGGGCAATTACCGGCCAGCCAGCCAGCCGCATCTTAACCCTTAAGGTGAGCACATCATGTGGACAGTAAGTAAGTACTGACTTGCATGGCAAATAAGAACTGAATCTGGTAGGTACGATGCTTGACGCTAGGGGTCTGAATTTGACAGAGACTGATTGATTGACAGACAGCTATACAAGTGATTCATTTGCATCGGACAACCCCGATGCAAGAATATGTATGTAGTATGTGTGTGTATGTGTGTATTGAGTGCTTGCTGGTAGTAGCAGCCTTGCGGCTTTCATTATTATTCTCACACACAGAGAGAGAGAGAGGTGGAAAGAGAGATTCGTTATTCGGAGCAAAATGGTGTATACTCTACTAATCCTGCAGGAGCCAAGGAAATCAGATATCTTGGTACAAAGTATAACCTGTCCCCCGTGTTGGGTGTAGGTAGATGGGCGGGCCGCTACGGAGTACATAGAAGGCTTAAACTGATCAAAGTACTTACATACTGTCAGATGTATAACTAGTTAACTAACTAATGGTTGATTAGTAAATCACTTAAAATCGATTGATAATCTGAGCTAGGATCTATCTCTAAGTAGAAATCGAGATGCCAGTACATATTAGTGTCACCTCAATGTTCTCCAAAGGTACTCACCCAACTCGATCCAAGCTCCATATGCAGTAAACAGTAACTAAAAAAAAAAAGAAAAAATCAAGACAAAGACAAAAGACACCAGCAAGCGGGTCAAGTCAAATTCTCTAGACTCGAGAGACATCTCAGAACCAGTCATCGAAGCACACTACTTACAACCCTGTAGGACAAGTACCACGTCATGCCGGGAGCTGTGGAGGCGCAGCAGCAGCAGCACACATGTTCGTAACTCTCTCTCTCCTTCCCTTCTTGATCTTCTTCCTGCTGCCGTTTTTGCGAGCGAGACAGCAGCAAAAAGCAGAGCCCCACTAAGTACGAAGTAGAACGAAGAGGGAACAATTTTATCTTATTTATTTCACTCACGTACTAACCAATTAAGGAAGGGAGAGCGACGGTGCCGGTCGGGCCAGCATCGATCTCCCGCCCATATTTCCACATTCCAGCCTTTTTATTTTTTTTTTCCCCAAACTTCCCTTCCCTTCCCCTTCCCGCCCGTCGTTCGTACATCACTTTAGTAGTTAGTTAGTTAGTTAAGGTATGGAGTACGGAGTACTCCATAGTTGGCGACTGATTGACGGGGCACAGCGGCACCTCACCTACCAAAAGGGAAAAAAGTAAAAAGAAAGACAGCGGGTTGGCCGGAAGCGGGTTCGACGGGCACGCCGCGTTGTCGCAGGGACAGGGTTCTGGCCCTGGCGTTTTGGGGAGGGGGGGGGAAGGGATGCAGTGCACACTCACACACTCATTCCCTAGCGGACCCAATCATCGTATTTAGGTAGTTAGTTACTCTCTCTCTACCTTCCCTTAGTTTAGTAAGTACTTACTTACTTACCGACTCGTTCTCGCGTACTTCGTGAGCTAATAAGTTAATTAACTTAACTTTCTACCAGCCGAATCAACACTGACCTCAAAACAGACAGACGGACAAACAAGGGAGAGGAGGGGAGGGGCCAGAGTGTAAACGCCTGGAACCTACTACCCAGCACATAGCAAGCAACGTCTCGTAACACAAGAAAACAAGATCCTACGTAGGACGTATACTATCTCCTAATTCCTAAGTCCGAGATCCGAGCGGATAACTCCGGTTTGGTTCAAGGTCTGGGTTTGGGTTTCACTCGTTTAATGCTTGTTTCCTCAACCTAACTTACCTCATACCCTTTTCTCTTTCTTGCCTTTCCTCTATAGTGGCCATCTGGAATGCTTACTTTTCCCTCATGGAAGAAAAAATATTAGGTAGTAGTAGTGTCTTTCTGGAAAGCCAAAAGAAAGTGTCCCTAAGTAAGACAGAGACCCAGTCAACTTATCTAGCTGGGGGCCAGTCTAGGTAGGCAGCCCATGGTCCCTGATTTAGTTTGCTGGTCTAGTAGTAGTAGATAAGTGGTTTGAGACAGGCGGCGTATCGCCGGGAATTTTCAATCCTTCGTTTAGAACAGTTAGTTCAACTACTAAGTATGGATGGATGGGGCCCGCGGGCCCGAACAATGCACAGAGAGAGCAAACAGAGCAAAGTACTACTTCGTAGAGCAGAAAGAGAGCCTTGCGATTTAATTCAATACGCAGGTTCATAGTAGACTGGCTAGTTAGCTTGGATATAGGTTAACTACCCATCTAGGTAACTAATTTGCGAAATGGCCCCCAAGGCTGTGTGTATGCCCTCCAAGTTAACTAACTAATTGTTTGTAAGTAGTATGTATGTATGGTATGCACGATGAACAAATCTCGCAACCCCGTGACTAAATTACCAAGTACGTAGTACTAAGTAGCAAGTTACTACGGCCCCCAAAACGGTGTGATTTGAATTGATTGAGTTTCTGTGCCGAGGCATACATCCCAATTCGATTTTACTTATTTAAACTTACTGTGCATATTTGAGTTATTCAATTGCCGAGGACGTAAACTAACTTTGACTGAAGAAGCCCGTGTATGTTTTCTTTTCTTTTTCATCATCATTAAGTTACTACAGGTAGATAGAGCAGGACCGTGTATGCACAAACGGACACGGGAATAAAAAAACACCGTCGGGATCGTCTCATACCCCGACTCGACTCGACTCGACTGCCTAACTACCTACTTACTAATCTCCCTGACTGAGCCAAGGTACACTAACATAGGTACCTAGCTTGTAGTACTTAGCTAACAACAGTGGATGTGAAATTACGCTTGTTTGGATCCGGTAAACCACAAACTGGTCACTGGAAAACGAATTAATTGACCCATTTCAAGTAAACAGTATGTTTAGGCCACTAAAACTGGGCCTACTGGTTTTAGTGTCAAGGGGCCAAGCGCAACCCCCCCTTAGGTTCAAATCCACTGCTGCCCCAGGGTTGCCATACGAGCCGACCAATCAGCAGGCACAGCCATCGGCGGGAGGCGAAAGCCTCCCCGTCCACGGTCTGGGTTGGCAGTTACCCACTTTGGGACCGGAGACATGCGCGGGGATTTCGGGATGGGTGGAGTTGCCGACAAAGTAACTTTTTGGGTCGCTGGCGGGCCTGAGACCTGACCTGACCTGGCCTCGGCTCGATTCGAACTCGACGAACTTCTAGATGGAGGATAGTGGCATTGCATAGCAACATGGCTTGGTTGAAGCCAGACTCGATTCAGAAAAGTATGGTAATCTATCTTTTGAAACACACGGACGGACGGATTGATCGGTCGGTAAGGGGAAAAAAATAAAAAAAAAAAAGAAATGAAAAGAAAAAGAAAAGGAACAATTGCTTTCCCAATAATAGCCAATTTCCCACACACGCATACACCTGTAGCCTTGTTCCACCCCACCACCCGCTCCCTCCATTTCATCATAAACGCCGCAAAACATGCATCTATCGGCTTGCACAAATCAAATAAATCTCAAAGCAATGCGCGGGACCCGGGGTGGGGTCCTTTCTGGAGCGCAGTCCACAAAATATTCCTCTAAAGAGGAATAACAAAGAGAAGAAGAGAAAGATGCTCACAAAGGAAACAATATCCTCAATCGCAAACAAAAGAAACATAGAAATCAAAAAGGTGAATCATGCGGTTACATCCAACCTTGACTCGATAATACATCATAACTGTCATTAAAGCGGGCAAGAGTGGGGTGAATCAAGAGAAAAGATAAGAAGGGAAAAAGCAATAAGAAGAGGAAGACTAAGTACCACCGCTAGCCTTCAGTAAAAACAATATCAAATCAGAACAGCGAGTATGAGTGGGGGGAACACGGGTCCGACTTCGGTGTAAGAGGACAACCTAGTAGAGGCTCTGCTGGGGTGGAAGGGGAGGAATGATCATCGCTGTAGACTGAAGACAAAGGTGGCATCTGAAAGACGGCATTAGCTCCGCTAGCCCTGGTACTCTTGCACAGATCGGCATCAGGTAGAGAGAGGGGCATGTACAGGAATGTTGTGCTCTGGAAGGTGTTGCGGTGTCGGACCCAGATCAATGCCAGCCATGGATGCATAGCTCATACTGAAGGGGCTGACAATCTCGTCATCGGCGTACGAGTGGTGCTTCTTTGCGCCCGATCCGAGTATCGGACCAGGCAGGATCGAGGGCAGCGTTGTTCCGTACTCTCCGTATGGCAGATCATTGTAGTGATTGTTGAGAGAGTGGTAGGAAGGTGGCTGTCCGTACGAATGGTGACCATAGGATTCCAAGTGGGAGTATGAGGGGTAAGAGAACACGGGAGGCGGCGAGGCTGAGAGCTGTCGAGTGCATTGCTGGGAGAACATCGGTCCGCGATCTTCCTGGGTGGAGTGGCTGTCATGGGAAGAGCCTCGTTGCGCGGAGGTGTGACGGGTTGCATCTGAGCTAGACTTGGTTGTGCGAGCCTGTTTGGTGCGGGACTTGACAGTGTGCACCACCGCCTTCGGCGACTCTGAACCCTCGTGTGACCGTTCTGGAGATGTCGAAGCAGTTGCGGCTCTCTTCTCCAAGTCTTCGAGGCGGCGCTTTAGCTTCTTGCCTATTATCGCATTCAGTCAGCCTTGTGTCGCAACCCAGACAATCAAACAGCGAGTAGGATGACTTACGGTAGTTTCTCTGAGCAATGCGATTCTGTATCCGGCGACGCTCTGCAAGGTCTGAGATCTTGGTCCAGTCCTCATTGGGGTTGGCATTAGGACTGAAAGCGCTGCTGGTGCCGTGGTTGGAGCTCCTCGAGCTCGAGGTTTGTTGATATGAGTAATTGGAAGACCGATGCATCTTGGATTGAAGTATAGTAGAGGGAGTTGATAGTATATATAGATCAAAGCTCTTGTTCACAAGAAGCAGAGATATAAAAATAGTAGTAGAAAGTGGAAAACTTTTGGACTGATGATATCAGAGGAAGATGAAGTTGAAAGAAGATGAGGAGCCAGAGAGAGGATCTGGGATTGACTATATAGATATTGAATCCAAGTGAGAGTCACGAGTCAAGGATGATCAACATCTGAAACTCAAAAGAAAAGACACAGGATGCGTTCAGTATTTAAAACTAAGCCATGGGTCGATCAGCTGGAGAACAGGTCTGTAGCTTATGCCTGCTAAGCCCCGGGTCCGAATGAAAGCAGCCCGTCCGTGATGGTCGATTGAACCGTTGCGATAGCAGCGTTAGTCCGTGCTCCGAAGAATTTATTATAATTGACATTTTCCTTTTTCGAATTAAATTATTATGGGTAATAATTATTTTTATTTTTCCCAAACCCAAAAGGATAATATTGAATTAAGAAAGGAGAAAAGAATAATAAAAAAGAAAAAAAAAAAAAAGTAATAATCAAACTGGGAATGGCTGGAAACTTGCAGGGTATGCATGGCTTGACCATGTGTTGGTAGGGAACTTTTCCCGAATGGATTGGCGGATGTGCAGGGCTGCGTCACTAATGCCCGGTGTGGACTAGAGGGAATCCTAGGGAAGGGGGAGGGGGAGGGAAGGAAAAGGCGTGAGGCTGTTTTGGCGGACCCCGATGACCGATATGGCCGAGAGAGCGAAGGCGGGAGTGGGAGGGGGGCGCGGCCACGGAGGGTTAAACAGGATCCATGATATCAGTCAGGCAGTGCTAGCTAGACCAAGCCAGCCAGCCCCCCCCTCTCTTGCTCTTCTCCCCCGGTTGGTCCACCAATCTCGACGACCATGTGGTTCCATATCGATCTGCCAGAGATAGTAAGTAGCTACCGGACAGGCCCGAATGCCTGAGAATAGGCACATTTTCCCTCTATCCAAGTATATACAGCAATCCGCTTTTCAATATTCATCAAATACACACATCAAATTGCATTAGTATAACTACAGCTGTCTACTAACTAGGCTCTGCGTTCTGTCTTCCCCCCCATCATGCAGCATTCTCCCGAGATTCTACGGTCGTATATTCCCTGTCAAATCATGCAGTGCCGAGAGGAGCTGAGTTCTGTCGGTCCAGGATTCGAAACGAATGCAACAACGGGCCCTTTCCGGACTAGTTGGATAGCGTGTCTTAAAAAGAGAAGCCGTTCAATTGAGCCAACCGAGACGGTCAAAAGCCCCAAGAAGCTACTACTGCTGCTGCTGCATGGCCATCCTTCCATTCCCACACCCACTCACCCCCTTGATGATAAGTCAACCTCGCATGTTGAGTGTGATTGAGTATGTGTGTGGGTGTGGGTGTGGGGGAGAATGGGCCCAGCATGGCGGGCTCCTAATCTAGCTACTAGCTTTTCCAACTTCAGTATATAGAAATTAGGCTTGGAGATTTGTCCTACCGATGGACGGCCTAAGAACGTAGTCTCGAACCGAGTGACCCAATCAAATTCGTTCCCTGGGCTTTGAAACGAGCGAGAAGGTGTGTGTGAGGGTTGAGTGTGCGTGGCTTAAGCAGGATGTTTGTTGGACTGGTCTGCCAGGAGGGGGCTGAAAATGAAAAGCGCGGCTTTTACAATCTAGTGGTATGTTGGGTGGCCTTGTATCAATACTGTATTGGTATGGGTTTATTGGGTAATTAATTAATTGAACAGTTGGGTATGGTTACACAACCTGTTTCCTTCTGCCTCTTTCCCGTCCTTCTTCTTCCCATCACACCATGTGAGGCAGGGCGATTTTTCAATAGATGAGAAATTTATTTAATTGTCTCATGAACTCTATAGACGTCTTGTGCTTGATGAATGCGTTTCAATAATTATGTTGTTCTGTTTCCAAGTGTTCCATGCCGATGATCCGCGGAGATCCATTACATACACACGCATACATACATACTACTTGTGTATGAAGGAGAGTTACTGTAGTCCTCAGGCAATCAATTATCTCCCAGACTGATCCAACTAACCACTAACCCATTAGCTAATGGTTCATCCTAGACCCGTAGCCCCCAAAGACCCATTAACCAGGATATAGTAGTGACTACTACCAGCTAAGTACCTACTCCAATACTACCTACCATCGTGGTAGCACTACCATCATCACCACTATTCCGGTCTTTGTCTTTGTCTTTGTCGCTTAAATCCGACAGGTTCGGGTGAACCATGGAAATAGTGGGATTTCCGCAGCCTGTGTCTTTAGTAGGCACGTTTTAATCTCCATCGTCTAGGATGATTGGCGGACGATGTCACCATCCTCAATTAGCTAGTAAGGAAAACTAATCTACTAGTAATATAGTTACCCTTCCTTCAAGTCAGATCATAATTGCTGTCGTATTAACGACGTTTTTTGTGCAGATTACCGCTGGATTTCTCTCCCCCTCCCTTCCCTTCCTTCCCTCAAGCGGCATTCCTTCGAACCATGTCTTGGGCGAACCATATGCGGAAACGGGTCATTTTGTATGGAGCACGTGGTTGTTGCCGTATACTTTATTTAATGTAGTACGCTGTTGCTCCGTGGTACTTACCTCTAGTCTACTAGTTATCTATCAGTGTCCGGTTACCTCTTTCGTATCGCCCGGCACGGCACTGTTCCGGCCTAATTGCTGCCGGGTCGTATTCGCGTATCTATGAGTTACGCTGATTACGAGTGCTAGATGCGGTTACCTAACCACTGTATCTACTGGGTTACTAGTATAATAGTAATGTACGCAGTAGTTACTACATTGAGGAATCCTTTCGACGTCCACCACACAGCCCCGGTAATGCACACATAGACGCACAGTTTCTTCAGCTCCTGAGTTTCGAGCATCACGTTTTGTTGTCTGCCTTCTTTTGCTCATCGGTCTCTGTTGACCTTACATGCTATGCAATGCATGATTCTCAAAATAGCCCCATCCAATCATGCCCGCGTGCGCCCGCTCGCGCTTATTTCCGAATTTAGATAACTGCTAGGAAATCATTGGAAAAGTGCCATCTGGGTGCCGACCATGAGGCACCGGCATCAGGCTACTAGTCTCGTTACTGAGTGACCACCTGCGTCAAGTCTATCTGCAGGTCGAGGACAAACTGGGATTGAGGGAAAAGGGTGGTGCGTGTGTGTGAAAGTGGTGAGTGTGCCTCGATTGACACGAGCAGCGCCCCTTCTAGTGCACGGTCTCGACTTCTGCCACGTTGCACCCCTCGATCTTGGCAGCACACTAAAGATAAAGATCTCACCTATTCCGAACGGGTGGTGGGATTGAGGGGAAAAGGGAGGGGAGAGGGGACAGAGACGGAAGGGGGGCCGGCGCTGCTCATCCACTCTCTTAGCTATACTTTTTCTGAAAAGTCATATTCCTTTTCCCTTATAGGTAAGCCAATGCCAGTTGCTGATTTGTTAAATGACTTGCTTCTGGAGGGTGTGGTGTTTGTTTCATCTATCTTTGTCAACCATCATGTCCATGTCCATACCTTGCCGATGCTTGGAAGTTGCAGTTGGATTGGGCGCAATGAGACATGGAGAAGGGAGAGAAACTTGCAGATCAGTTGATCACTTGATTTCCCAACTTCGATCAAGCACAGCCCGGGTTGCGGACAGTCCGGAGATGGGGAAGATAGCCTTGTTTCGGAGGCTACCAATCTCCGGCCTAGAAGTTGACTGACTGATTGACTGACTCTCTGTTCCCGCAATACAGCCTTTCGGTTGCTGAGTTGTTTTCGTTGGAGTTTTTTCCTTTCCGTTTTATTTTTAACATTAAGGTTTTTATTTTATTCTTCATTATCGTCAATTGCCATAAGAAGTCGTAATATTGTTATCCGTTAGCGCTTCTGGATAATAGATAGCCTTATCGCGAAGTGGTCAGTACTCCTCACCTCCCATGATGGGATAGATGGATGCATGCACATTGCCCCGAGATTATTGCATTATCAAGGGCCCCTGCTTGTACCTGGTGCTGGTGCATACAACATTCCGGACACTACCCCCAAGGAGGCATTTAGCTGGGTGGCTATGTAGCTGCGGAAGAGAATCACAATTCGAAGAGCCCCCAATGTCAAGGCTCTTGCCAGAATCGGGTTGTAATCTAAGGACAAGGACCCCTGCGTACTGTTAGTGGATGCCATTACAAATCAGATCGGCAACCCCCAAGGAATCCTGTGGATACTAACCGGGAGGGGGAACGACGGAGCGGGGACCACCTGGATCCACTGGTACACGAGCGGGCCAGTGACATTGCACAAAAGGCGAGAGGCTTTTCAGCCCCAAGGTGTCATTCCTCCGCTGCAATTGGCTATACGAATTACTTACCGTATTTGGATATTGGGCCTTGGGAGGATGCCTTACTAGCACGCTCCCGCGTTTTACCTCCTATGAGGCTCAATCACTTGCATATTTCAGTCTAATTGACATACACTGCCTCAGAGCCAGGTGTCAATGAGTATTCCTGTCTGCATCACTGTCCATGTGTAGGGCTGATGGCAGTTACGGTTCATGGTCCGTAGCTTATTGGTCCAACACTGAAATTCCCCAGCCTGTTTCAAGCGCAGAGGTAGTGGGTAGGCCTACTAGTACGTTAAGTCTTGCGATGAATCACATATCACATGTATTGCCCGGTCGGAATGTCTGGCTTCTGAAAGCGGCAAGCATTTTTACTTTACCTTGGCTCATGTCTTTTCTGTGAGAGTCTGCGTCTGCATATGTGTCTCCATCTGATACAAGAGATCGCAACCCATGACTCGACCCGACTCATACACATGTAACCATATCTCGTATGGGTGTGCCTGGCTATTCTGTCCTCTTTCTTCATCAGGCCTCGCGTGCCGACCTTGTGCACTAGAGCTGGGCAAATAGCGTCATCATTGGTCCAGGGTAGTGCTCGTATATTTCTGCATGCCGACGGCCTATTACTAGTGCATGAGGATGCGCCTTTTGACAGGAATTGGGGGAGCGCCTGCGGCGGCCAAGGATTGCCAGATACTGAATCGAACCTTCTGGTACATATCTAGAAGCACTGGTCCTTGGCGGACGGCACAACTGGTTGGTATGTTTGCTTGCTCGGTCGTCTCACTGGCCGGCTTCTGCGGCTTCAGAGATATTAATAATATTCAGGAATGCAGTGTGCGCCAGGCCTGCAGTAGTCTTGACCGTTAGTTTAAAAAAACGCAATATCCTTTTGGGTGCAGAACATTATCCTGAGAAAGGTTTAGTAGCTAGGAAAGGATATCGTATTGTCATTTTCAGATATATCGAACTTATAATGAACTTGTCGGACTGGAAGTTTAGTTCGGGTTAGGTAGTTGGACGCTAAGTGTGGAAATAACAAGTTAGCTTCAGATCTATGATTTACATCGAGAGGACCTTCGAGTAACTACTCTGTGGGTAGCATCTGGACTGTCCGTCTGGCCATTCCGGATGGAGCGGCCATTAATTTCCGCGCGCGCAACTTTCATTCCCGGTGGACGTGAGTCACGGTTGACAGGATGGCATGGGTTAATCTTGGCCGCCCCGCACGCCGCCAGGAATAGGAGGATGACGAAAACCCACTTGGACAAAGTACGGGGACTCCACGTGCAAAGGTCATGGCTTTTGACGGGAAGGGAGGGATGGTGCAATCCTTATCGGCCATGCTAAATTAATGCCAGCACGCCTCGTGGGAAAAAGACGGAGGCATTCATGCGACGGCTCAATGCCCGGCCTGAGGAATCCTCAAGCTTTCAGGAACCTTGTCTGACTTTCCTAAAGATCTGACGATCATTATAGTCACATCATTGTCCCCCTTCATCAGATTCAACGCGCTGCCACTCAGAATCATAATATTGATGGTATTTCGTGAAGACCAAAGAAAAAAAAAAAAAAAAAAAAAAAGAAAGTTAACTCTTGAACTAATAATGGCTGAGTAGGCAAGGTTCGCAACAATGCGTCTTTTTTTCCCCCTTCCTTCTTGGTGTTCCTCCACCAATACAACAATATATTGTTGGCCCCATTTTTGCAATAATCGATGCATTGCTATCCTAACGTGGCAGCGACATGAGGCCAACATCGCCTAGTCTTCCGCCCCCTCAACCTAGCAGGGGGACTAGTTTCAGAACGGAGCAACGGCAGAAATGGCCCCCAATTTCATACTCGCTGCTCCATATCGCAATCTTTTCTCATAGGTGGCCATGCCCACAGACCCTTTGCGCCAGTGTACGGTGTAATAAGCCGAGCATGTCTGTTACAGCTCACTCGCTTACTATTTGCGACCCATGCCACACCCTTCATGCTCGAAAGGAGCCCACCGGCGTGACTCGATGATTCAATGATCGACACGCTGAAGCTGATTGTGTACTGAGAATAATATTGACTGCATAGTTGCAACAGTGGCTTGTCGTCTTGTAGACTTTGTCTGCTGGGAGAATATATCCCTAGTGCTACCATGTGTTGATGAGAGTGACACCAATAAACGAGGGTACCAATCACCATCTGTAGATCCCACTAGGTAGTACTAGCCTTGGCCCATTAGTAGTTCACCAGGCGCAGGGGGGCACTGCTGCGGTTATTTAAAATCCAGAGTGCTAGTTATTATCATAATAACGTTCACCAGTGGAGCTGGTACAGGTCTATTCAACGACTTTGACCAGGCCTGGTTTAATGAACCTAATACTGCAGATTGCCGACACAATGACAAAACCAGGTGCCGCCTTGGGCGCTTGCTACTTTGCAGTTGCCCGTTGACTCGGAAATTCTAAAACGGACAGCCAGAGCTGCGATTTGTTGATGTCTTTGTGGTAGACAAACCACTGTGACGGGCTGGGTGCCTAAGGTGGATTCCATCCGCGTTTTGGCTGGTTGCAGGACTAGTGATGCAGAAGCCAGCACAGCAGAGCCTCACCCAAGTGCGTGCGTAGCTGTTGTGTTGTGTGAGTATAGAGGGCTGTGTGCACAGCCAAAATGGGCGTACACATATCGCAGACGCCTTACCTTGCTTGGTAGTAATTAATGATTAGTAGTCAGTCTAGTTGTCGGCCTGCCCGACGAGGGTGGTAGTACAGGTATCGGTCTGTACCATGGACCAGGAGTGTCTGGAAGGCTCCGCAACGCCGTATCAAACCAGAATGGTAACCGGTAGCAAAGAGGTTCAATGCGAGCAGTATTGTGCATACCTAAGATGTGATTTCCAATCCTAGAATAAGGTGTTGACGAGAGCCACGGGTAACTATGGCCGCCTAAGACTAGTAGTATCTGTTTGCGAGAATATTGAGGAATCATTGGAAACCCATTTCGTCAAATGTCTCGGGGACGGTGAATGTACTGTCCGAACTCCGCGGACTGTCCGGAACGGACATAGTTCTGCCGACCTCATTCCGGCAATCAATCCATTGAGCAATCAATCGAATGACTTCTTGTACGAGTGTATTGGGGACTAATTGGCCCGGTCAGTAGATTAAATGAACCCTTGTGAGTCCGAGTTACGTCAACTCCTTCGGACATCAGTTGTGTGGTAGTGGGTCGGGTTATCCACTCTATCGGGCTGCTGCTAGCTGGGAGTAGGCAGGCAGCTGCCTTCCTTCGCACGGGTGATTGCGGAGGAAGAATTGATTGATTGATTGATTGATTGATTGATTGATTGCTGTCACCTCGTGGCAAAAGCTCGGGGTTTACTGCGGCTCGTCCGTCTCCGTGTCGAGAACACACTAGATACTCACTAGTATGGACGACGGAGTACTGATGGGGCCAATACGTCCGTCTCCATTTGTGCTTTGCAGGCCTTAGGCAGTGATAGTCGACATCTCCCCAAGCCCACGATCCTGCTGCTTGGGCCGGTGTTGAAGAACATTGGTCGTTAAGGTGCCCCATCTGTCGTTTCAGATTCTGTAGGCTTCATGGCCCACTCTTGAGCTAGCACACTGCCACACTGCTCGGATGGACTAGATGTATTGCAAGGTGACGGCGATCAACATCTCTAAAATCTGTTGGTATGACGGTATGGAGAGGGTTCCACCATCCATTCGCATAGACTCCCGCTACTGGCTAAACTGCTATGGATGGAGCATTCTGTGAGAATTGAATCGCTCCATCTCGGGAAAGAAGGGACAGAAAGACTGACGGAACGGATCCTGCCGGCAGAGTAAGGCATAGTGGACACGAGACTCCTACTGCTGCTGCCAAATGCTCGAAGATCTGCTCGCAAGTGATTGTTGCCTGGATGGGGTTCAGTAGCCTGAGGTTGGTTGGTCTTCCTAGAAGTTTCCCCGTAGTTGATACTATCTTAATGCTACCCCACGGTTCATAGGGGTACACTGACTCACGGAGACCTGAATGTACCCACGGACTGGTCGGTGTTGGATAGATATCCCGTGTCCGAACACTGCTTTCCTGGTAGTTCGGGGCCGAAACCGGACAGCCACGCCCTACTGGTCTTCGTGACTTGGATCCCATGGGCGTGCATCTACTCGATTGATGAGGAGATATCCAATAATCAATGAGTCTGGCGGGATACGCATCTGGAAGGAAATTGTCGATCATCCTGTGTCGATTGTTACGACTCGAGAGTATGGTAGCTAGGATATCATTGTATAGCGATGCTATTTACAGAGACGGCTGAGCGTGCCAGCAAACCAAATTCGCCCGAGTCACAGCCCATGTCCAACACAGTTGCCGTTTGCACCTCACGAGGGGGTGAAACGCAACCAACTGAGACAGGGGACGTGCCTCAGGCGTCCTGCAGGTAATCGCTCCAAGGCACGGCTGACTACGTCTGCCATGGCCCGTTATCTGCAGGCTCCTCGCGTGCATCGCCATCATCCTTGACCTCCGTTGCTGGACGGGTGTGTATGTCGTGCAGGAGGCCACAGATGATGTTTCCGTCTTGTCTAGGATTACCTGGCAGACACCTTCAGTCCTGTCTCCTAAGAACGCCAGAAACTTTGCCCTCGATTACTGGGGTAATCCAATCACCGCTAGGTCGCAAGACGTAAGAAACAAAAAACCCGCCTTTCTTTTGATGTGATGCTCGTGCTCGCCAAGAACAATCACCACTAAATCGACGTATAGTAAAAAAAAATATAATATGCCAACAATACCGGCCATTTAATCTCCATCTATCATCAAAATATACCAGGAAAATCTAACAATGCAAGCTTAAAAGACCATTCCCATATCTCAATACCTCTTTTCGCTGATTTAGAGGACATAGCTACTGGTCGGTTAGCAAGCTGCAACATCCATAGGGAAACAGGCAGGCTCTAAACTTACCTCCAGGGGTGATCCTCATCACCATACTGGATACCCTCGATCCAGTTCTTCATCTGAAGAGCAATCTCGCCTGCTTCCTCAGTTTCCTTCAGGCCGCAGTCGACCAGCTTACCCCGGTAGCTGATTGTCCGTACGGGACTCACAATAGCTGCAGTACCGGCGCCGAACACCTCGATCATTCTGCCCTCCTCGGCCGCTTCGGCGACTTCGGACATCTTGAGCTTACGCTCGGAGATGGTCCAGCCCTTGGGCACCAGTCTTTCCCTAGCCAGCCCCAGCACGGAGTCTCTGGTCACACCGTCGAGAATTGTTCCGTCCAGAGGCGCAGTGATCAGTTCCTTCTGGCCAGTTTCCTTGTTCTTCAGGGCAACGAAGAGGTTCATGGTGCCAACCTCGGTAATGTATTCTTCCTCTCCAAAGAGCCACAGATTCTGCTGGAAGCCACGGGACGCCGCCTCTAGCTGAGGGAGGATGCAGGGGGCGTAATTGGCGCCCAGCTTCTTGTCTCCAACACCACCAGGCCAGGCTCTGACAGCATAGTCGGTGGCCTCCAACGAAATGGCCTTGAAGCCAGTGGGGTAATACGGGCCAACCGGGCTTGCAATCACGAACAGAAGAGCAGAGCCCGGGGGTCCCACACCGAGAGTCTTTTGAGTTCCGATCATCGTAGGCCGCAAGTACAGTGAGTAGCCCCGCTCGCTAATTATTTGATGGTGAGTTATTACCCTCAATCATCAATTGGTGGGATTTTCACCAACCTTGGAATGAACCTGCTTTCCAACTTCACAAACTCTCCAATCAGCTTGGTGAGGGCCTCGCCATCAAAGGAAGGCAAAACAATGCGCTTCGAGGATTTGTTCAAGCGCGCCATGTTCTTGTCCGGACGAAACAAGCGAATCTGACCAGACTGATCCTTGTAGGCCTTCATACCCTCAAAACATTCGAACGCATAGTGGAAAACACAAGACGACGGGTCGAGACTGAGGTTCTGATACGGAACAATCTGGGGAGAGTGCCACCCCTCCGTCGCGGTCCATTCAATCGAGAGCATATGATCTAAGATGGAAAGCGCATTAGAAACTGGACAGCGCTGGGAAACGACACGTGCTCGTCATACCGGTGAAGGTCTTGCCAAAGACCAAGTCCTTCGGGGCAGTCAATTCCTTGGGGGTATTCGTCTTCGAGACTGTAAGTTTCGATGGGTCAAGGGGGGCTAGTTGGGAGGCAGCAGCTGAAGTAGCACTGAAGCATCTCTTCCACAACTGAGCCGTTGCGGGAGATTGAAAGGCGCGCGGTGCGACGAGGCTTTGTAACGCCCTGCGACGAGCGAATTGAAATGACTTCATGATTGCTTTCCGGCTTAAATAACAATTCAGGGGATAATAACACCAGAAAGAAAGAATAGGAATCCCAGAACAAGGACAGCAAAGAAGCGCAGGAGAAGAACCACGACAGGAAATAAACCAGAAGAATGTACCGACAGGACCGAGGGCGGGCTGTGGAGCTTAAAAGGCGGATAAGAACGGTAGTCTATGACTCTTGCCCACGGACTACGGCACCAACTCCGAGATTAAGGTCTGACAAGGTCGATTTGGGTTCAATCATGAAGACCACACTAAGCGAACCTTTGAATCTGGGCGTCCCGCCAGTACGTAACTGGTTATCTACATGAGCAATTGTACTGGCTATATTGCACTCTCTCCAACCAATAGACTGGTGATGATTCAGACACCCCAGAAGGAGCTCTCTCTTGGTCAGTCTCCGTCTCGAGTCCGACGTCGGCGAGGCGAGTTGCCGGCAGTAAATCCGCGTTCCAGCCAGGCGGTGAGTCCGGGGAAAGACCCTCCTTCCAGTCTCATTCCTGATTGGCCGAGGAGTGTTCCTTGCACGTGATGCTTGCCGACCGGGCAGATTAGCAGCGGCCAACTGATACCTGAAAGTTACCAGAGGGGAGAGAGATATCATATTAATTTAACACATAAGAAAATCAGAGGCCGGGCTATGTATGATAGCGAAGCAACCGTTCGCCTCGTTTACGCTTGAGGAGGACTCAACTTAGCATTGTCAGCTACGCGCCCCCCTTCCTCTTTTCGGTTTCTATATAATACTATTTCTTGTAATATTTGTTCCCCTATCTTCTGTGTCCCTGTTCTTCCCACCCCCGGAACCGCATTGCATACTTCCAGTGTTTCGACAACCACACTGGACGCATTGAGCCCATTGCGGCGGATCTCTCTTTTTATCTCAGCTTTATCGTGTCTTCTATGGTGAGAAGTGAAACAGACAAAAATGTTTTCGTCTGCTCTCAAATCCCTGAGCTCTAATATATCATCCAACTACCACATCTCTCCACACCCCACCGTGATCTCCGGTCCTTGGAAAATCCACGATGGGAAGAAGAAATCTACCGGAACCACAGCGTCAATCTTCATCTTTGACAAGAAGGTTCTCGAACCGAGATCAACTGGACTTGGTAGTCGTTCCAGCTCTTCCACCAAAAAGCTGCAAGAAGATGTCGTCGAACGCCTGAAGCGGGAAGCAGGCAATCTTGCGCGGCTTCGGCATCCGTCTGTCCTTCAAGTGCTGGAGCCCGTCGAAGAGACTCGGAATGGCGGACTCATGTTTGCTACCGAACAGATCACTGCATCTCTTGCGGGACTACTGCAGGCAAAAGATGCGCAGGAGACCACTTCGAGGAGTGGCTCGAGGTCCAGCCGTTACATGGTGGAAGAGCCCGACGGCACGCGCAGGCGAAGAGACCTCGAGATCGACGAATTAGAGATCCAGAAAGGCTTATTGCAAGTTGCCAAAGGTCTCGAGTTCCTTCACGAGTCTGCTGGGCTTGTTCACGGCAATTTGAATCCTGAAGCCATCTACATCAATGCCAAATCGGATTGGAAAATCTCCGGGCTTGGATTTGCCGGCCCCGCTAGTTCTACTGAGTCGCGCTCTACTCTCCCACCTTTGGCTCTATCAGAGGTTCTCTACCAAGACCCACGCCTGCCTCAATCTGTGCAATTGAATCTGGACTATACTTCGCCCGATTTCGTCCTCGACACCAACGTCACTCCTGCAGCGGATTTGTTTTCGCTCGGTCTTATTATAGTAGCGCTCTATAACTCACCCCATGTCTCCCCTCTACAAACGCATTCCAATGTGAATACGTACAAAAAGCTTCTCAGCTCTCCATCCAGCACTCCCTCCCAAGGCAACAACTTCTTATCATCGGGCCCAATCCCAAAGGACGTTCTTTCTCACGTGTTACCCAGGCTGATAACGAGAAGGCCTGCTCAGCGTCTGAATGCGCGCGAATTTCAGCAGTCCCAGTACTTCGATAATATTCTGGTCTCGACCATTCGCTTTCTAGAGTCTCTACCTGCAAAAAATGCCAACGAAAAGTCGCAGTTCATGCGTGGACTTCAACGGGTCCTGCCAGAGTTCCCAGTCTCCGTGCTAGACAGAAAGGTGTTGGGCGCCTTACTGGAAGAGCTGAAGGATCGTGAACTTTTGCCTCTTATTTTGAGCAATGTGTTTGCAATCTTGCAGCGTATTCCCAATTCACGCCGCACGTTCCCGGAGCGAGTGATGCCTCAGCTCAAAGAGGCCTTCCCAACAGGGAAAGGTGCTGTTCAAGACCGCGACTCTAAAAGAGACGCGGGTCTTCTGGTCGTCCTAGAAAACATGCGCGTCGTTGCAGATAATTGTTCCGGAAAGGAGTTCAAAGAAGGTCGGTGAAACCGAAGACACGCGAATGAGCCATAACTAACCTTAACAGACATCCTGCCCCTGATCCGTCTGGGACTCGATTCACCCACGCACACCTTGGTAGATGGTGCAATCAAGTGCTTACCTGTTATTCTTCCGGTCCTTGACTTCAGCACTGTCAAAAACGAAGTTTTCCCGCCTATAGCTTCGACCTTTAGTCGGACAAACAGTCTTGCTATCAAAGTGCGTTGTCTGGAGGCGTTCGCTGTACTTTGTGGCGGCTCCGTGGAAAGCAAGGAGGCAATCGAAGATGATCTATCGGGCGTAAGCCAAACGAGCAAGCCGCAGTCCGTGAAGTCATCCATCCTAGACAAGTACACGATACAAGAAAAGCTTGTCCCATCGTTGAAAGCCATTAAAACCAAGGAACCAGCTGTCATGATGGCTGCTTTGTCTGTCTTCCGCCAAATTAGAACAGTGGCGGACACCGACTTTCTTGCTCTGGAAGTCCTGCCGGTTCTCTGGAGCTTCAGTCTTGGGCCCCTCCTTGACCTGCGTCAATTTGGGGAATTTATGACTTTAATCAAAGATATCTCATCGAAGATCGAAAAGGAACAGACTAAGAAGCTCCAGGAGCTTTCGTCGGGGGGAGATACTGGAGGATTCCAGAACGGCACTGGGCCTTCCTCAACAGCCTCAATCTCGATGGGTCAGTCTAACATGGACAACACAAGAGACAACTTCGAGCGTCTTGTTCTAGGACGAACGGCGGCCACCACCAATGACCAGGACATTGACCAATGGGGTAGCCTCACTCCGGGCCCTCCCGCAGTGCAGTCTACTGCTCAAACGACATCGCCTGCGGGCTTCACCTGGTCATCTAGTACTACAAGTCCAGGTGTGAAAGGGAACATGCTCCCAGCCCAAAACAACCTCAGCATGCGTTCGATAACTCCGGATTATAGCTTGAACACTTTCCCGTCCCTAGAACCTGCCAGTCGGGCCAAGTCTCCCCCGACGCCGTCGTTCCCTACACTGCAGCCTTCGCCTTCTTCATCGTGGAGTATACCGAGCCCCGCGAGCAATCAGCAATCGGCCCAGAGATCTAATGTTTCCGGTCTTTCTCTGGGAGCGCTAGCGAACATGAAGACACAAGCACCTATGCCTAGCCAACCCACTCAAGCTGCCCCCAATTACTCTGCATTTTCAATCCCTCCGCCTCCGTCGGGTCACGGCTCCGTTGGATCATTTGGCAGTCCTGGGGGACTACCTAAGCCGGGAGGTTCGGCTTTTGGTACAACTGCCTCCCCCAATGCTTTTCTAAACAAAAGTGCGCCGCAGGCAACACCAAAGCAAGGCCTTGACAAGTACGAGAGCTTGCTGTGAAACCCCGGGGGTAAGGTTATACAATGGATCCATGCGCATATTTTCAAATTATAGTCACCAGACTCAGATACTCTTTGGGATTTTCCCTTTAATGCTCCCCCTTTATTTCTTTTGTCTCTCTAGGATAGTCACCGGTTATGTTGTGTGTACAGCATCATGCATGATTCCCCCATTGTTTCAGGCGTAGTTCAAAATGGGCTTAAAAGTTCTCAATTTTCCTCTTTAATGTCTGAGTTGGCTCGCATATGGGGCCAAAGAAGGGTTGTGACATATCTAGCATACTGCCATCATCAGGCCACATGATTATGATAATGGAGCATGGGGAGGAAAGCGTGGTGCTACAAGGTGGAGAAACAGTCGTGGAAACGATAAGTGCAGGCTCCACTTTTTTTTGTTGCCAAGCAACCCGATAGTAGATTGATACTATTCCATTCGACTGCAATCTAGGTTTCCTTTCCCCGACGGTGACCCGACGTAGCAGTGACGGAGATTCTGGGTACCCACGGCCACCATCAGCTCTCCAGGCATGCAACCTCCTCTTCGAGGCGCCTTGAGACGCTTTCCGTCGGCTCAGCGTTTTGTCCTCCCCCACCGCCCCTCGTCCCTGCTGCCCCTCCGTCATCGTCTGCCTCCTCTCCACCTCACCCGCTGCTCTTCCTCGTCTGTAGCAAATCCCCTCTCTTCATCCTCCAATTCCCTAATTCACTCCCCTCATCGAGCCACAATGGATGCCCAGGCCAAGCAGCACTACCTGGCCGACTCGCCGCCAACCGTGGTTCGCTTGGAAGTCAAGTCTCACTTTGACAACCTCACAGACCCGAAGCTGCGGAAATATGCCCATTATCTGAGCAGGTGCGTTATGAATGCTATAGCCGATACATTTGCTACCATTTCGGTGTCATGTCGGGCCCCGCTAACATGCATGTGTCTGTAGAGCTGCCTTTGAGGGAACCCGTATTACCCTCCGTCAGGTCTCCCCGGAGTCTGAGCCTATTTACGACCTCATTCTCGAGCTTCATCGGGCCTGTGATGGAAACTGGTCCGAGCTCGCTCAGAGGACCAATGTCAGCGATGAGCATCTACGCTACTTCTTGGAGTATGCAACCCAATTCCTAGGGAACTGTGGTAACTACAAGGGTTTCGGAGACTCGAAATTCATTCCCCGACTCCCCGTTGAGGCACTCCAGGCTTTAGCTTCGGCCACGCCAAAGACAAAGGCTGCCTTTGACTTGGCCAATTCTACCGGTGGTGGCATCTACGAGACTGATGAGCAGTCCCGCATGCACCTCGGCTACCCGGAGGGCGGACACATGACAACATACTACCCCGACTCACCGTCTATCACAAAGGATGAGATCACGGCTATCGGAGATCTTATGGAGCAAAAAGGATTGCCGTTGGAGAACACGAGACTCAAGAAGACCGAGTCTGGTGACTTCGAACTATTGATCGCATCGGGTGTCTCCTCACCACCTGTGCGGGATAGAGATCTTGGCGATGCCGATATCTTTGAACTGGATGGAAAGCTCAAGGGAAAGACTCTTCGTCTCGTCTTTGGTGACTATCGGGAGGAAATGGCGAAAGTCGCTCACAGCGTGAAGCAGGCGGGACTTAATGCGGCAAATGAGAACCAGAAGCGAATGTTGGACGCATATGCCATGTCATTCGGCTCTGGCTCGATTGAAGCATTCAAGGAGAGTCAAAGGATTTGGGTGAAGGACCAGAAGCCGGCTTTAGAGACGAATCTGGGCTTCGTCGAAACCTACAGAGACCCCCACGGTGTGAGAGGAGAGTGGGAAGGATTTGTTGCTCTGGTAAGCGTCATGTCAGAAATCAAGACCCTATCGCTCAGACGGCTAACAGAGCGCCCCAAAACAGGTCAACCTGGAGCGCACACGGGCATTTGGAAAATTGGTAGACAGTGCCGAGGCCATGATCCCCAAGCTTCCTTGGAGTAAGGATTTCGAAAAGGACAAGTTCCTGAGTCCTGACTTCACCTCCCTGGAGGTATTGAGCTTCCAGTCCTCTGGTATCCCGGCTGGTATCAATTTGCCTAATTACGATGATATCCGGCAAAACCTTGGATTTAAGAACGTTTCCCTCGGCAATGTCCTTAGTGCAAAGGCTCCCAACGAGCCTGTTCCTTTCATTGCAGAGAAGGATTTGGAGGTCTACCGTAGATGCCGTGATGCTGCGTTCGAGGTCCAGGTCGGCATTCATGAATTGCTTGGCCACGGAACCGGAAAGTTGCTCCAGGAAACAGCTCCTGGGGAGTACAATTTCGATTTCTCCAATCCTCCCATTAGCCCGGTGACGAACAAGCCTATCTCATCCTGGTATAAGCCTGGGCAGACTTGGGGCTCGGTATTTGGAGCGATGTCTTCTTCATATGAAGAGTGCCGCGCAGAGTGCGTCGCTATGGCGCTCAGCTGCGACTTCAGCATTCTGCAGCTCTTTGGCTTTGGTGATGGTAAGGAAGATCTGGCGAACGAGGCCGGTGATGTTCTTTTTGCAGGATACTTGCAGATGGCTCGTGCTGGTCTCGTGGCTCTGGAGTTCTGGGATCCCAAGACGCAGAAGTGGGGACAGGCCCATATGCAGGCCCGGTACAGTATCCTACGTACCTTCCTTGATGCTGGAGGCGACTTTGTCAAGCTCTCATACACTAAGGATGACCTGTCCGATCTGGAGATCCACCTGGACCGTTCCAAGATTCTGACTCATGGTCGTCCTGCTGTGGAGAAGTACCTGCAGAAGCTGCATGTCTACAAGAGCACTGCAGACTTCGAAGCGGGCAAGAAGCTTTATGACGATATCACGTCGGTCGATGAGTGGTGGGGTACCAAGGTCCGCGAGATTGTTCTCAAGAACAAAATCCCTCGCAAGGTCTTCGTGCAAGGCAACACCATCTTGAATGGGGATGAAGTAACTCTCAAGGAGTACGAGCCTACGCTTGAAGGTATGATTCAGAGTTTTGTGGAGCGTAATGTTTGAACGTAAGGCGTTGAGGACGAGGCCGGAGGAGTATTAAAGGGTTGATCAATAACGCTGGATACTCGAGGCTCTCCTCTCTGCATGGTGGTACATATTGAGTGGAAATGTGGCACACTGCCTGCTTTAGTAGTATGGATTGGATCTATCAGGCATGCATCATCCATATGACTTGCATATAATCAGAAATCTTTATCCTACCATCTACATCATAGTATCTACTTACGTGGTAACCTGTGCTCTGTCGGAAATGAGGGGGATCGCCCACTTTGACAGGCAGCATCTCCTACCAGATATTCGAGAGCTTTAGTTTCAGGTTTTTCGGCCGGAAATAAATTGAGGCAAGCTTTTTGTAGACAGTGCATCACGTAGATACTAATGACTGCCGGGTAATGATTGCTGGGCATCAAGCTGGGAGGTAGCGGCGGCGGGAGCGATCAGCCAATACGCGCAGTCGAGAGCAGTCGGTGGATCAAGTGCCGCCGCCTCCTCTTTCCATCCTCCCTTTAGCAACGGCGGATTCCAGGCTCTCTCGTGCCCTGTAAGCGCTTCGTCTCATCCTCGTTCTCTCGCCTCTTCCCTTTAACCTCCTCCACCCCCACAGTCTCAACATCTTATCATCTTGGCTGCAGTCGCATTCTCATTGTTACTTCTTCTTTTTCTCTTTGTTGTTCTGTCGTACTCTTCAGGATAGAATCCGATCTGGACCAACTAAACTTGCCCCCTAAGTTCCATGTTTGAGCGTCTCTAGAAACGCAACGGAGGCCTCCTGAGCGACTCGAGCAACCCGGGGTCTGGATTTACTCCGGCCAAGGCCCCTTCTCAGTGGGGTTCACCTAGCTTCCGGCAAACCAAAGGACAAGACGGCCTTCTCTCAGCATCAGTCTACAACTCCCGACACCTTGTCGTGGTCACCGAATTCTTCTGGCTCGCCTCCCACGGCGCGGCCGTACCAGTACACAGACTCCGTAGCGGAGGAGGACGACGACTTCTATACTGCACCACCGCCGCCGCATTCCCCATCCTCGGAGGCTTCTTCCTCTAGTTTCACTTCGTCGCGCCCTCCCCCTTTTTCGTCCCTTGTCTTCGCTCCGGCGACCGAATTCAATCGCGGGAAGGCTGCCTTCTCCCCACCTGAATCTGCCTCCGCTCCAGCCTCCGTTCCACTTCCCCCCGACGAAGAGTCTCTCGACTCGAGCCCTTCTTCATCCTTAGTCGCTGAAACTAAGGCGTCCTTCTCCCGGGACCACAAGCCGGAATCGTCAGGAAAATCTGCGGAAGAGGGAGAACCTCCTCCGCCGTATACTGAAGGATCCAGTCCTATCGAATCGTTCACATACGTGATGGCTGCAGCAGGAGGAGCGTCGAGCATCATCACGCAGGTGCAGCAGACCGGCGGGCCGCCGATCAATACATTAGGAGGTACGAAGGCCATTTGCCATATTGTCTGGGAAAGGCCTTTCCTTGGCTGACTGCTTTGCATGGATCTTAGATATCGGTGGAGATGAACATATCACTCTTGATCTCCGGTGAGAACCCTCTTATCAGCCCTCAGTCAAACTAGAGTCTTAGACCTCCTAACCAAATCCGCAGGGGAACCCGCTTTACCCTCTCCCGAGATGAGCTGCTGACTCTCCCCGAGTTTGTCCTTTTGTCACTTTTTCCGAACGGTCTACTCCCTGACGGGCACATGGGTACCTTCCATGAAGGCGACATCTATCCGGTCGACGTGAGTTAACAGTCGTTCCTCTACTATTCACCTTCCACCGCCGCTGTTCTCCCTATACCTTGCCCAGGACACGTCTCATTATTTCCCACTTTTTAGTACGATCCGGCGTCTCTGCAATATATGCTAGACTTCTTCCGATCGGTTGCTCAATCCATCCCGTCATCATCACCATCTGCATCGACCTCTCCGGACCTGGATGTTGCTCCCGACTCCATGCAAGGGACTGCTAGGGATATGCTTCAGGACCGTGCTGGTATCATAGTGTTGCGCGAGGATCTCGATTTCTATGCGATCCCACCTCGCCCAGATATAGACCAGGCGGAGATGATCGAGGTCAAGCGCGCGGCTGCAAAAGCATTGTTAAAACAAGACGGGATATTTTCTGGGCTGAGAAAGAGCGACGAAGCCGGCTCGACAGAGCAGCATCTCATCGAGATGCTTACTGCAGGGTGAGTTGACTATTCCCACCCATTACCCCAATAGGCGATACAATGAATGTTTTTTCGAGACTAATTGATCGCAGTGGGTTTGATCGTGACGACCGATGGGGCCACCGGGCCCCAGAGCCCAACAAGGCGGTAATATGCAGCCTGGCTCTGGCCAAGTTGCGTACCGACATCCGGGGCGACCTGTCGAACAACAACGCAGTTGGCATGGCTCAGAAGCTCCTTCTATTCTGGAGGAAACCAGCCAGGAGATGCTGGTGGGAAGGAGTTGAGCTGGATGATGTGGAGGGAGTTGAAGGCAAAGTGAAAATTTGGATCCGTAGAGTATGGACTCTAGAGATGGTGAGTTTACCTTTACTGTTATCATATATTCCAAGATTTAACCAAGATTTGCAGAGCGTAATTGGGCTTCGATAGCCTTCTCGCGGCGGTCATATCGTACCAATGGACTTTCTTGGTCTCCGCCGTTATCCTGCGATTTCTTTCGTCCTCGTCGATGCATATTAGAGTTGCTTTATTAGCAGCCCATTCTTTGATTTTTCCCTGCGTTGCCCAGTGCACATTTGCGGAGTTGATGATATCCCCTATATCCCGAGTCTGCATCCGCAGCCTAACAGACAAGAGGGATGGCGTATTCAATTATCATTGGGTACTGTGTAATCCTGTTTATAGTTTTCATTAGCTGGCCGGACCCCATGCATTGATCTGTATTTTCATCTAATTTTATTCCTATCCTGCTTTGTCTTAAACCTTTTTGGCCGCTTAGCCCTCCCTGTTGCTGGGCCTTGACAATGTGAAAGACTCTGTTGCCGAGTTGGCAATCCGTATAATGTGTCTCTACAATATACGCCAAATTAACACTAGGATTACATCGCAATCGCCCGGGATTTCAATTGCTATAAATTGAACTCTGTAGCTCCCAAGTTTGTGTTCTTATTCTCCAGACAGGTTGCCCTGTATGTCCATCACGTGATCTTATGGCTGGAAGGGGCCTAGCGTGGAAAGGCCGGCAGTTCTGGCAAAACGCGACGAGCAGAAAAGGCGGAGCTCGACCGCGATCACCGTCAAAGAGCAGCTTTGGCTTCAGTTCACCATCCCCATTTCGCAGCCTCAATTCCTGAACCGCGATTTCCTTCAGCAATTGTTCGCTTCAGGCGCTTCCTACCCGCGCAGCGATACCTCGGCCATAACACTCTGAAATCATCGTTTCCAATCCTCTGCTGTCAGCCCTTTCGTCCAGCGGATTGTACGCGGCCCTGTTCGCCGACCGACTTGCCCAGTGTCTGAAAGGGACATGTCCCTGACCAGCTAAATGGCCAACATGTCCCCTCTCAGAGGTTACATCACATCATACCCGCCTCGTGTGCGCCAATATGGCAATGCGCTTCTCACCCCGATCATCCCACCTAGCCAAGTAGGCCCGACTTCACGGACGACCAAGCGAGGAACCGCCGCCATCAATTATGCGGAAGATGGTTACGATGATGAAGACTTTGAGGACAGCGAGGGACCTCGGCGGCCAACTGGGCTACGGAGCCTTCGACGGGAGGAGTCAACGTTCGACAAGGTGCCGCTGGCGGAGAAGCTGGGGAAAGAGATCCACGCCCCTGTTGAGGTCCAAGGGGTTTTTCGCGATTGGATGATCAAGAGGATGTTGCGACCAGCGTATGTGCCGCTCAGTCTTATTCTTTAAGCGTTTCCAGTTTGCCTCTGTGTTTTTCCGGCATTTGTTATGGTACTGACTTGGAGTCTTCTCCCTTCGCACAGTTGCGCCGATCAGCTGCAAATTCAAGCGCAGCTCCCTCTTACCCTTATACCTATCCGAATTGATCTGGAGGTCCCAGCGCATCAACCTTTAGAACCATTCCCTTTGCCGCGAACAGTCCTCGATCCCAGTATCAACCCTACCTTGCCCGCCTACAGACGGCCAGAGGCGCTGCCTGCCTATCGCATCAAAGACACGTTCCTTTGGAATCTTCACGAGGCTCTTGCGACTCCTGAAGAATTTGCCGTAGGGTTCGTTCGCGATATGGATTTACCGAATCCACAGGCCATGACGATGGCTATTAGCAACCAAATCCGTCAACAATTGGAAGAATATGCCGGCGTTGCCCTGCATCCTTTATTCCAGAGCGTACAGCCAAAGCCCCCAGCTCCGCAGATTGGCCTGTCACGAGATGTATCTGCTACACCAGTATCCACCCACGCCGCGACACCTGACAGCAGACCTAACCAGGTAACGGTGACCAAAGAGCCTCTCGTGAACGACAGCATACTAAACCCGGACGACGCGTATCGGTGCATGATCAACTTGAATATCAACTTGCAAAATAAGCTTTACACGGACAAATTTGAATGGTCTCTATTGCACCCTCCAGGCATGGCAGAGGAGTTTGCCAGGATTACGTGCGCGGACCTTGGTCTGGGTGGGGAATGGGTCGGAGCCATTGCGCATGGCATCTACGAGGCCGCTCTGAGACTTAAAAAAGAAGTATGCGAAAGTGGTGGACTTATCAGCGGCATGGGTGGTTATGGTAACGAGATCGACAATCAAGCTGCCAACGGCGCGGAGGCGGGCTGGCGTTACGATCCCGAGGGACTGGGCGACGAATGGGAACCTAAAGTGGAGACACTGTCAAAGGAGGAAATTGAGAAGCGTGAGGGTGATCGCGAACGTCAGATTCGTCGTCTACGTCGAGAGACGGCCAGATTCTCCTCCACTGCGGGCATAACGCCCGACGCCTCCCGACAGAGCAGTGGGTACTTTGACGTCGACAGTGAAACGCCGCTAGGAAGAGGCGAACGGAGCAAACGAAAGAGACGATTCCGCAGTCTGAGTCCCTCGGGGAGAGGAGGAACCCCTGGAGGACGAGGGACTCCGGACACTGGTTCAGGAGCTGGCTATGGTGGAGGTGGCGGTACACTTGCCGACTGGTTTGTCATACCTTTAATATTTCTTCATAGTGCGCATACTGAACACCTTCTTTGTTCGATAGGGAGCGTCAAACTTGGAGATGCACCAACTGTATGGTCTGGGGTACGGCGGTTTGGGCCGTACGAGATGGCCCGGCAGGCCCAAGAGTAAGACCTATATGCCACATCTCTTAAATAACTGCATGCTGACTCAACTGCGACAGACTCTCTGCCACAACTGTGGTCTATTGTACGAACGAGACAAGGTGGCCCCCGAGTGGTCCAGAGACCTACATCGTCACGATATGCCCATCGGCCGGTAGTAGACTTGGTGGATTGCATAAGCGTAGATGTTTCTCTTTGACCCCCGGCTCTACGCTCTGTACCTATACGGCAGAGGTGAGATCGATCCCTCTCCCTGCTACGATACCTCAAGCAGGGGTCAGAGCCAGAGTCTGATTCCATGTTGTTTCTTTCTCTCCACAGGCCGGCTATTTCGTGACATATCCTACGAAGTATCCCTGACGTGATGAATCCTCGTCGAAAAAGGCCCCCAACCTCTCACCAGCCTGCCTTGTGTTTTCCCCGTGCCAAGACAAGCACATCACACACCCCCAGTCAATGTACTATCTGATTGATGATATCTCTAATGAACCTCTATTCTATAGTTGGGGCAGGCGTTTCTCATTATTTCCATACTTTCAAAGTTCTTAACTACTTTCCATTACCTTTTGCTTTTTACTTTCTGACTCTCCCTAATATGTTCTTCTTGATGGATTGGTACCTACCCTTGCTTCTCTGGCGATAGGTCCGGGCCACTTTTATTTCATTCTCTATCATCTTTGGTTGGGTTTGTAAGGACTCTAAAATATTCGGTGATCAATTCTATTTTACTTTTGCTTCAGTGTGGTGTTGGTCTGTTTGGGCTGATATACTACGTTACGAGGATCTGGTGGGCACTTTTCTCTTTCTTTTTCTTTCTCTGTTTGAAGTATGTATGGTGTTCCTGCCTATTCTGGTTTTATTGTCCCTCTTTTTGTGGGCGATCAAATTGGACTTTTATGTGGTAGCTACCTAGCTACCTCAGTAGTCTTGCTATCGATTGCTGTGTTGTATGATAGTTTCGGCGTCATAGCAGGAGGTGCGAAGAGAGTTTATATGTTTGGAAATTTACTCGTCTTGAACAGGTTACTATTGACTGTATTGTTCTGTAACTTCATACTTTAAATATACTTTATTAAACAGCTGCGGTTGGCCCTAACTAACTATGGATATATATATATATACGAGGGGTGCTCGGTTCAACCATCATCACCCTAAAAACAAGACCACACGCGATGCAAACCAACTCAAAAACACATGAACGCGATGACATTCTATTCGATGAATCACAGGTAATCTAAACTAAACTAGAACTAATAACTATAATCTGCAAAGAAATTGCTCTCTATACTAGCTATTATAAATCATCAATCCATTCCATTACTTCCCCACCAGTCGTATAGTTTTCATGTCCTATCCCCACCTAGCATTATTAAGCCCATCAAAAAGAGAAAAGAACAAGGAGTAAACAAAATCAGATAAAACCACAAACAAGACACACAATAAGACAAGAGGTAAAGAGAAGATGAAAGAGTACACACACGCACAGAGCGAAAAGGTCACTCCGCCTTCCATCTACTACTACCCAATTAGTTCCATACCACGCGCCAGAGAAGAGAAAGAGGTAAGCACACTACCGCGCTCTCTTAGCAGCAGTAGTAGCTACCTCCGGGGGTTCCTATATTCCAGAAAATCAGTTTTAATTAGCTATAAGCCCACAACCCCATACACCAATTCCCAACGATAAAACCAAGCGAAAACAATTTCAAGAAAAGGAAAGAATACAAAACTTACAGAAGAAGCCCTCCTCTTCCTCCTCAGCACATTCATCCCCATTCCTCTTTGTCCACCCATTCCCACACAGATTACATTCCCACTTCCCAGGATTTTGATCCCGGTGTTGATATTCAGCGTAACAGATGGCGGTGGCGATGTAATTGTATCTGTTGCTGCACTAGAGTTGTCCGTAGGATTGGAATCAGAATTGAGATGACCTGTGCGATGCAAAGCAGTAATGATAGATGTGGCCATGTCTGTCAATTTGGAATGGCGCTGGTATGGGGTTGATTGTGGAACGGCAGAGGTGGATGTTGAGGATAGAATGGGAGCGGGTGATGCCTTGGTATTGAGGGCTGATGCTGGAGCTGGAGCTGGAGCTGGAGCTGGAGCTGGAGCTGATGGGAGAATAATGCTATTTGCGTTGCCCTGAATGCTCATTGATGCGTCGATGTGGATGGTTATGAGGCTGGGCTGTCCATGAGAGGAGGCATTTTCGGCTCCAAGTTCTTTTTGGGGATTGTGAGCGGAAGGAGAGTATGGAGGTGGCGGTGTAATGGTGTTCGTTTGGTCGGAATCTTCTTGTGATTCGGCTAATTTGTGGAATTGATGGACGATGGATTCAGATGGTGGAAGCATTGTGAGTAGAAATCGGTCTGATAAGCGCTAGAAGTCATAGAGAAGGATGCAAAGATTGGTATAGATGTGATGCACTGTGGCAACGAAAGACTGTCCTACGGAACGGAGACCGGACTTAAAAGAACAGGATGAAAGGATGGGTGGAATGAGTATTTGGTTGGGATTGCTCACTGTCGCTAAGAACAATAGCATGCAATTGACATAAATAAGCGCCATCACAAAACATCTATCCAGGTAACAAGGATGCATCATTAAACGGACTTCTCTCGACACCATCCACTAGCAGGCGAAAGCGACACCCCATTGCGCCAGAATGGCTTAGGAACGCATCACACAGCTCGTAACGGTCAACATTGTCTCATAACAATGCCACCTGCGTCTCGAATTGACGTGCTCTGGCTGTGATATTGTTCTCCCCCATCAATAGGCGGAATAGGGTCACGTGTCGATTCAGAGACAACAAGGGTCCCTGTGCGGTGCCACCCCATAGTTTGAAAGGATGAATAGAGCATCTGAATAGACACAGTCAATTCTGACGGACTAGAGTCTGACACTTCCAACCAACAAGGACTGCTCGGCATTTGCGTGATCCCGACAGACCATGAATCAACCGGCTAGTCCTATACAATCCCTTTCCTAGCCCCAAGAACTGAATGGGAAAGTCAAATGATTACTTTAAGCCCAGCGGTCCCCATGATGCCAATCCTTGTATACAGAGTAATCACCGCTAGGGCCGAAGCCACCAGGTGAGCTTTCCGGATTATTTCCACTTGTGATTGAGGTGAAGTTTCCTTTAAACGAAATCCCATGCATGGCGCCTATTCGGTGAAACCCGGTTAGCTTTTCCAGCCTAACATTCTGATCCATCATGCGAAGTAATAATAAGCCGCCTGGCACGTCACAAACTTACTCGTAGTGTTGGGTGTAGCGTCTCCGCGGGCATGATGGTCCGTATCTCCTATTGTCTGCCCTTGCCGTTCTTTCCGACGTTCCGGATAATATTTGCCGCCTGGGTGCAGTGGATGCGGAATCTAGATACTGATTAGCAGAAACAAAGGCCGGCGCGCAAAGACTTCATTATACCAGCGTTCGTTCCACGCCAGCCGAATTTGATTTCATTTCACGGACTGCTGGTACTGACTTCGCGAAATTCATCCCCCTCGATCTGAACCTCACGGTCGCGAATGCGGCGCATCAAGGCAAGGAAGTTGCTTTCTCTGAACTTCTGGCTTTGATCATGTTTGACACTGTCTAAAAGCTGCCCCGCAGTTCGGGCGAGCTCGTCCGCATCATTCACCCGTGCCTGTTGATCATTCTTCTCGGTCTGGGGAATGGTATCCGATCCGATCTTGATCTTCTCTTCCGTGCTTTCAGCCGTAATATGATTCGTCTCTTCCACGACCTCCTCAGCGTGAACAGGTGCAGTCTCGGTTTCCTGCGACATCATGTCTGCCCGCGCCTGCTCAAATGCAGCTTCAAACGCCGATTCATCAAATGTGTCGGCCATCGGTTGCTGGTTTGCTGCGGTGGCTTGCGCAGAGGGGAAAGCAGTACCAGTCATAGGGAAGCGAGGTGCAAAGGTTGGCTGAAGCCCTTGGACATGTGGCTGATGCTGCTGGAAAGAGGGTCGTTGCTGCTGAGCGAACTCATTCTGCCAACCCTGTTGTGACATGGCTGCCATCGGCGCTACAGATGGTCCTGATGTTTGATGGAGAGAATGCGGAGGTCCCGATATATGCATATTCTGGAAGTCTGCCGCCCAATTTGACGATTCTGCCGGGCCTGATACGGGAAACTGATGAGAGGGAGGAACGAAAGGGCCGGCATGCTGTACATCGGGAAGGGGCGCTCCTGCTAGACCGGACTCGAATGCGGCGAATTCGGGATCGAGAACCCCTTGGCTTGGATTTTGAGATCGAAACCCCTGGTAATTCCATGAGTGCAATTCAGCAAAACACGCTCATGGCGAGAGACTCACTTGAGAAGGCGATTGTCGAGATATGATTCTATCTTGCTGGAGGGTACGATCAACAGATGCATGCTTTTGGAAGTTCTGCAGCGCATTCGAGGGACCACACAGAGCATCACTCATGGTGCCGACTAGGTTGAACACGAGCTGAGAGAACGGAGCGTGTCGGATTGCTTGCTGTGTTGAGAAGAGGATATACAATAAGCGTAGTGAACAGGCAACTGGTAGTAGTATTTAGGAATGCAGGATGTATATACGAGAACAAGCAAAAAAGTGAGTCCAACAGAAGACAAGAAGAGAATGAGAGGAGGCAAAGGCAAGTAAGAGAGAGTAGTAGTAACAGCCAAGGAGACCAGAGAACAGGCCGCGGGGCAGAGCGACCGAGGACTACCGAGGCCCCCGGATCACGTGTATATGAGCATGACTGGAGATGGCTGACTGAGCCGATAAGATAAGATCGGGCTGCGGCTGACTTGCGAAACGGACAAGCTGGCGGTGTTTTGCTGCTGCTTCTCCTGTTGCGTGTTGATTCGGCCCTCCACCACCGCCTTCTTACCCCCCAAGAACCCCCCTAATACTCCCCGGCAGGGCCACCCACGAGCTTACGTCCCTGTTTACCCTATAGAGTCGATCTTAATTCCGAGCAAAAAGTTGATCAATATGGTATGTCCCCCAACTCCCCCCAATGATCTCAGGCAATTTGCCCATGAACATTGCTAACGTCCAGGCAACTAGGCTGCTCAAGTAATCTCCAATTCCGGACACGATGAGATGATTGTACGTGAAGCGAGACAGCTCCTCATACGCCCTCGTGGCAATGGCTTTAACCCTATCTGTGTGGTCCCTGAGACTGACCGCAGCGCATAGCACGATGCCGGCCTGGACTACTACGGCCGCAGATTGGCAACATGTTCATCGGACAAAACGATAAAGATATTTGAGATTGAAGGAGAGACACATCGGTTGATTGAGACATTGAAGGGGTGAGGATCCAGAACTCCCTGGTGATCTTACGCGCCATCGATTCTAACAACCTTCGGCCGTTTGTGAACAGACATGAAGGAGCTGTGTGGTGTGTGGCTTGGGTACGTCATAATGGCATTCTTTGTCAAGCTGTCCTAGTGAACTATCTATCTGACTCTGGACTTCTCTAGGCACACCCTAAGTTCGGAACTATCCTCGCTTCCTCTTCGTACGATGGAAAGGTGCTCATCTGGCGCGAACAACACCAGAACGCCACGTCACCCGTCGCTGGCGGCGCTTGGACGAAGGTGTTCGACTTCTCTCTACACACCGCTTCAGTGAACATGGTATCCTGGGCTCCGCATGAGAGTGGCTGTCTCCTGGCTTGCGCCTCCTCAGACGGACATGTTAGCGTTCTCGAATTCCGTGACAACAGCTGGACTCACCAGATTTTCCACGCCCACGGTATGGGTGTGAACTCTATCAGCTGGGCACCTGCCGCCGCCCCTGGCAGCTTGATCAGCTCCAACCCTGGACCGGGCCAGCAGCGGAGATTCGTCACTGGTGGAAGCGACAACCTGCTTAAGATCTGGGACTACAAGTATGCATCATGAGCCGCTACGCACTGATACTGTGTCTCTAAATTGAACTAAGCTGACCCTTACTCTTCTGCAGCCCGGAAACCAAGACCTACAACAACACGCAGACTCTGGAAGGCCACTCCGACTGGGTCCGGGATGTCGCTTGGTCGCCAAGCGTTCTTTCCAAGTCCTACATCGCCTCTGCCTCTCAAGACAAGACAGTCCGGATCTGGACTTCCGATGCGTCAAACCCTGGCCAGTGGACCAGCCAGCAACTCGAGTTCGACACTGTCCTCTGGCGCGTCAGCTGGAGCCCTAGTGGAAACATCCTTGCTGTGAGCGGTGGCGATAACAAGGTCAGCTTGTGGAAGGAAAACCTCAAGGGGCAATGGGAGAAGGTAAAGGATATCGAGGAGTAGGCTTCAGAGTTTCATTTTCCTTTCTGAGTTTCAACTTTCATATCTCATGTGTGATAACGGATAAATTGGGTTCCTGCCATGTATTTCATCCGACCCGGACGTTGTCAAAAATCAAAAACGAGCTTAAAAACAGGCAAAACATCATCGTTTCCAGAAGATAAACGGACCCTTGTCCAGCGTCTCCAGCAGATCTATCCAAGTTCCGATCATTATTCTACCTTCCGGTAGGATCACGCCCTCGTAAACCTGTACTAAGTAAAAATCAGACTCAAAGTACGGTGGCGGCCATTTTGCCTCGAAAAGCCATGCGTTCTCATCCAGAGCGGGCTCTGTGCCATCATTAGCAGAAGGAACGGGCGGCTGCTCTTGATCCCATTGATATATCACGAAGCAAATGCGACGCCAGCCAGAGAAGCCCCCTTGGAAATCGGCGATTGGTTCACAGAACCCTCGCACCAGATCCGGGGGTTGAACGACGTAGTCAGGTGTTCTCCGTATTCCACGAAAATATGATCGCTCGAAGTTCAGAGGATCAAGAGGAACTACTGATTGAAGTATAGGTGGCCAATTCAAGGGGTTGGGATCAGGTTTCACTAAAAGAGACTACACAGCAGGCATTGAATCAGCTGTGTTCCTTTTTCTGGAGTATTTCGTGCAATACCTGAAACCGAACTTGTGCACAATTAGTATCCAGATCCGCGCATGTCTGGCGATCCTCGAGGATCTTCAGAGATCTCGGGTATGGGTGCACGCATGCTACACACAAATTAACACTCGCTTATCTTCATGGTATGATTGGATAACAGGTGAGTGACTGACATGCATAACCCATCCATGGCAATTCATCATCAGAAGGCGCAAGCTCACCCCATGATCTGGGCTTGTAGCGTGGAGCCAGGTTTATATAAGAAGCGTAAAAGGTCGCTTCAGTCGGGCAGAGAAGATGACGAAGCCAGAAATTGCGTATGTGAAGTAACTTCTCCAGGTCGAGCTTGTTTTCAAGCACAATTGGTCTGCTGTTCTCAGCCCTGTAACCATAGACGACGCCAACGTCATAGTCTGTCCTCAGACACTGAACAGACATTAGAGGATCCAGAGCTAAACCTGTCAGGCACTGTCAGAGTCAGTTTCTACGCTCTCTCCTATATGACGTCTGTGGTGCTTACCAACTGGGTTGCACAGAAGAGATCGGAAGGCGGGCCTGCCTTCTTCTGACTGTAGCCGCTAACGGGCCTGTTCAGAAGTTCAGAGCTAGAGAGTATGTCTCGAATCTTCTGGTGGTTCTTAGAAGTGTATGGCCCATTCGATTCTAGAAGACAGTATGATTCACGTAGCATATCTCGTAGGACTTCCAGCCAGAGAGTCTGCGCCTCCTTTTGGCCGAATTTGAAACTGATGGATTGTGAGAGAACAATGGCTCGAATTTGATACTCAACTTTGACTTCATTAGAAGTATACTGTCGAGTAACATCATAAAGGTCAATGAAGCGGCTTCGCCAGATGGAAGAATGACCCGGCAGTGTTTTTGCTGCTAGCCAAGGGCAGCATTGGGCGAAATTTACCATATCGATGTCGCGAGGTAGCAAGTAAGCAATGTACTGAATGATCTATGAACAACCTTAGCAGTGCAATCATTTTTAATGGTTATAGCAGGAATTGTCACCTCTGTGGGCAAGCAAAAAAAGGAGTTACGAGAGCAATTTTCCGCCATGGTTGGTACTTGGGAGCTCATCTTCGTCAGGCTTCCTTTGTAACTGAGGATGCCTATCAGAGGCTATACAGTAGTGACAAGCCGCTTGCCTTATGTTCTCGAGCCACGCAGGAAGATGCTTAGGATGATAGATTTACACTTTCCTCCGCGGATGTATACGGAGAGTCAGAGAAGGCCGCTGTGCTTAAGTTATATAGCTCCCATAAGGACTGAGAGTGAGGAGGGATTGAATGAAGAGCGAGTCGGTGTGCAATTATATGAAAGGCAATTCTCTTGTCACGAGATTATGTCTCAAACCTTAGTATGACAACCACTTTATGCTCGCTTGGATGATGGTACTGCTACATGCCAAACCAGAGTGATATAGCTCTCTTCGAAATGAAGTATACGCAGCGTATTCGAGATAGGGGACAATGCTCTGTCAGTTTGATCTCACTACGGTAGGCCTTGCAAGGCGGAAAGGAGTGCATAAGAAAATCAGCTACCGGAGGTAAGATGTGCGCTTCTTTAGGTCAAGTAATGCATAAATAATACTTCAATCTAGATCCAGAAAATAAATCTTGAAAATGTAGGCTTGTGGTTGATAACACTGTCTATAAAGCCCGCACGCGGGCCACGTATGAGCAGAAGCCAACCCCTTAGCTCACGCCAGGACGACCACGTCGTCTTCTAAGGCTTTCCTGAACACCCCAGCCATCTGATAGAAGTTCCTTGACTTCCTCCAAGCGAAGCCCGCTCATCTCGGGATAGATAGCGTAAATACCAAACCAACCGAACACGCATACGGCCGCATAGGCCGCGAATGTCCATCCAGGAGAGAGCCATTCCATCATAGGCAGGAAAGTCAGACCGACAACAAAATTTGACCCCCAATTCGTTGCGGTAGCCAAGGCTGATCCCAAGGAGCGTACATTCAAGGGGAAGAGCTCTGATTGCTGCCAAGGCACGTTTCCAAGTCCGAAAGCATAAGCTCCCACATAAACGGTGAGGCATATCAGGATAACAACAGGGAGGAAAGCGCTATCACTTGTGGCATCTTCCGCCTGTACCCTCGACTCGGGGTTTGGCATCTCGACTGAGCCGAACGTAAAAGCGCAAGCAATGAGGGAGAGAGCCATCACTGGCACTGAGTACAGGAGAATGCGGCGTCGACCAATCCTATCGATAAAGGCAAATGCAAGTAAGGTGAATAAGAAGTTGGTCAACGCCACTGACAATGACACTAGAGTTGGGGATGAGAATGACAGCATGGAGAAGATCGTCGCTGAGAAGTACATGAGACTATTGAATCCACACAGTTGTTGTGTGGCTTGCAGCATAACCGCTATGATCAATGCCCTCCGATTACCACCGACGAGGACCAAGTGGCGAGCACACTGCGTAACGTTCGTCAGCCACTGCCAGTTTCCTGTGGAGGGCTTGTTTGTTTGAGTCAACTCTTCCTCCTCCTCGGCCACTTCTTGCTGGATATCACGCATAACCTGCTTGGCCATGAGGCCACTCTCGGGATGGCTCCCATAAACCCGGGAGAGGACTTTCGTAGCTTTCTCTTCGAACCCTGCCTGGACCAGCCAACGAGGGGTTTCTGGAAGAGTCAAGACTATGAAAAACTGAAAAATTGCTGGGAGCATTCCAATGCCAACAATATAACGCCAGCCTCCAGATACAGAGGAAAATAACCAACCGATGATATAAGCAACGACTTGTCCGCCTGTAATAAAGAGACTCAGTATCGTCACAAGCCTTCCTCTAGCATGGGAAGGCGCCAGCTCGGAGATGTATCTGTTGCCATGTTAGACAAAAGGTCAACTAAATCCCTCTAACTATACTCCGTGGGGGGACCCCTTTAGCAAGGACTAGCAAGGACTGAACATACAATGGAGTCACCAGACTTGCTCCACCAACAGCCAGGCCAACAATGCTTCTTCCAACTATCATGCCCCATACTGCACTTGTGACAGCTTGTATCAAAGCGCCGAGCGTGAAAAGCACGTCTGCAACGAGAATAACCTTTCTGCGACCGAACTTGTCTGCCAGGATTCCCGCTAGCGGACTCGCAATCAAAGCGAACAGGCTGGTGCAGGACGTTACGAGACTCTTGTCCAATGTCGTTAGAGGTCGGTTAGAGAGGTCGGAGCCGATCGAGACTAAGGTTGCGGAAATGACACCTGTGCTTCAAAAGGCAGAGTGTCAGTATAACGGATGACAGTAACCAACTCTCTACTTGGAGTTGTCGTCGATGGGAAGGCTATCCAGATCGGACCTACTCGTAACCAAATAACAACCCACTTATGCCAGCGGAGAAGGTCAGAGCGTAAATAAACCACCCGTTTGTTTGTTCCAAGTCGGTAGTAGGCTTCGGCCCATTGCGACCTTCATATTGCGGTTCCTGGTCTATCCGGGGCTCGGAAGGGAGCAAGGGAGCATTGGGGTCAGACGGCTCATTGTCGTCCCTGCGATTCATGGCTTAAGGTTGTATAGGTTCTATACGGGTATCTATATCAGCCATTCCAGGCACGATTATGACTCGAGCTTCCAGCTATACCCTATATCTGGGGTATACTAGATTGTTCGGGAAAGGGGGTTCTGGAATCTGGAGAAGTGGTTGCGGGTTTAGCTCAGGCACGGGGTAGACACTTTTTACATAATAAGGCTAACAGCTCACGCGACCCACCGCCCCCATACTCAACAGTGGCGCAGCCGGATCTGGATACAACATCATGTAAATAAAGAAGGGGACACTTTCTTGGATCTTATAGATTCAGGTCAATGGTTCGAAGCGTTCCTATGCTATCTCTGATGGTATACTGTTGGGCGACCTGGTAAATTTGTCATTATTCATCACGAGCAGTCCCAAATCAGATTGATGGAATTCATCTGCAACGACATGGAGTACATGTGAGCATATCCCACGCACGTTGATTAACCAAAGCGCAGATGGAAAGCCTACCAATCAATATTCCTCGCACATGAAAAGTCAAACAGTACCCATCTCATACGCAAAAGACTCGTATGGTCAAGAAATCTATAACTTTAACAGTCTGATAGGCCATTATCAGGACATAGTCAATGTCCATACGTGTGTGAATGATGCAGCTTGAGTATATCAATGCCACAATATTCTAGCTAAAAATACAATAATCAGGATAATGTCTTGGTTACGAAGAGCGGTATGCCCCTGTGGTTGGTCTTCTGTAGAACGGGATACAATAGATAGACAGGACACAATAAAACCAAGACAAACACACATCTTCCAAAATCCAAATCATCTTCTTCGAGCCAGGCCACCTACATCACTCTCTCGGTGTCCTTAGTATCTCATGCTGCCCAGTATCTATGCATCTGGGCAAGGTTGTCTTGCTATATCACTGATATCGAAGGTTTTATGCCTGAGCGAGAGACTTTTCTCATGATGGCAAAAGCTGAAAGTGGATAAGGCCCGTATATTAATCAGATATGGCATCACTCTCATTAAGGCTCTGAAGAGCTTTTTTACTATCTATAGATATTCTGCTTGTCGAAGCTATCGGCCTCACAAACCCCAAACAATGATAGGATGCATCTATCGGGTATTATCACAATGCATGTAGTACGAAGAGATGCTAAAGTTACCCCCGACTGGCAGACCCACGGATGGACAGCTCCGAAATACCCACGGTCTATGTCTCCATATCACTAGTGTCCGTATTGGAAACGGGGCTCAGATAGTATGTGTTTGGTATATTGATTAGTGCCTCGAAGAACCAATTAGGCTTCAGCGGTGATAGTTGAGCCAGAAAGTTTGGGGCGATATAATAACTTGGAAATCAGGCGGTATGAATTTCTGCTCTTTGAGAAATAGTGCAAGCTGGGCTCAAGCTGCCATATTATGTTGGCTTTGGTCGAGTAGCTTCGATACATGCTCACCGAGCAATTGATTTGAAGTATTCATATAGTCTCCTGTGATTGAGCATCTACCAATGACACGTAGCCGATTCATCACTGTACTCGTGAGCCTAGTAGTTCCCTTCCAATGCACCAACTCTGAAGTTACCAATTTCCAGTGCTCCAAGGCTTTAGGTACCATGGTTCCCTCGGAATCACGGATTTCTCGCTACAATGTTTAGATGCTGCTAGTAGCGCCTGGGTCTTATTCATAGCACACGAGTGAAGGTATCCTATGAAGCCTCTGGTCTTCTGGTACAACTGTCAATGCTGTTTTGCATGACTGCTTGGGCCCTATTGCCTCGCAAAGCCTAGATATGGTAGTCTAGAGTATAGTGGCATAATCTTTTGACTCGTCTTTTTCCCACTAGGTATCTAGGTGGCGGGTACCAGCTCCTCGTTGCGAACCAACAGGTCGAATGTATGATTTCATTGGTTCCAATATCTTGCGCCCCATCTGTGTTGGTACAAAGTTGTTTTCCCAGTATGATTATATCATCGTGTTTAGCTTACCGCCCCGGTTTTTCGGGCACGCCTCCGTAGGCCCCGCGTAGTCGGTGAAGGAGCATCAACTTTGCCAGCTCACGTTCCTCCCTCTCGGTAAGCGCAGGCCTTGAGAGGTTAGCCCGAATGCAGCAGAAAAATAGCCGGAGTAGTGTGCACATAGACAGTAGCTAGCACTCGAATAAGTGCGTGGTAGATTGCCATACCGGTGTACCTACAGGCCAGGATGCTATGTTAATCTATCAAAATTAGATTTCTCTGGCTGATCACCTGCAGTAAGCAACATCGCACAACCAAATTGAGCAAGCTTCAGGAGCCAGTTGATTTGGTCACTCATGGTTGCCCCGGCGAAGAGGGGAGAGGGGCTTCAGTTGGCACAACTGCGAGTGCGAGACACTTGCGGAGTACCCGGGTTCTGTACGAAGATGGTTGGTTTGTGACGAGAGTGAATAACGTCCATCGACAGGACCTTGCAAGGATTATCGGGTTTAGCTCCCCAAGATCGCGCGCCAGGAGGCAGGACAGCTGTTCATGGGGCCGTGCAACCCTGGCTAGTTTCGCCAATCAAGGGAGCGAGCGGCACATCTCGTCCACCAAGTGTGCTAAATCTGGATAGATCAGTCGCACAGCAGCGCACTTTGCACTCCAATCCTAGAGGCCCGATGATGAGGATATCATTGGGACAGGGTTATGCCTGCATAGATGCATGAACTTGCCCCTCAGTGTCACCTAGGAGACTATCCCATCACTGAAGTGCCGTGTTTTTGGAGGCAAGGGCTGGCGGGTGTTCCTGCTTCTGATGGTTTCACACCCACTGAAGGAAGGGGTGCAGTCAGCAAGGATAGTCTTTACTCTTTCTTATCCAATGGGGCCAGGATCAGATTCTGAAACACGGAGACCAGCTTTTGGCAGATTATAATAAGGCCGTCCGAATGACGGTTGAGAATGAATGAGTAGCAGCGAACGCCAAGAAAGTCGATCAGCACAGCTGGAGGTACCGGAAAGCACACTCTTTCTGAACGAAGCCTGCAACAGGAGCAGATAGGCAAGGCTAATCAATAGATGGTGGATAGTGTGCACAGGGGCGCGGAATGCTCGCAGCTACGGATCGGACTCCTGTGGTTCGATCGGAATCATCATAGCAATGAATAGCACTGAACGGAACTACTATCTGTCTTGCGTAAACAGGCCCAGAGCCTAGGTAACAATAGCGATACAACAAACAAAGCCTTGACCTAACAACAAATAATTAAAAATGGAGACCTCAAGGCTCTAGCCCGGCCGGCAATCGGCCGGAAGAAATTGTGCCCTTGGAAGCTCGACGCTCGCAGTCCACGTTCCGCTCCGAGAAATTGGATCTATCATCGCGATCGGCCTTTTGTGCTCGATGAGATAAGCTTACTATACTACGGAGTACACCGTTGGCCTGCCAGTTTTGACACATGCGACCGAGAGAAAGGCCGATACAGCTAGTTGGCCTCAGAAATTGGCTGCCTGCCCTTACTACATGACATCTTGCTTACAGATCGCAACGCTCGAAGAACATTTCTGCACACGGGTACACTGGGAAATGAAAAGCCGTGAGCTCTCGGCCTTTCTCGGAAAATAAATGCGACCGTAGTGGGCTAGATAAATTTTCCTTGGAGAGTTGGAGTCTTCAGACTTCAGTGTCGTCATCCTGGAGACAGGCGGAAGGGAAAAGAGGGTCGGCAAGGAGGAATGAAGGGGATTTTATTTTACTTTCTTTTTTTTTTTTTTTTTCCTAATCACATCGGGAACTTGGATGGATAAAGATGGGTAAAAACAATGGATTGGAAGCGCTAAAAGAGGCAAGGACTGAGAAAGTCTACCCTGGGTAGCATCCCGCTTGTTCCTCTCGGCCCCGTGCCTTGGAACCGGCCGGTTTTTGAAAGCTCAGGAACCAGATGTTCTGCCGATGGTTGTTCCAGAGATCGCCAGCCTAGATCGCCTCCTCCTTCGCTCCCTTGAATGGCTCGGTAAGCTAAGCAGAGAACGTAAGTAAGAGACTAGATAGTAGTAGCCAGGGATACGAGCCCGGGGCCCCGTGCTATCTGGGAAAATTAATAGTATTAATATCTCTTATTATTATTGTCATGAGAGTGACTTTTGCCAGTCAGTCAGTCAGCCAGCCAGCCAGCCGAAAGCTACTTCCAGTGAAAAAGTGGGGATGGGCATGATGGCTTAGCCGCGTTATAAAAGGGACCCATTGTTTTCATGACTTGGACGGAATCAGTGGTCCTGATCGGTACTAGACTCGGACGCCAGTTGCGGTCTGATTGCATCATGAGAAAACCAGACTCGGTCACCTCGATCCCATCTCGTGCGGTTTTGGAGCTCTCTGCAGAAGCATCTCCACTATCGAGGTCCTGAGAAAGTTGGAAAAAGCAAACAGGGTGAGATGCTAAATCGAGTCAAAGCATAAGATGGATAAAGCCAAGTATAATCTAGCCGCCTTACTAGTAAGTAATATCCCTTCGCACAGGGATAGGATACAACGACACAGGGAGAGAAAGAGGGTTGAACGTCCTCAATGCTTCTTCCAATTATATGGCGTTCTGGACCAGTAGGTTCTCATAAAATCTCGGGAAGGGAGGGAGGGAGGGGGGAGGAGCTGAAGATCCCTGGTTTGTCTCATTAGGCCAGCACAGGTTCGGGAATCAGATCCCATCCTCGCCATCAAGTCTCTCTTGGTGGGATCGTGCACGCTAGTGGCCCAGCTGCAGCCGCCCAGGTGCAAGGATCGCGGCTCGCCATGATTACCCAAATACACCGCCCGATGGGTAGATAGTAGTAGTGGACGGTCGGACTACTCCGAACACCATTAGTAGTGTAGTATGTTTCTGTGTGTGGACTGTGGACAGTAAGCAGCTGAAGACAAAAGATACTAACTACTACGGTAATTAGTTAGTTAGGTAGTAGGATCATAGACTTACCTGTCTGATCACTCTACCTAGAACAAGGTAAGTGTTTCATTCCCCAGGATATGTGCATGATTGGATTTCAGCTTAAACAACACACGAGTCTATTCCTTTGGCTAAGTCGTCCACCACGTCAGTAAATTCCCTCCTACATAATACCTGCATACTACATGGATGGAGTACATGAGCAATGACTTACATAAATACCCTCGTGTTCCTCCTGATTCTGCATTAGAAGGCGTTTCAGGTTTCCTTGGTAGCTATCGCTGTCCACCTGTGAGTTGGTGCCTTGAAACCCCAGGCTGTCAGAAAAGCTCTACGTACTAGATTCGGTCTCAAAATGATTACTAGCTTGATAATACTGAGTAGCAAACCCTTGGACAGCAGCAGCTCCAAAATCCCATCATGATGGCTGCACTTGCCCTTGTCTATGCTGTGTGGTCCAAACAGGTGTGTGGAAGCTCTTGCGTAGCATACCAGATAAATGAGGTGTAAAAATTGAACGGCTTTTGTAGTGGAGGGATTTTAACCTTCGTACCGGTTTTTGATTCTAATACTAAAGGAAAGAAAAGAAAGCACAATTTAACTAATATTTTTTATTTTTCCTGCTTTTCTATGCTCCTTCTTTTACCCTTCCAATTTGTGCTCTTCCCGCTTCCCTGACTCTAGCCACAATTTATTGGGACTTGCCTTGCGGTCGTGGGTGTGCTGGGGGTGGAACTCCTAGCGTGATCCATTCCTTTCCCAGTGGTTGAGTTTAGACTAGAACCAGAAGAACATCGCCCGTGGGTAGCAAAGCCAGTGACCGCGTCCCACTGGGGCTTTTGTTGATCGATGACCTTGGTCTGTTATTATTACCTCTCTCATTCGCATGTTGCTACTGCTGCTGCTGCCGCTGCTACTCTACTGCTACTGCTTCTTCGTTTTTTTCCCTTCTGCTGTCTGATTTCTTTGGTTTTTATTTTTCCTTCTTCTCTCCGTTGACTTTAGGACAGTTAAACAAACTGCTGTGACTTTGCGCGGGCCAAAGCTTTAGTCGCTCAGTCTTCCTCTTTAGTCCCTCATTCCTTGATTACATTCCTTTTCGACGATTCCCCCATTCCTTTAGCTTCCTCCTAGCTGGCTCCGACACCCTTTCCCCTCACCCACCCTAAGGTCGCACTGATCGCACGCTGGGATTGTCTTTACAAATAATTAATACTGCTGCGATACTGCCACTGTGGCTTTGGCTTTCACCACCGCAAGGCTAGATCGCGCTCTGATTCCACCTGTCTTCTTTTGAGATGGTGTTTATCTAGATGTGTCGGGCTAGCTGATCCTCCTCGTGCAAGATAATGCAGATGGGTCGTCAACTACATGTGATATCGATGTGGCTAATCTGAGGTTTATGGTGCTTGACACTGTTCTCGGCGCCCTCTGAGAATGGAGCATGTATCAACGGTGAGTTCTGCTTTGTGTCCGATCAGATCTCTTTTGGATCGCATTCGTTTGGTTGTCCACTTTGCGGCGGCTACAGGCTCTCTGCCTCGCGCAAATTGGGAGAAGCAAAGCGCTTGACTCAGATTTCGCGTCCTTTATGTTTACAAGTAGTCGCGGCTAACTGGCTTTTTCTTTCTTCCTTTTCGATCAGCTCTGTGCAATTAGCACCGTCGGTATTGCACCAACTGGCTTCGCCTTCGGTCGCGTAGATCGAAGCTCCTCCAGACCAGGCCGATTCCGGAAAAAGACCCTCCCGCTGCATGATCAATGCGCGACAGCGACAGACGATACCGTATCCTTGTCAAATGCAAACTATGTCCCCACAAGTCCCTTTCCATCAGTGACAGCACAATCTCCTCTGGCCGCAGAATTCTTTCGGGGGTCAGAAGATGGTGCGTTTGATACGAGTAAGCCGGGAGAGGAGAAGTCGCGCAGGAAATCATCGTTTGCAGGTGTACGACTGCGACGTCGCGGACAGACCTTCACTGGCCCGCCAAAGCCAGTCTTCGAGAATATTTCACTCGCTGCGCACATACGACGACCCTCGTCTTCCTGGGTGCGACGCCTGTCATTTCAACCGGAGAAACGCGCTTCATGCCAGACCCCCGTTTCCCCTACATCAAACACGCCCGGTAGCCCGGCCAGCCCTCCCGCTTCTATTCAACGCAGGCCCAACAAACTAGTCAAGCGGCCACCTTCACATCATGCCAACTCTCATTCATTGTCCGGGATCGCGCCATCTTCTCCTTTGACTCCCACCGGTTTTCGCAGGCCTGCTACTAGTCATCAGCGGTCTGAGACCTTGGGACATAAAGCTACTCATAGTCTTAATTTCGAACCGAGTCTGATCTTGAACCCTCCGGTAAGCAAGCCTGATATTGCTGCTATAGGGGATGATCATGTCTGGCGTCCATATATAGACGTCAGCCCGGAGGGTTTTTCGGAAAGGCTGGCGCGCAGATTCTCAACCGCAACGAGACCGAAAGACCAAGGGCTGCGGCGGATCGTACCGAATGCGGAGACTGCCCCGGCTCTCCTTTTGGCAACATCTATCAAAGGGAAGCAACCGACGGCGGAAGCTGGCCTGGATGCATTTACTCCTTCCCCTTCAGTCCAGTTTCGAAACCCGTTCGAGCCCAGTGGGAACTCATCTCAACAAAAAGAATTGTCATTGCCGCCGGAGGAAAGCGATTCCCAAACCTCGCCTTCTTTGCAAGATGCGGATCCGAAGTCTCTCCCAACCGACACTGGAGCCCCCGAAGGCGAAAACTTCAAGAATGTTCCCCTAGTTTATTCTAAAAGAAGGGCAATATCGACGCCTCTTCCAGCGAAGACAAAGACGGAAGGAACTCAGGTGATTCCGATTCACACACATGGAAGACGAAACATCACCGACCCTAATATCTTCCGTCGTCCGACCTTTGCACAGAACGGCGCTACTTCGTCATTGATGTCGGAACTAATAAGTCCGCGACGCAGAGCCTATCCTCTTTATCTTCAGGACTATAAACAGGAGATGGCTCATCTACGGGACATCGGATCACGTCCATTCACCCTGGACTCAGTAACACTGACTAGGTCTCAAGGCACTTTCCGTCAGCGCCCAAAACGCCATTCTATCGCTGCGTCAGACCCTGCATCAACCGTCATAGGTTCCGATGATACTCATATATTCACATCTGGCGATGAGGATGAGACAGATTTCTTGAGCGACACTGCCTTTGACTCCATCCGCACCCATCTCACCACCAGCAGTGGCTTGGGCTCTTATGCTCCTCGAATCGAGACAATCTTTGATAAGGACTTCCCCGTGAATACCTTGGAGGGAGAGTCTTCTAATGGCCATGCACTTGAAACACGCGAATCTCTTACTTCACAGTCGCTTGGGAATTGCCATTGTGAATCTGATGCAGATGCGACGCCAACGCCCATTACTATGCCAGGCCATATCGCAGACAGCGCATCGGATATGCACGAAGGTGACAGCCACATATCTTTTCCGTCTGACTTGACCGACGACGAAGATTCTCGCAGTCTGGTGGCGGCGTTGCCCGGTGAAACTACCAATCCATTCACACAAGTGCAACCTTCAATGTTGTCGTTGAAGGGTGATGGCGGCGATTGTTTTAGAAGCGAGACAAGGCAATCACACAAGTACGATTCTCGCAGTCTCAACCACGAGGCGCTTGACTCGTGTCCGAAAATGAACATCTTCGACTGGTCAGAGCAGCCTAGAAGCGACCGTGAAGCAGCAGGTTCTGATGGGCGGCCACGGACCATGCATGGGAAGCATACGCCTGACGTGCGTGGCAGCCGCGCGCCAGGACGAAAAGCTCCGAGTACATTGCATCTCCGTAGCCAAAGTGTTCCAGTAACGAGAGACCCTCCGACAATTAATGAACAACGTCAGACCTCAGGCAAATTCGGTACATGGGGCCTTGGGAGCAAAGGCGTTAGCGAAGACTGGGACAGTGACTTCGATTTCGAGGATGCAGATGAGACTACAACCAATGAATCTATGAAGCCAAGCAAAACGACCCCCCGGCGGGGTATGATTGTTCCTCAGGCCATCATGGAACGCCAAGCAAGCCTTCATGGGCAGTTCGGACAGGTCCAAGAACTAACCTTGCTGGTTGAAGAGCTAAAGCGTCTGCGACACCAGGGCAGCTTTCTAAACATCGTCCGCGGGCCATCAAGCGAGCTTTGGAAAGAGGCAGAAGGAATAGTGAACCTAGCCACGCTTGATGATGACGATCATAATAACTCGAACAATAACTCTCCTCCTGGTTCCCCTTCCTCGCTGACATTCAGTTTTGACGACTCGGAAGGCGATTCATCCAATGCCAATGATCCTTGGAAAAGGGTCAGCGATGGATCATGGGGATTATCGCTCTCAGAGCACTCCAATTCCCGCCCTACTACCTCTCCCAGTCCCGATGTCACTACCAAACCGAACTCTGTGTTGGATCTGATCTATCGACAACGCAGCTCGGTTGACTCCGCTTTTGCAGGATCACATCCTCCTCGTCCCAGAAAACTTCCTTTTGATACGCAATCTCTCCGCGACTTGGTCGTTCGAGCTGGCGTTGTCACGCGTGCTTTAAAAGAAGTAATCCGCAAAGCCGAAGGTGTTACGGCAGAGCCTAGAGACACCATACATCTTTCAGACCCGCCATTCCGTCGCATTTTCGACCAGTCTTCCCATCATAATGCATGTCTCGAAACTCACGGCAAATGAGCCACGCCACTTCCTTACACTACATGATGTTATCACTTCACGCCTTTTCTATTCTCCGACTGTATCTTCTTTTTTTTTGAAAAGTCTGATGATTTCTTGAGCATATGAATTGACGCGAAAGAAAACAATTGACTTGGACATGCTTCACCTCTACGCTACCGCTAATTTCCTCTTCTCCCCTCCCTCTGTCAGGGAAGGAATCTTCGATAAAACTTTCTGTTTTCGGATGGATATCACATTGTACAATTCAGATGTTTGGTATTTCCCATTCAGGGTTTGTGTTGTGTACTTGGGCGGTTCTTGTGCGAATATTTCTTTTTATTGGGGCCTTTCTCTTTTCTCTCTCAACCTTTTCCATGAAGTCTCCTTTTTAGTCTCCTTTTTCTTTTTTCTCATCTTCTGTTCTCTGTATGTGATATTTTCGGAAGTGGATTACGAAGGTCCCGTACAGTCTTCCATTGCCTGTTTTGCCTCTGCCAGCTTCCTTTTCTTCGTTTGAATTTACTTTTCACGGGTGTATGGATATAAGCATCTGGGTCATAATGTACCTGTCTGGAGAAACGAAAGAAAGATATGGCGATTTCTCAATAGCCAATATTGCAAAATATCGAAGAACGGGCTATTACAATCCTAATGAAACGAGCCCAGTGAGCCAAAATCTTCCTACAACCATGTAAATGTCCATTTCTACCTTGAATTCACCATTTAACACATACTTGACCCTGGCCATCAGGAAGTGTATGGATTTTAATGGATCCGCGGGGGAAAATAAATAGAGGTGATCAAAGTTAGAAATTTGCGGTCAATCCATCAAGAACATGATGGGCTATCAACTGATCTGAGAACGAAAGTGGCGACCAAATGGACCTGGTGGGAAAGGAATTTAAATAGTATCGGTGACATACATCCAATCAATGTACTGCTCGTGATACAATGTTTTCTTGTATTGTTACATGATTTTGCTAGTATATGGCATTGCCAGCTATAGCAACCATAGGTTTCAACAACATATATGTTTATATTGGTTCGAACTTAGTCTTTGCTAACCCGGAGGAAAAGAGCGTAAGCTGGGTAATATTGCATGCACCGTTTCTCTTCCAGAAAGAGTTACTAGATCTCAGTAGCTAGAGTACCCTAGAAAGAAAGAAAAAGAAACAAACAAAATTAATAAGTAATTCATAAGGGGTAGCAATATGTACTACGGTAGACCGCTTCGTACCACCCGTGTTGTATACGACATATCAGGAATACCGGATACCTTCTTCTAGAAACATGCTCAAGGTTCTTCTTAGTATTCTTCTTCTTCTTCCTCTTCCTCTTCCTCTTCCTCTTCTTCCTCCTCTTCCTCCTCCTCCTCCTCTTCTTCTTCTTTCACCACCACCACCTCCTCCTTTCTCGTGAAAAGAGCGCAACTGCTATCTAGAATCACGGCTCTGGAGCTTTGCATATATGAATCTATTGAAAGGAAAAGTGCCGTGCCGTTTCACATATTATTCATTGATATACTGTTGCTACATGGCATGGTGATATAGACAGTCAACGATCCAATAGGTTACATGAACCTAGTACTTGGTGGAAAGTATGCAAGCCATGATCTTCATCCTAGGGGGCATATAATGAATATAATTGTAGTGTTCCTTGCGATTTGTGTATCCATTCTAAGTTCGTTCTGGTTTCCGTAACAAACCATAATCCTAGACTCGAGGGACCTTTGCTGTATTCATGTCTCAACCCCAGCTACATAGGAGATGTGAATGACGGGACGATCGCAAGTGAGTGGGCATTTTCTATCGCACCAGGGATCTTGTTATTTTCATAAATTCACCATGAGAAATGTGCTTTCTGGATTCTGCAGTTTTAGGAAATCTATAACCGAGGTCGCCTCAAAATACTTTTGGGCCTCAGGCCACGGTAGATCAGCTCGAGGCTGTGGTTCGGCTAGATGGCTAAGCCAAATAACCGGCCAATTGATTAATCTGGTTTTCTTTCCTATACTCTGCGTAGTTTCCGTAGTAAGATCGGAAGGGCGGAGAAATATCATAGTTTCCAGAGGCTACCCCATACTTTATCACATTGCAGACAGATTTGTCACTGATTGCTGGATTGTTTGTTGGGGGTTCACTCACTAGTTGTGGATAGAGGAGTTAGATAGCATCAGTGCAGGACAGTAATGCTTCGTAGGTATTTAGTACTACATGCCAGGAAGGATACCCGGGCCAAGCCAACTGAACAATCGAGTAACTGAGCCAGCCAACTGATGCTAATAATAAACCAACTGTTATCGTGGATGTACGTCAACTACTTCTTCACTAGTTGTGCTCCGTAGGCAACCAACAAACTTTCGCAGTGCCAATCTACTCCGGTAGGATCATTCGAGAAGGTTTAGCACCTGTCCAGACTTCCCAAGGGGTAAATGTCAGATAATAATCGAGCAAGTCGACAGGCTCAGCTTTGTATGGCGGGTGGAGAATGTCCGAGAGGTAATCTCCCAAGGGGTGGAGTCCCCTTTCAATTATTGGTCAGGACTGAGCGGGTTCCTGGCGCTAGTCTGAAAAGGAGAGACTAGACGCCCCACTTGTGCCTTGGTTTTTTGCTTTCTCGACTCAGGGGATCGCGGCCACCTTACTTGCTCAGTCTTAAAGTAGAGAAAAGTAAATAGAGCCGGACCTGGAGGAGATGAGAAGACAGTGGATTGAGAGGGTCGCCAAGGTACTTAGAACATCTGCCAGAAAAAGCCCACGAGGAAGCTGAAACACTTGCAAAGTAAGGAAAGTCACAAAAGAGAAATCAGCTTGCCCAGACTGTTGGATGGAGTCCGTTCACCATTACTGCTAGTGAACTAGTGTTCCATACGGATGTGATACCGGTATCTACTTCACATTCGGTAATATGTATTCCGATCTTCAGCCAACTCAGGGGGCGGCAAAACCATGGCGTGACAGAAGAGGAAGTGTACCTTACTACCTAAACTCCGACCTTTTGGTCCATACTTGAGCCAGCTCCTTTGTAGTTCTATTCCTCTTCTTGACCTCAAAATCAATCGCAATGTACTCACGGTGTAGAAGTTATGTGGGTTGGCCAACGTTATTGGCCCAAGCTCTACTAAATAGGAATTATGTTGTTTATCAAGCATTCTTTTTGGGAAGATACTGTGTGCAACAACGATCATACTACCACTTAAAGTAGCTAATGAGTAGTTTACTTTGCTAGCGAGTAGCAGCAGCCTGTCTTATCTGCGTACGTAGATAGATGAATACTCAGAAAGATAGTACCTTCTCCTCGAATAGATGACCATACAATACTTTGCGAATACGGGGCATGTGTTCGGTGTTTCCCCTCCCGCAGTATGGTACGACGGATACTCACTCCAACTAAACCAGCTAGTTTAGTCTAGTTCAAACCACTGCTCAACTTCCACCTCTCCCCCCCACCCATCTGCCACCAAGCTTTGCCTCTCCTCCCCACAACTGGTTAGACAAACAAATGAATGGAAATGAAACGGGCCATCTAGACCGCTTAGGCAGACTAGCCCAAGGTAGTAGCCCTGTGTGCTGCTGCTTGCTTACACCCTCTGGGCTTTCGCCCTGCCGGCTCACTTCATTTTCCCTCTTTTCTCCCTCTCCCTATTGAGTTCGGTCGGCCTCCTCTTCTTGCTACTCCTTTCCTTTCCTTTTTTAACCTGTTACACGTCGTTCTTTCCCTCCCCCCCCCGGGCCTCGACATCTCGAGGTTCGCGTACAGTCGTTCATTTCAGGGAGCCTTTCTCGCTCCCGTCCATTCCTTGCTGGACCCAAATCCGTCCTTGTACCTTCGCTTCTTGTCCGCCATTACCACCGTTGTTGAGCGTGGCCACCTGCCCTTCCCCCAGTGAGATAGATCTTCGCATCATAGGCACCTCCTCAATTGCAGCTCGTCATAAATACCGCCACTCGACTTCATGCTTTACGGATATCGACACCTGGGAAATATTCACATCAGACCGAAGAACTACTGTGGCCCTGCAACTGCCCCATTGTCGAAGTAATCTGGAAGAATCTGGAAGTCCTCCGGGCTCACGGAGAGTTCGGATTACCTCCCTAAAGAACTCGGTCGATCATGCACAATCACCACCACCATCATCAGGCTCTCCATGGCACACAATTGCAAGGCCGCTCGATGGCACGTCGCCCAAGCCTTGTGCCTCGTGACCGGCTGCCATTGCTAGCGATGCGCGGAACTCCGACGTTGGCAAGAAGAGAGCCTCTGCCGTCTACTGATTCTTCGGCTACCTCATCCTCCGCATCCAGTGGTACTAAACCGACAAGCACGCTTACCACTACCACCTTGCCTGTTGTTTTAGGAGCAGTGTACGTTCAATTGCGTTCCCTCCTCCCTTCAAAGTGCCCACCTTTGCCCTCCACTTTACGGCACCCATAGTTATAGTTCTGTTCCAATGGTTTAGAGCCATGACTGATGAGCATCTAGGGTTCCTATTGTGATTGCTATCGGCATTCTACTCTACTTGCACCGCAGAAACGTGAAGAAGCTCCGTAACGAAGATGCAAACGACAAACACAAATCTCTCGACTTCGGCCTGGATTTGGCGCCCACTAACGGAGCTGTGCCTATGCAACAAGCAGAGAAAGCTGATCGCAACGCGGCCCACAACAAGGGCATATCGTTGGATATTGGGCCTAGCCCCTATCTGCTTCCCCCCGGTCTGCACAACTCGAGGGAATCCCTGGCGTCTATGTCCAGATCCATCGGTGATGGTGACGACGATAAGTATCGACACGTCGGGTCCTTCCTCGGTGACAATTCGTCGCTCAGGTCGCACTCGAGAGGCCCCCACGACGATGCGGCAAGCTTCACAGGTTCAACCAGACGGGCCGCCCTGGGAGACGAGATGAACCAGGGCCTTCTGCGGAACGCCCAAAGAATGTCGCGCTCGTCGCCGCCACTTTACAAAACTCAGTCTGGTGACCGTAATGCTGAGAGCCCAGCGAGCTCTGATCATGAACGCGATCATGGGTTCCAACTGGATCTGCCCAGAAGCCCGAGTCCTGTACATGTTCCCGGAATGGCCATTAGCGAGCCGCACACGACAAGCAACGAAGCCGGATTCGCTGGAGATCACGCAGTTACTGAGACCAGTGCCAAGCAGAAGCGCCTATCGCATATGCCACAGTATGCAGATATGACACTTCCCAGTGTCCACGGTCTCGGCCACGACGTGGATTCGGTACCGGCTCCTCAGAATCATGCCAATCTTCCACCGTTACACGACCCTCTTTCGCTTCATCTGGACCCCAGCCCGGCTTCTGTGCAAACCGCATCGATGTCAACACCCAGGATCTCGCTCCCTGTGAGTGATGCAGCTAGCGATTACGGTGATGCGCGGAGGTCTACTATCCCGGCCGTCAATGTGCAAGATGTGACGAGCGCCACAAGCTATGAAGATGGTCCTCAGCACCCCGACGTCCCTGCTGTTCTTGCCGAAGAGCCACCTCGGGGTCAAAACACAGGCCTTGATGCAAGCCGTCGTGACACGCGACGGATGACTTTCGGTCTTCGTCCTCTGCCGCCAGAGGACCCGTCTGAGGACCCCGAGCAACGTGCCAACCGTATCAGGTCCTTCTACAAGGAGTACTTCGATGAGAACAAGAACGGCCGGGAAACAATGTACCAAGACTATGTGCCAGATTACTATGGTGAAGAGGCCTATGCGCATGACCCTATGATGGGTGATCAGTTCGGTGCGGTGCCGGCGCCATTTGCTGAACCAGTGACTCGTCGTGCCATGACTCCTCCACCTCGCGCACCTCCGCGCTTCCAAGGGGCAGCTCGGCATATGGCCAGGGGCTCGGACGGAGGCAGTGGCTTTCAATCTCCCGGTCCCCGTGCATTCTCCTCGGCCTCTAACCGTATGCCGGGACCTCCCAAGCCGCGCAAGCCGATACCCCCGCCATCGCCGCTTCAGATCCTCCCCACACCCCATATGCTGAATGATGGCTCTATCATGTCTGCCATCGAGTATGCCCCCTCCAATCACTTCAAGGATCAAAAGGAGGGCCGACCAGGAACTCCCTTGGGCGGCCTGCAACCATTTAGCCCGGCCGTGCCGGTCCATTCGCCGCTTGTTTCAGCTTTCGATGACCTTTCAGCCTTGCCTAGCGCGTAAGTCATATTCTCTCAATTTGCATTGAGTACAATATTAACCAAGTTTCAGACACGCATTGCGCAAGTCGGGCGCTTACGACACATTGGATTTTGCACCTCCGCCTCGCTTCAAGAATGATACTGCGAGCGATGCTGGTAGTATTCGCAGCAACGGCACTGGGATTTCCTCGGCCCATTTGCACAACATCCGCACTGGTGCGTATCGTGTCAGCCGTCTCCCCGCGGACACTGTAGGTACTAAGGATGACTTGATGTCGAACCTCCGTCCTAAATGGGATATGCGGCAGTAATTACCGGCATTTCTGTTTCGTTCTTTCTTCCCAGCCGTAACGATTTCCCCCTCTGCCACAGCCATCTGGTGTTACATACCTTATCACGATCTATTCTTGTCCATTATATATTCTGTCCTAGCGGTACTTCTTTTGAGGAACCGGGTTCGATTTCGCAAATCTTCCCAATGTTCAGTGGCGTGAATACGTACAAGGGGCCTTTTGTTGTTCGTCTCTGCTTTCTCTAGGCGCTCGGTCTGATCAGCCATGTTTCTCTATAACCTTCAACCTGCAAATATGATTCTGTTTTGGAGGCGGATCGTCGATGTCTAAATCCGACGATGCTTGTGTCCCCAAAATGCCTTCTTTTTATTAGAAAGAAAAAGAATGTGCTACTTTTTTTTTTTTGTGTTCGCCGATTCCGGTGAAAAGTGTGCGTCGTAGGCCCAAGTACGTGGCTTCGAAAGTAAAGGTGCCATGCATATCCGCAACAGTGCAAGGATGACACGCGGTCTTGCGTCATCGAACGATAAGAGGCCTGACCGACCGGGTGTTGGTACGGATTCTTGCACAAGTAGTAAGTAGTATTCTCGGATACAGGTGCATTGGAAAAATTCCGAGACATATATTCGCCCAACGAAGTTTGCAGCTTCATGATGTGTTTTACTGTTTATGGCGTAGTATTCAACGCCTTGTTGGGAGGCCTGAAAGTAAGTGGTAGAGACCCAATTGTTTGACCTATCCAGCTTGTGTCTGTCTCGCCTTATTGTCAGATGCAACCTCGGGGACAATACTCCTTAGTAGTAGACAGTAGGCAGGTAGGGAAGAATGACAGCCGGAAGCGGCCGACCGGGGCTTCATCTAAGTAGTCAACATGGCCATGACACTGATTAGTAGATAATAGCGTTGCAGTGTAGCTAGCCTTGATAGTGAGATTCTTCGATTTTACTCTTTCCTTATTCAATTGGGTTGAATTTTGAAGTGTCAAATATGGATCATCATGCCTTGAATGAGGAGGTGCACAGTCGATGGTAGACGCGACCGTCCGAGTCGCTCTTATCCGCTCGGGCGATTAGAGAGTGGAGAGAGATGCGGCATTCGCGGAAGCCACTGATGGCATACTTTTGAGTCAGTAAACGTATTTGATTACCTTGCCAGAAATATCTCAAAGCATGTACAGATGATTGGTTTATCTTGAGATGATATGTTGATAGCAAGGAAAATTACTGCCTGTATATCAGGTAGATCGATCAATGCTGCACCACCGTTCAGGGGGTAGTAGATATCTACTAGTAGTAAACATGTGGCATAGCATTGGTTTTCTTTTCTTTTTTTTCAAGACATTTGGTACCTGAGAGTTACCGATAGTGGCTCCTGCTTGGTTAGCGGTAAGAATGAAGTCCGGCACAACCAATCTGGGCTTGAGGCTGCTCGACTGTGGGAGATTGAGACCCACGGAAGGCGGCACTCAATCTGCAATCAGCAATTCTTCCTCTTCGCCCGGTGGGCCGCTTTGGGGTTCATCAAGTTTTGTTGCCCCCCATGGAACTGGGTCTAACTGTTGCTAAGAATAAGTAGTTCAATTTCAGGGCATGTCATGGTAGTTATGGACATTGGACATTGGAGAACTGGGTATGGAGTATGATTTTAGCTCCATAAGGATAGTAGATGAACCCTTGACACTCCAGATACTACTCCATTGTTCTGGTGTCAATCGATTTCGAGGGAGGGAGAAGAGAAATGTGATGACGGACACTTCGCTTGCTGACTCCGGCGGATGCCGATCGCAGCAATTTGGGTTGGCCAAGTGTAACTGGTACCATTACATACCACTCACTGGTTGTACGTAGGACTTTTTGTACCTAGTCGCTGCTCCGTACTCGTACCTGGTACTAAGAATAATTACCAGGAAGAATCAAAAACCAAGACAAGACTAAGTCAAAGTCACCCTCAGGAGCAACTGAGCCGGTTGCAGAGACCTGCTTCTGGCCGCAATTCGCCCATACTTCTCCGCTCTCCCGCTCGTTGAATCCATTCGTTCCGTCACTCTCTCACTCGCTCACTCGCTCTTTTCCCTTCCGTTCGTTCGTTCGTTCTCTCGTTGGAGTCTTTCCCTCAACTCCTCCCACACCCACCTGTCCCAATGAGTGTGTTATTTCTGCGCTCTATCTAATATGAGATCCGGGTCTGCTGTCTCATGGCATCCAGTTTAATTCCGGTGAGTTGCCACTGTGCAGTCCCTCCTCCTAAAAATTTCCTTTTCCCGAGAACCCTTTTTTTTTTTTATTCCATAATCTGTTGTTTTCTTCTTTTCTGCCCGCGTTGGTCTGAGGCGACCGTGCTTATCCCCTGACCATCCGCTAGGCAATCCATTATCAGCTTCACCACTTTACGGGCGCTACACTCTTATTCTACAGTGAAGCAATTCTTTTTTAATTTCTATTGGGTATACGGTCGTACCCTATATTCTTACATATATTCGTTCTTTCGCTATCGCAATATCTTTTCGCTCTTTCGATCGCCTTCCGATCCTTCCAACGCAATCTTAACACAGACTCAAGCTTTTGCGAAACTTCGCTCAAACGTGTACGACCGGTAACTTCTCGGCTGAATACGTCCTGTCCCTTTTCGTGGATCAGTCATTGACAGCTGGACTTGTGGAAAACTCAAATCCCAGTTGATCCTACTTGACTGATACCACTTGGACCCTTATACATCTGGATTTAATTCCCGTCTAAAGATGTCTTCTGGTATGGTGCTACCCCACTACGACCCCCTGCCTTGGAGAGCCCATTTCTGTTCTCTGCTATCCATCATGAACTATGCGCCTGCGATATACTGAACTTGCTCACAGGAGCGGCTGCGGCGGCTGCAGGAGCAGCGGCAGCAACATCGGCAAACGCCGCTGGTGCAGCTACTACTACACCCACCGAGACACAAGCGGAAACCACATCCCAATCGACAACGGAAGCAACTCCTACGTCCGAGGCGACAACATCGCAAGAAACTTCTTCCGCGGAACCAACGACATCCGTATTCACACCCTCTACAACATCAACGTCGTCGACCTCTGAATCAACGTCTTCTGCGACAACGATATCCATACCATCGACAAGTAGCACTTCCACTTCGTCGACTAGTACCACTGAGGCTCCCTCAACCACTACTTCTTCTACTTCCCACACTACCGCGACTCCAGTTGTCACCGAAGTGGTTACTACGACAGCAAGCAATGGATCGGCCGGCGTGGAAACCCTGACGATAACATCCACCGACACAACACTCCCAACGGGAACTGCTGGTACTGTAGGAAATGGCGTGACTGCCACGGGCAGCGGATCAGCAGCAGCAGCATCGTCGACGGGTGGAAGTGGTGGTGGCAGCTCAGGCCTTTCGGCAGGCGGCACCATTGCGGTTGCGGTTGTTGTGCCAGTGGCTTCAGTGGCCATAATCATCCTTGCAGCCTTGTACTTCTGGAGAAAGTGGAAAGCGAAGAAGGCGGCCGAAGAAGAACGGAGGAAAGAAGTGGAGGAATACGGGTTCAATCCGAATAACGATCCATCCCTGCCTCCTATCATGGGTGGTGGAGCCTTTGAACCCAAGGATGATAACACTTCTTCAGGCTACCGTGGCTGGGGAACGACATCTGCTGGTCGCAAGGCATCCACGAACCTATCAAGCAGCGCCGGAGTCGGCCTGGCGATGTCCGAGGCTGGAAGCGCGCCTGGTTATCACCATGCAGCGACCCCAAGCGATGGGACAATTCAGTACTCCGAAGGGCAAGGTACACTGGGAGAGACTGAACCCATTGGAGTCTTGGGTGCTGCTCCAGCAGCCGCGGCGAACAGTCGAAATGTCGATATCCACCGTGGTCCATCGAACGCCTCGTCGGCCTACTCTGCAGCCAATCATTCCGAAGCGTCCGAAGAGAGTCACATGTCTGCCACTCACCCCTCGGGAGGTTTCTACGACGATAACCCGTACTATAATGATATGCAACCGCAATATGGTGCATATGGTGACGGCCCGTATGGCGGAGCTCCGCCTGTCATTCGCGATGTTCAGGCACGACGCAATACACGCATTGAGAATCCTGCCGTGTTTCCTAGACAAGGGAATGCTGGTATCGCGCAGAATTTCTGAGATGCCTCTGCTTTCTCTATCCTCGCCGCATTAATACGTGGAAATTGCAAGCTGGACGCCCGGATGCAACAGACATTGTGGCGGTCGATGGGTGCTCTCTAACGAGCCCCTAGCGCCTTCAATTGGCTGTCTTTATATTTCTTATTTGGGTCACGAGACCTATGGCATAGAACGAAACATGCCTTCAACGCCCACCCCCCGCCTGGAAAACTGGGATAGCTTGTCGCCGGACTGTTCGGATAACGTTCAAAGTGCAGCATCATGAATCTCTTGTTCTTCAAATCTCTCGCTCACTGTTTCTTTTGTGGCCTTCCCAGACCTCAAAATACCTCCTTCGTTTCAATTGTCTTGTTTTCTTGTTTCAACCGGTGCCCTCGTTATTCTGGTCTATGGATATATCCCTCCTGTTTTTCTCATTTTCTCTTTTCTGTTTAACTCGGCCTTGTGATTGTATATTTATGATTCTATAGAAGCCTGACCTTCACTCAAGGCAACCAGGGCTTCCTATCTTGTTATTTTTTCTACCCGCCTCCTTATCCCCTTTTCTATTTTTTGTTTGCCTCGATTTTGTCTAAACGTGTCTTGCTCGGGTCTGGATATATTGTGGGTCAAGGCCACCGCAGTGCGTGCATCTCACCTGTACATTTGGATGCAATGGCATTGTGGACTGTTCATGGGGAGGGTAGTGTGGTTAAGGAATACATATTGTGAACTTTTTTGTTCCTGGATCCGTAGAGTCCGTAAAACTCGGGAAGGCCCAAGCATAAGTGATCCGAAGAAGTAGACCGTAGTGAAATCTGCTCCATTAACACTCAGAATGTCACGTCTGCCCCGGCACAGGGGATGAAAGAGCCCGCACGGACATGCTAACTTTTCAGTGATACAATTGGTGTTGCGAACCTGCTAGTGCTCTACGTAGGGCTGAGGACGTAGTACAGTTCAGATCAACCGAGTCCCCTGTAGATCATGACCAACAGACATGATGGGGAGGAGGGATTGATGGGTCAACGTAAGAGCCTGAGAAGGAAGTACGATAACGCAATTAGCCATTGATTCCTTGCTGCCTTCTGTTTCCATGAACAGGAGATATAATGACCTGGGTAGATCAAGCCTTGTGGCTTTGAAGGTGCCGCACATTGCAAACATGTATCTAAAGAGTAAAAGGTGAACAGTAGGCTACTAGGATCGGACAATTGCCCTTTGATGCACCGGAGTACTAAGCAAAGTATATCCTGCATGTCTCGGCAGCAGAAGTGATTGGCTGCATGTGGGACAACGCAGGGGTGATACCGCCAAGACTGGAATGGAATGAAGAAAGATGCCTGCGGTAAGTACTACGTAGATGAGTCCGGAGTTGTAGATACTAAATAGTAACTAGTACCGATGGCATACCCTACTTCGAGCCCAGCACGTCCTTCAAAACCAAGATTCCCGAAGAAGTCCAGGTGTGCTTTTGAAACTAACTCAGAACCAAGCAAGTAGTAACGAGTCAGTAGTTCATTGTTAGTGTACTTTTTGTAGAACACGTTGGCCATGAAGCCCGCGAATTGAAGCGTTGTCGTTCGGCGATAGAGGGAACGTGGGCACATTCCGGGCGGTGATTGGACCGGAGGCAGCTCTCCAGAGCTCCCCACTCCTTTTTTTCGACGTAACTTGACGTTGACCCTACCTATTCTGGCATCTAATGAGCGAAGCGCGTTCCCCCATTACCGCGTTTCTTTGGATTTACTGAACCTTGAGCTTCTCTATTGCTCTCTTTTGCCTTCTCTCCCTCCCACTCTCCCTCTCTCCCTCCCTCTTCTTTTTCCCACCCCCTCCAATTGTGCCCCGCCGGGGTCAGGTGCCCCGCATTGGTCTGCCCTTCCGGGTGAACACGGCATACCTTTTTAGTTGTGAGAGAACGAAGAGGTCTCTCTCTCTCTACCTAAGGAGTAGATAGTGATACTAGACCCTACCACTGGACCAGTCATCCATAGTTCATCTCTCATCCCTTCTCTTTGTCTGCTGTCCACCTGCCCTGTCACCGCCGACGCCGCCGACGCCGCCGCTGCTGCTTCAGTGAAGGTACGACGAGTGCGACGGAGGTACCAATATCCCGAGATATCACTACCTACGTCTGAAGGTACCTGGATTAGGCCGATCGTCACTTTGACGGGTGTCCTTGCCTTTCGTTCCCCGTCCCTTGGGTTTCTTGTTGACGCCCCACCCTCAAGACTAGTCCAGTCTTCCCTCGTTGTCTTCTCTCGCCCTCCCTCCATCCCGCCGGCCGAGCTCAAGAGAGGGGCGGACGTCCTCACCCCATATTCGCACTCGCTGCCATTCTTCTTTCACTTTCCATTCTGGCATTGCTGCTGTCCACTGTCTCTCTTCCTTCAACCTCGTACCTAGGCCCCTCAGCCTTTGCCTGAACTGGGCACCAGCGCATTAAGGGTCCGGTTACATCGCTCTCTCGCCTTCGCGCAGAGCTAGCCTCCGAAGATGTGAGTCCATGTCTGCTCACCGGTCATGAAATTTGAGCTCGTCATGTCTCCCATTGGGACACTAACAACCAGGGTTACAGGAAGTTCGGCAAGCAGATCCAGCGTAGACAGCTTGACCTTCCCGAATATGCCGCCAGCTTCGTGAATTATAAGGCTCTGAAGAAGGTCGGTCTCACACTCACTTATTTGGGCGTTCACTACCTCGCCTTTCTGTCTCCTGGACCACCTGATACACACCGTATCTCACCACAGCTGACCCGTATGACAGCTTATCAAACAACTTAGTGCGACACCGACAATACCCGCTCAGAGCGCCGCAGGTGTCCCCCAAAATGTCCCCGAAGCGCAAGCTGCTCTTCGCGCGAACAAGGAGGTGTTCTTTTTCCGTCTGGTAAGAAAGTCTGCCAAGTGCAGGATGAATTGGGGCTCATTAGTGATTTGTGTAGGAGCGAGAGATCGAGAAAGTCAATGCATTCTATCTGCAGAAAGAAGCCGAGGTTTGCATTCCTTTGTAACTCCCCTTCAAGAGCTGTGATGGGTTGATGACAAGGAACAGTTCTCGTTACGGCTGAAGACGCTAGTCGACAAGAAACGAGTTATCCAGTCGCGGGCAGTGACCAGCTCAAAAGCACCAGCCAATTTTGTGGCCCTGTTTGAAGGGTTTCAGCAGTTCGACGGAGACCTGAACAAGTTACAAGTGAGTTCGCTCGGTATGCGGCAAGCTTTGTCGAGGGAGGCATACTGACGGTCACTGTACGAAAAGCAATTCGTCGAGATCAACGAGACTGCGATGTCGAAAATCCTAAAGAAGGTTCGTCACAGAAAGCAACGCAGCCGTTAGCTTCCTTAATTTTTGACATGGCTAACAGTTCAGTTAGTGGGATAAAACATCAAAGGTCCGAGTCACCCATACCCTGCGCGTCGTGGATCCATTCGTCCCATCTTGATAACGTGCGGCAATTTACTTATCTATGTGTCTCATATAGTCTCGCATGAAGGAGCTCTACCTGCACCGCGCTGTTGAAGTACAACCGTGTTTCAATCGTGATGTCTTGCGTGATTTGTCCGACCGAGCAACGACAGCCAGGTTAGAACTGGAAGCATGGGCAGAAGGCGAAAACATCCACTTTGATACGGCGCGCCCGGTGGATCGGGCTATGGCTGTTCAGGCCTTTGGCACAGATGAGGAAGATCTCGACCTGCAGGTTCTACAGTCCGCAATGGCAGGGAACCTGCAGACGCTACGCGAATGGACCGCCAAGTTGCAGTCGTCTCCCGACGCACAGGCTCGCGCAACCCGCACTTTCCTAGCCGCCATCAATGAGTTCTCCGACGATGTATTAGCGGTGCTCTTGGAAAGCGGTTTGGTTAACCTCTTAGCTGAAGATGACATCAATGAGCGCAACTGTCTGCACGAAGCAGCGATCTCTGGTCGTGAATTTGTTTTCAAAGCTGGCCTGGAAGCCGGGGTCGATGTTTCCAGAACAGATGTTTACGGCAGGATTCCTCTTCATTACGCCTGTATGCATGGACGCGTGGATATGGTGCGGGATCTCCTGGCCGCAGGACCTCATACTGTCGATGTGATGGATCATGATAACTTCACCCCTTTGATTCACAGCATTGTTAAAGATCAACTAGCATGTGCGGAGCAACTACTTCACAACAATGCCCGTATCGACCCCGCTTCCGAGTCCGATCATATTCCGCTGAATCTTGCCTGCCAGCATGGATCGCTTTCGATAGTTCAAATGCTTTTACAGCGGCGTGCACGATTGCTCCCAGATGCGGAAGGCCTCTATCCTCAGCACATGGTAGCACGAGCCTCGCAATCGCCGCAGCTACTTCTACTTCTCAAGCAATATGGGGCTGACATGAACCAGCGTGACAAGTTGTATCAATGGACGCCGCTCTTCCACGCTGCCAGCGAAGGCTGTGTGGGCTGTTTGCGCACCCTACTGGAGCTAGGTGTCGACGCCAGTGCTGTTGATGAGAAGGGCCTCTCGGCGATGTATTATGCAGCCTGGGAAGGACATTTGGAATGCATGCTTTTGCTTTGGTCTATCCGCACCGACTCACGACCCGCACGGACACCATTCGACATTATGAACGGTATAAGACAGCCAGAAGCAAGCCACAACATTGACCTGCAAATTAGCGATGCGACAGAAACCGGTGATATGGAGACCGCTGACGGTATCCCTGATCTGTCTCTTCCGCCGCCTATCATACCCTTGAGGCGTTATGGCCATAACTTTTTGGATAAGAAAGTGTTTGTTCAGATTTTATTTGACACTGGCGCGTCTGGTTCAATCTGCTTCGATCAGGCCGGGCGGCATCCTGCTGCTCGGTTGACCATCTCATCGAAGCTCTCTGACTTGATTCCCCGGACGATCATGCTTCCGATCCAAGAGGATTCACGCATGATCTCATTCCATGTGGACAACCTAGAATCATTCGCCGTTGATTTTGAGATTTTCCCCACTTTTGGCTCCAAGGTTATCGCCAAAACAGTCGCCCTACCAACAGTGTTCAGAGCTGAGAATTCCAGTACCGGGACATGTACATTGCCGTTGTTTGATCCTCGGTTACGTTCAATCGGCCAGCTTCAGTTTGGTTTCCAGGTTATCAAGCCGTACCACGGAGATCCTCTGGAGATCACACACTTTGCCACTTATTGGAAGGCAACAAGTGCTATCGATCCTGACCATAACGGCCTAGTCACCGGCTCAAGCCTTTCAGGCGACCATGTTCAGCTTTTCGTGCAACTTACTAAGGATCGGGTTCCGGTGCTGTACCCTCACTTTACCATTAGCCATCACAACATCGAAATACCCATTTGCCATCTTACCTATGCTCAGTTCCAAGCAATGGGCGCCGAAAGGGGCGTCAATCATTCAGAGATGCTGCAGTTCCTGCAAACGCGTGCGGTGGAGGATTTGACACAGGCTCATCGCTTGCTGGCCTCATCATTCCTCTCATTGCGAGACGTGTTCCACCATCTACCACTCAGTGTCAGCATCAATCTGTCTATCCTCTACCCCTCTGCTGCCGAGGAGCGAGCGTTGAACATGACGTCCCTGGCGGATGTCAACACCTTTGCCGATGCGATTCTTACCGAAGTGTTTGACCACGCTCGTATTTCGCGTGATCAGAACCCCGATTACATGCGGTCTGTGGTCTTTACCTCCTACAACCCCAATATATGCATTGCTTTGAACTGGAAGCAACCGAACTGTGAGTTATACATGCCCTTCCAGGTATCGCTTGAAAGCAATACACTAACTGTTCACTTTCTATCTCAGATCCCGTCCTGCTTTGCAATGATCTTGGCCAAATTCGTGACTTAGCCCGTGACGTTAAGTCTTTGCCAGACGTCGATAGTAGTGGTCGAGCTTCTATGTCCATTAAGGATTCGGCGCGGATAGCGCAAAGCAACAATCTCATGGGCTTGATATGCCGTTCTAGTTTACTGGTATGTCGTGCTTCGTCTCCTTCCTACACTGAGATTCTACAACATTGTGCCTTAAAGATCGGAAACTAACAAATTGATACCATAGAATGTTGTACCGGCGCTTGTAGAGACGATCAAGGAGCTTGGCCTCGTGCTAGTTGCGGACACATCCGATGACTCTGAGCAACCCGACCAACTAGACGCCATGCAAGTCGCAAGCCCATTGGGCGTTGCTGAATGGGCATACAGAATGCCAGACGGTGTGAATGGTGTCATGAAAGCCAATGGCATCCTGAAATTCAACGATATGATTGACATGTGATACGCCATCTCGAGTCTTCTCTTTTGCATACATCCCACGTTTTTCTCACGACCTTTTCGTCGATATGTATCTCGGGCGTCAACGGATCCCGAACCATTGTAATCATGTCAATCATACATGCTTGTTTCACTGTGAGGTCTTTTCTTTGTGTGGGGCTCGGTTCATTTGTTACTTCTTGCACTGCATGCCTGGATGAACTTGTGCCATTACTTTTTCATAACGCTTGGCTCAATATTGCTACATGCTGTGGTTTTTGGGTACACTAGACTGATGTCCTCTATCCTTTCATGTCCTGTCTCATCTTTCCTCGAACTTTTGTACCCTGTCGTCCTTAGACGATCATGATTGACGGAAATACCCGGTTCAATATCTCTGAGTGGAGAAGGACACCGCGCGCTTGTCCTGCAAAATTATATGTAACAGCTAGTGTACATCTCTCTATAAATATAATATCTTGTTTTGAAGACCCTTTGCAGAGCCATTTCCGGCATTAATCGTCCCAACCATCATACTCAAAACACATCTCCAATGGCACTTACATGCCCTTCGGCCTACCCTTGACGATATCCCAGCCCCAGCCCCTCAGAACCTTGACAACGTTGGGAGTGATCGCAGCCGTCAGGGGAACCCGAATGAAGATAAGACTCTTGTGAACTGCATAAGCGAGGGCAAGCTGCGTCCAAAGACCTGTCCAACGATAAAGAAAGTGATTAGCCAACGTATCTCTTATACTCACGGATGCATCCAAAGCAAAGGGGTAAAAAAACATAAGCCACTTACTAGCTTCACCACCATTGGCTTTCTCCTCGCCCGCCTCCTTCTCCTCCTGCTCTGCCTGCCTCTGCAACGCAGCAGCAGCCTTCTCCTCCTCCTCCGAAGGGGGCCACACCTTCCGAACAGCCCCCTTCACCGACTCCGAAATAACATGCTCATAGTGGCCAATCCGCTCCACTCCAGCCAACCGAACAGCCATAAAGCACAGCGGGAAATCCACCGCCGACAGAATCAAATACACCCACAGCGCGGACCATCCGTACTCCTTCGACAGCGTGCGAAGACGCTGCGAAAGAGAGGGCGCTTGCTGCTCCGATTGCGCCGAGCTGTTCGACCGAGCAGACCGGAAGAACGACCGCCGGAAGATGTTCCCTGGTTGTTGCATCTGGCCGCTCCTGAATTTTATTTGGGAAGGTCCGCGGGTCTGAAAGCTCAATGCGCGTCTGATGGGCATTTCGAAGGCCCGGCTTAGGAGTGGGGAGGAGGATAGGGAGGATGTCCTTGTTGTGGACGCGGGTGGCGCATTTTGGAGGATTCTCGACGCTTGAGAGAACAGGCGCGATAGGTGAGACTGTCGTAAACTCATTTTGTTCGGGCTTTTATGAATGGATGATTGTCCAAATGCGAGCGAATTGGGGGGAGGCGTAGTTTTGTTGTAAGAGGATGTGATGTGAGTCTTTCTCCGGTAGGGTCTTCGGAAAAGAACGGACAAATCGTGGGGTGGAAGATGACCGGGAAAAATCACCAAGAAGTCTTCTTATATACTCGCGGATAGCGACGGTCTGGAAAGCAAAAGAAGCCGAGACGGCAATGCAGGCCTCAATGCAAGTGAGATTGGGATGACGTTGCGGCAGCAGATCGTAGGATCAGCTTCCCTCCCGTCTTTTTTTATACACTTCGGCGCCGCCATCGGCGTGCCGGCGAGTCCGGTTCCCGATTGGCAACTGGCATCGGAGCATGGAATCGACTGCACGAAAATCGCATGCTCGAAGTTTGTGGTGCTAGTGTCGCCATATCTTCGGCATTGGCTCGGGCCATGAATATGAAGGCTCCATATAAGCACTATTAGCGATCTAGTGTAGAATTCTGCGTGCCTACTTGCGCGCTGGTAAATAAGCATTCATACAGTACTAAGTAAACTAACCCATGTTTACCCGCATGTATTAATGCCTGAGGATCATATCAAGGCATCAAACCAGAATCCGCGCTCGCGCGCACCTACACACCACACCGCCTTCGAGGCTCTCCGGCCCATCCTCGACGGGGTCTCCGCACGTCTTGCCAAAAATCTCAGCGGCAGAAAAGAAGTGTGAGAGAGTTATACCTCCCCCTTCAATCACCTCCAATCGCCATGCCTCCCCGTATGCCCGGGAAGCTTTCCCAGCTTCCCCTGACGACAATCTGGGCGTCTCAAATTCCGACTACTTCTTCTTCCGTCCGTGGCAGCCAATTCTCCATCACCTCAGTCCGCACCTTCGGTATTCGGTCCTTGAACCCCCCCGAGACTTCGCGCTTCAACGTCGGCCATGACTTGCCCGTGCTGAAATCGACACCCACCGCCGCCCTCGAGCGCAAGGCAAACACCCTCCCCCTGCGGACCGGTGCCATCACCTTCAAGAAGGGCATGACCGCCCTGTATGACCCGGAGACCGGCAAACGTGTTCCCTGCACCGTGCTGCAGCTCGATCGAGTCGAGGTTGTATCGCACAAGACTCGCGAGAAGCATGGATACTATGCTGTTCAGCTGGGTGCTGGGTGGAGGCGTCCTAGTAACTTGACCAAGTCCCTGCTCGGCCATTTCACTGCCAATGGCATCTCGCCTAAGCGTCATGTCTATGAGTTCCGGGTTAAGGATGAGAGCGGGCTTTTGCCTGTTGGTCAGGCGGTCAGTGCGGACTGGTTCCAGGAGGGACAGTTCATTGATGCGAGGTCTAATACGAAGGGTAAGGGCTTCGCGGGTGTTATGAAGAGACATGGTTTCGGTGGTCAGGATCGCAGTCACGGTGTTTCTTTGACGCATCGTTCGCTTGGTTCCGCTGGTCCTAGTCAAGGTGGTGGTTCTCGTGTTTACCCTGGAAAGAAGATGGCGGGTAACATGGGTAATGAGCAGAACACTGTCCAGAATCTGAGGATCCTGAAGGTGGATGCTGAGAATGGAATTGTCGTGGTCAATGGTAGGATACCCCGGATTACTCTCTTGTTCTCAAGTGGATTTCTTATAGATGGATACGGTTGATGCTAACTTCGGGTTTCTAAATAGGCTCCGTCAGTGGTCCCAAGGGCTGCGTTGTCCGGATACAAGATGCCATCAAGAAGCCGTGGCCGGAAGCTTCCCCTGCGACGGCTGAGGCTTCTGAATAAATTTACCGCGCGCGCTTTCTGTTCTGCTTGTCATCTTTCGTGAAATGTACTACTACACTGTATTGTTTTTAAGAGCGGCGTCTGTATATGATACATAAATGATATCCCTTTCCCAAAGTGTGGGTTCCTATAGGTTCTTTCCCGCCTGATCGGCGCTTTCATATAGCTCTTCCACTCCAGTCGAGCAAGCTAAATCTGCCCAATGGGATGAATGATGGAGGGAAAGGGAGAGTGAGACGCTTTCCGAAGCCCGAACGCCTTAGCCCAATGCACATGAATGATATGATATATTTACATGCACAAATCTCCAAACACCACGTAACAAGCGAGTATACAGCCCAAAACAAGAGGGCCAAGTAATCGAGTCAATCAATTGGTCTGGTTGAATGGGTCGGTATCCTTGTCAAGCAGCTGGACAACCGTGCCGTCCTCGGTTTCCAAGCTCCATACTTCCGTGCGGAACTATACAACAAATGCACATTAGCCAGGAGTTTTCAGGTCAAGTATAAAAAGTGATGAGGTAAACGAACAAAGCTAGTCCGGTCAGGTCTAATACTGCGGAACCGCATTTTACCCTGGGCCTTAGTACCCTTGACCCAGAACGAGATATCAATGCGACCATGAAGCTGGTTCATCTCTCCACTAATCCACGGGATCTTCTGAGCAAAGTAGATCTCATCACCCAGAATCTCCCTCGCCTGCGGGGAAGTCCTCAGCGCATACAGCGTACTGTTAACCACACTGGAGGAAGATTTCTGATAGTTAAAGATACCCAGCATAGCGGCCCCCACAACAACAGCAAAGATAGGCAAGGTTCGTATCCATCGCCTCTCATTTTGAACATTGGGTAGAGCTCTGTCCGCCCGTCTTTCCATAAGAGGGCCCGAGTTCGCCTGTGGTGCGGGGATCAAGTTGCGCCGGGGAGGGAGCATTTTGCGATGATTTACGCATAGTCGAGAAGCGCCGATACGCCTCTCTGCGAGTCGTAGGAGCATCTTTGGAAAAGTATGAAGGTCCAATTGGCTCTCGACGCGTTCCGTGTGTCTTGTGCGGTGTGGCAGCGTGACCTTTGTGGTTTGTTGTACCGTGGAAAGTGGCAGTAATAGTAGGGCGTGGTTGCTAAACGCTCGGAAGCCCGAAACCTGAGGCGGGAATGGTAATCTAAAACGGGGTGTACTGCCCGTACCCTTGGCAAACGAGACAAACCCACGCCCAAGCTAAAGGGACCTCGTGTGCTTTTATGCCTGAGCGACATCATCAACAACTATTTGATTCTCTCTGCTACCTTCATAGCAGACAAATTGTTGCAGCGATGGCAACAGCAAGGCTTCGCAGAGCTTTTCGCTACCCTGATGATTCAGGTGATGACGAGCACAGTCGGGAGGAGCTAGACGAAGAAGGTATGTACATACTGACAAATGGCCAAGCAGGAAGCCATTTTAGACGACGTTGCTAACGGTCGACAGAGCAGGAACGTGTGATAGAGCAACTGAAAGCACTAAATGAGAAAAGGAATTCTGAATATAGTGTAAATACATTTCCTATCATACAACCCTTGGAACTGAGAGTGAGAGCATTTGCTGAAGAGCCACATAGATCGTTTTTGCAGCCATCCCGCTATTTTCCAGCTTCGCTTTTATTGCTTCAATACTTTCGGGCTCCTCGAGCCTATCTGAACGATTTCTCTCTTTGCTCGGCGCCCTATCTCTACTAGTCACGGCCTATATCATGAAGTACCTCCCGCTTGAACGCCCGGATCCTAAGGGCAAGAGACCAATGACCACACCGCATGCTATGGCTAGCATCCGGCCATACATCTTGCCTGTCGATGCTGCGATCTGCGTGCTACTGGCCCTGTTCTACGCTTCGCAACCCACAACGCAATCCTGGCTGGTGATCCAGCCGGTTACCTACTTGGTTCCAGGAGGTAGGTGACCTTCGGCTTCCTTGCTTTGCTTTGCTTAGATGTTTTGAGTCCTGGAAAAGATCGGACGAGTACTGACATAACATAGCAATGTTTGCAGCTGTATTAATCGCACGGAAGGTCATGCTATCAGTTGACCTCAAAGCGCTTGAGAACCTCCGCTATGAGTACAAAGGAGCATAGGGCACGCTGCAATAAAATTCTTGGTCAAGCACGGCTTCATGGGAAACTACTTGACAAGACACGGGCGACAGTTACATGCTCATGAGTTCGATAATCCAACCAGCATGTTAGTGAGTCTACAAATCACATTGATGGGCTGATGCAAGACATTGAATTCGATCCTGAAATCTTCCGCTGATACAATGCCAAGATAAGCCTGCTCGCTATATGCGGAAATGTGAGATGAAGAGAAAAAGAAGTATAACGCCCCACATGCATAGAGCTATAACGACACAGGACACTGCTGCAGCGCCATGAAGCTTGTCACGGGCCAGAGTGGTCAGGTGCACTCATAAACGAGCTGTCAAGCCTTTCCAGGGCTGGATCTACCGGTATATCACTATAGTCAGGCGCATATTCTGTTACTGGAGGCACCTCCTCGAGCTGAATGCTATGCTCGACCATTGAATGGTTACGCTTGTCGTCGGCTTCTTTCTGGTGCTTTTTCAGCCGTTTGACCTCATCATCGCCGGCCTTCTTCAGCCACCTGAGGTTGGATTGTCGGAAATCCACTAAGCTCTCCACACTTCGAGGGTCGGCTATCTTTCGGGTGTCGTGGCCCAATAATGTGCATGTCGGCTCAAAGGGCGTCATCGTGGGATCGCGACGACACGCAGCACAACTACAAATCTTGCGGCACTTTGGGCACTTCCATTCGAATGCTTCCATCGTCTCCTGCGGCTTTATATTGAAAGCCCTAAACAAGCTGCCATAACAGTAGTTCGTCCGGCAGCTAGAACACGAGGCAAGCTTCCACCTTGGCTCGGCATATCTGCAGATATGGCAATTTCCAGTCTGCTGAAATGCGTCAACTCGACGAGTTTTCCTCCGTTTGCGCGCGGAATCAAGTCGCTCCGAATCACTGTCCAGCTCTTCAAGCCGTTCTGACTGAACAGTCGGCTTACTTATGTCGACCCACGGCCGCCGTCTGAGTTCCAACTGGCAAACCTCTGCAAGTGTTCTCTTCCCCAGCCGGCTCCTCTGCGCTGGGAGACTCACGAATGTGTCTCGCGATTGAGAGTTGATGTCGAGTATCTGCAGCCTCCAGGTCTCGTATTTGGCTTGAAGCTCATCCCAAGGGAACTGCTCAACCCATTCGAGCTTAGCTATGCAAGCACAGCTCCTGCCCATCGCATAGCATTCCATGCAAATATCATAAGTGTCTTCTTCGTCTGTATTTGTTGGTCCCACACAAGACGGGCAAGTTAGGAACCTGTTGAAAATATTACCCCGGCAGTATGAACATGTAATGTTGCTGTCAAAGGCAACATATTCAACATCCTCTTCGGGTAGTTGGTCCGAGAAGCTCTCGGACAAGATGATGTCAGTGAAGAGGCCGAAAAGGTGCTCGAAATCTTTGATTATTTGCTTAAGTGTCGAATCACCACTGTCAACTGTATCTGCCTTGTGGAGGATTGCCGAGTAATGCTCCAATGAATAGAACACTATCGCCTTGTTCTTGTACTGTTCGTCTCGGCAAACCATCCTGGCGTGAGGAAGAGCCTCAGTGAGCGCTTTCTCCAGGGTTTCCGGAGTTGTACGATTCCAAGCGACTTTCATTGTCCGTGTTCCTCGATTCCACACTTGGTGTGCTGCTAAAGGGGGTACGAGGATGAAGTCGCCCGGTCGTTGCTCGACAACATAAGTTTTGAAGGGCGCTGCCTTCCAGGCATTTATCTGCGCAAAATGATCCTCAATATCGATGTCGTGTCCTAGAGTTGACATCCAATATTCTGAGACTACACGGCGGTCTTTGCTCTCGGTCATGAACCAAACAGACGACCCCGGCTTCGTTTCTTTGCCATATTCAGTGGAACCATCCGACGCCTCCACCATGATGTTCTGGCCCAAGCTAGCACACATTTCCTGATGAGCTGGTGTATAGGTACCCTCGTGGCCGATGTAGCACATCAGATTTTCTGCACGCATGCTTGGAGGGAGGCAACTCATAAGATCCCCAGGTCTGGCTATCGGGTTATTCCAGCCCGTAGATTTTTTATTTTTGTTGGAAGATGTACTTCTCTTCGCTCCCGGGCCGTCAAAGCTTTCCTGAAACTGGTTCAAGTAGAACAATCCGGGGGGAATTATCTTTTTCAATTGCTCGCGCCATTGATGAGGACAGTCAATGTCCTTGAGGTAGATCCTCTGGCGGTCAGGATCTTTGTAGTTATAGGAAGTCCACTGATTTGCTAGAAGGGGCAAGTTTTTCAGGTAATGTCCAATAGTAAGAGGTAAATCAGTTTTTGTGGTCAAATTCCGAGCACATTCCGCTGTGTCGTAGAAGCTCTGGGTTAGATAAGCAAGACAGCATAGATGAGGGATACATCACTCACTTTTCGATGAATAGTGAGTTCTTAGCCATTTCTCCGAGAAGATCGAGTTATTGAGCCGGTGGTTGAAGCCCTCGACTACCAAAGGCTTTCCACCCCGAACCACATGGAGCAACACAAGCTTCTCGAATATCTCAAGCCCATTCTCATCAATCATATCGCAGTGAATCCTGGCAACTTCCTCGAAGTTTGGTGTCGAGTTCACGAGTGCTGTGAGGTCCAAGTCTGGAGAAAGTGGCTCAAAAGCCGCTCGGGGTCGCTGGGCGGGCATCCTGAAGGGCGTTCAACAAGGTCGGTACGAATGGCTATAGCTCCAGTACTTTCGCCTTCAAATGTATCGATCACCCTATTTCGCGATATTAGATAAAGCCAACAATTTATTTTCCCCGCAGTAGAGCATACTTTCAAGCTACCGGATGGACCACTGCGCCGAGGTTGTGTTCTTTAGGAATTCATGAAAGATGTCGGAGCGTACGTACACCAGAATAATTCATGAATATCGCCCAGGACCGATGATCAGCTGCGTAGAGCCGATATCAACGCGCTTCAAGAAAGTGGCCGGCAGGGCGAACTTGATCAAATGCCCACATACACATATCGCGCGGTCATGACAATAGCGAGCAACAGACGAGCAACAGACGAGCAACACCACGAGTTTGAGACGGAAACAGCAGTTGCTTTCTGTGCAAGCTATACCCCGATTCCCAAATGATGGATGTAAAGAGAGTCTTCAACACCCATAGACCCTGCGCAGTTGTTGATTGTCTCGATTCACTCTCGCTGCAGCTGCATCGGCGATTGTGGCATGTGGATCCCGTCCGCCGGGCCCAGGAACGCATGGAGGAACCACTGCCGAAAAAGGCTCAAGAACACCTCCGGCCGACAATATCCGTACCTTAAATTTCGCTCATCATGAACCTTTTTTTCTCCCAATCAATTTCCTGAAGACTGAATCTCAGGAAGCTCCTGCTCCTGGCATGGAATTTGCTTAGCGGTAGCTGCATCTTACGCTTCTTCTTTTTGCTTCAATTCTTCTCATCTGCTCGTCAATCGACTCGGATAGCGTCTAGTCTGGTTGGCGTGCGGATTTCATCTGCCAAAACGCTGCGCCAGATCGATTCGTTGTCTCCGTGTAGGATAATTCTGAAATTGCTAGTCATACAGGAGGCCAATTGCTACGCATCATTATCTCTACATCCTCATTCGGTTCATTATGAGTTTCTTGTATGCCGGCCGGCATGCACGACTATGTCGCTATCCTAGGGAAAGGAGCACTTACATATACCGATTCACCTCTGTACAGGGACACCGTTGTCCAGTTTCCTTATCGCCGTCTAGAAGATATGGTTATACGGCGACCAACAGCATTCAACCAATCTGCCAGAAATCGAACATTACAACCCACAACCGCCATCCCCGTCGCTCGGCCTTGATACTAAGCCAGGCACACAGTACAACTAGCCAGGCCTCAGTGACAAGCTATACGCCACCAAACAAGGGTCTTATCTCTTATTTGCCTCAGTCATGGATACCGTACGCTGAGCTGCTACGCCTCGATAAACCGACAGGTACATACTACCTTTTCTTCCCCTGCGCATACTCAACTCTACTTGCCGCGTCCATTGCGCCGTCCGTCTCAGCCTGGGATGTCGTTGGAACTACCGGTCTTTTCTTTGCTGGAGCCTTGATCATGCGCGGTGCCGGATGTGCAATCAATGATCTATGGGATAGAAACTTAGATCCGCATGTCGAACGCACGAAATTCCGCCCAATCGCAAGAGGAGCAATCCCTCCTGGTAAAGCGGTGCTGTTTACAGGTACCCAGTTACTGGCTGGACTTGGTGTTCTTCTTCAATTTCCGTATCAATGCCTTTGGTACGGTATACCTAGTCTTCTTTTGGTGACCATGTATCCGCTTGCTAAACGCATTACTTATTATCCCCAAGCTGTGTTGGGCCTTACGTTCTCATGGGGTGCGATTATGGGCTTCCCTGCGCTGGGTATCGATCTCCTCCATAATAGCGCCGCACTGGAAACTGCTGCTGCGCTTTATGCTAGTTGTGTAACCTGGACGGTTCTGTATGACATGATATATGCTCATATGGACATTAAAGATGACGTTGCGGCTGGCATCAAGTCTATTGCCCTTCGTCATGAAAAGAACACAAAAGCTGTGCTTTCAGCTCTCGCCGCCGTCCAGGTGCCGTTACTCGCCGCTGCAGGTGTAGCAGCGGGAAGCGGGCCTATCTTCTTCATCGGCAGTTGTGGCAGTGCAGCTGTCACCCTCGGTCTCATGATCTGGAAGGTTCAGTTAAAAAACGTACAGAATTGCTGGTGGTGGTTTAAGAATGGTTGCTTGCTCACCGGTGGAGGCATTACCCTGGGAATGTTCCTTGACTATGTCGCGAAAACCACTGGGTTTTATAATCCGGACGAGGAGCCGGTTTCCCTGGAGAGCTGATAAAAAAACAAACACCCTACGTTCTTCTTCTCAGGTCCTGAAGCTCTAGCTAACCTCTTTATTTATCATCCTTGCCAATACCTAAATACTGCTCCACCTTATCGACTATGGTCTTCCATTCCATCATACCCCCGGTTCCTGTATCGCCGCAAGCAAGAGATTTGTCTACCGGGTTGAGTACAGATACCCAGCCCTCGTTGCGAGAGTTTACGCCCCATTCATCATTCAGTATAGCCAGTTGCTTGGCAGTGATCGGATGAAACCACATTGCTGTATTCATGGCGGGGGCGACAAACACAATGGGCTTCTTTTCCTTGAAATTGGCGTCCACCGATCCCGTCGTGTCCCATGCTCGCAAAACAGAGAGAAGAAGGTTATCTGAAATTCCCATGGTCATTTTGGCCATGGTGTTGGCGGATAAAGGCGCGATGAGTAGGATATGTGCCCATTTTCTGAGCTCTATATGTAGGATTGGCTCGCCACGAGTCCAAGAGTGCCTCCACTCATCCTCGTCTCGGTAAATAGCATCCACGCCAGGTAGTTCGAGGAGATTTTCGAGCAATGGTTGCTCGTGACTCTGTCCCTTTAGAAATTCTGCCGCTGATTTTGTAACGATTATGCGGATAGAAATATTCGAATGGCGGCCAAGGGCTTCCGCGATATTGGGAAGTTTAATCGTCGCAACCGAACCACTGGCTGCAAGGAGCACATGGATTTTATTGTCACCCATGTGGTATTGGGCTTTGAACGGAGCTGGTGAGGATTCCATGGGGCTCTTGGGCAGATAATGACCGGATTGGGCAAATGATATGATGGTTGCAAATCTCGATATGCGGGGTGAAATAATTTGGAGTTGCGGGGTGTTTGCGAGAGCACACGCGGGGTGTTTTGGAGGAGTAACCTGTCTATCAATTACTCTGCTAACACTTTCCGGTAGGATTCAAGACATTCACTGTCTGCCACGTGAAGATAATTAACACAACACTTTCAATACCGATCATGGGACAATTTCTACCTTTGACTGTCCACTTTCAATTTGAAGTCGATATCTTGCTCCAAGAATAATGGGGAGCCGTCAGCTACCTTGACTAGATGTCCTGTTTTACCGCTCCTGGTAATTCGAGTAGCAGCTATTATTTAATATAATTTACTTCTGTAGACGAGGTTTACTATTCGTACACTCTCGCCAAATGCATAACTACCTGCTCACTGGGAGTTTTATCAAGCAAAAAGAAAGCTGGATCACATGACTGGGAGTGGGAACTGTTCCTTATTAATGTCAACAACTACAGTGGTTGCTTAGTGAGCATGTGTAGCCAAGTTCTCCGCATGTGCTAACTAAATCCTCGGACTTCGGTGCATATAGACAAGCAGAGCTTGACTTCAGCGGCAATTATTTGACGTTTCTATATTTTCACAAACTAATAACTCATCATGTTTTCTAGGAATTTGGCCTCATCGGTACGTATTGCGCACCCCTACTTTGCTGATCTCTCAGCTATTATGCATACTGCTCCTTCGTTCTTCATGAACATAGCTAAGTTTACGATAAATTTCTTATTAGGCGTTTCGGCCACTTTTCCGACAACCTCAAGTGTTGCAACCTAGATTCGCTGGCATTCAGCTGCCCTCTACCCTCTATGCCCGGTATCTGTCTTCGGAGACACGGTCAGCTATAGACAAAGCTGTCGCATCTGCACCCGTCGTTCTTTTCATGAAGGGCACGCCAGAGACGCCGCAGTGCGGTTTCTCTCGAGCCAGTATACAAATTTTGGGACTGCAGGGAGTGGATCCGAAGAAGTTTGTTGCATTCAATGTGTTGGAAGATTCAGAACTTCGTCAGGGTATGCTTTACAGATGGACTCTTGTCCTCAATCTCTATTTCAATACAACTAATACTAGGTCTTTCAGGTATCAAAGAGTATTCCGACTGGCCCACAATTCCGCAATTGTATCTGGAGAAGGAGTTCATCGGTGGCTGCGATATTCTGATGTCTATGCATCAGAATGGAGAACTTGCTAAATTGCTCGAAGAGAAGGGAGTCCTTGTGGCGGCCGACTAATTTTAGGAATGTGATGCAGCGCAGCTGCCTCGAAACACATACTGTACATTTACAAACTATCATACCGTTTTTTGTCCGAAGGAAAGAACTATGTCAGCAGTAGTTGTATTCGTGCTTGTGACTCAATGTCTGCATTTCATATTGGCGCGATCGAGGATGGGGAGATAGAGATGCTTCTGTCATGACGTACGCATTGTCCAAACTTCATACTGTTAATCTTAATGTGCTTGGCTTTTTGGAATGCATAAGAGTGGCTTGGTCTTCGCTATCTCCGAGCGTCCCTCCCTTATTCTCCGTCTTCTTTATTATATATCATTTCATGTTCTATGGAAGCGCTTTTGCCCGGCTTTGTTATACACCATTGCTATCTAGGCAGATGCTGACTCTTTGGACTTGACCAACTCCTCAACAACACCCTTTTCGAGTTTGGCGCGCTGTCTTTCTTCATAGGCTTCCCTACTTTTCAATATTCTGTCAACGATCTCACCGGCATTCACATGCTGGTACGTATGGCTAGATGTCTCTTTGAAAATGCCCATCCGCTTGGGTGCCACATAAGGATCATAGGTGAGGGGTATGAACGTAGTAGGACCGTGGTAAACTGCATCTGGAACGCCTAGTGGCATGGCCTCCAGGTATGATTGACTTGGGGAGAATGGCGAGGAAAAGATCACAGCATGTATATACTAAACTCTGGTTAGCAGGTTGATACTTCACTCAAAGATCCCAGACACTTCGAATTACATACGCGACACTGCAGAACGCATAGCCCGCGTTCAAAGATGTTCATGATGGGGTAGTTGAGGCCTTTCCAGTGGTTTATAACATCGTCGTCATGTATGCCAGCAACCACATAGGCAGGGCCATAGTCCTCTCCGTATTCTTTGACTCTCTTGACTTTTTGCTCTTCGTCATACCAACCACGCCGGTGGCCTTCCAATTCCTCCTGCGTTAAGACCTGTCGAAGAAATTCGATGTGCCCGGATGAGAACAAGTCAAATCCCCCATCGACATAGATGATTCGCTGTCCAGGCCTTGGCAACTTTCCGTTCACAACTGTCTCGAATGCTCCAGGTTCCTCGACTGTGTTCCCAAGTTTCGCAGAACTCGATCCGTTCCAGATCCAAACCTGCGGGCCAGGCTGTAGACCAGTCTCGTCAGTGGCATAATCACGAATCCTTTGCATGAGACTATTGGCCGAATGCTTGCGCTCTTCCAGACTTCCAGATCCTTCTTCCCCGTTGAGGGTATCTTTTACGCTTTTGACGAAATGGTTTTTCGTACACAGAAGCATTCGCCCAACAAGGTCTGTCGTGGATATTCCCGGCGTTCTCTTAACCACACGAAAGCGCCCTGCAGCTTTAACAAACCGGTAGCAGTCCTCCCCATTGCTGTCGGAAGTGATATCATCGCCATGGACGACATACTTGCAGCCGTAGTGCGAAACCCAAGGTAAAAATGTCACATAAGGAGCAGAGGGAACGCAGCGAGTCACCCAGCGACATGCTTCCACTGCAGCTACTCTAGACTTGGGTCAGAAGGCCAATGGGCTGCTTGATATAGGCAAACTAACCGTTCATCCAGTGTCATAACTGTCGGCCCCTTATTCTCGAGGATTGCTTCGTCAGAGTGAACACCGACATAAAGCTCGTCTCCCAGTTGGCGAGCCTGGAGCATAGCGCCCGCATGGCCTATACATAACTCAGCCTTGTGAAGGTGTTGTGTAAGGTACGAGCAAAAGGTGGCATACCATGATGGCTAAAGTCAAAGCATCCGTCTACCCAAATGCGATTGTCCGAAATGGGTACATCATCTTGGGGATCCACGGGCCACTCTCCTGGCGCGGGGATCATGTCTTCAGGAGTGGCGCTCATTGTTGTAGGGCAACTTCGTATGGAGGGAACATAAACAAGAAGCAATTGCCAGAGTTTTAATGGGTACCCTATTACCTTATGCTTGTATTGAAGCGTTCGGGTAAGCTGTCGACGGGTTGAGACCGTGAAACGACTTAGGGAGTCCACCTACTTAACCCGACTAGGCGGGCTGAAGAGGGGCAATGTGGCATGCGGAGAAGGAGGCGGGATGACATCGTAGGATTCGGAACGGGGCGATACATTATCAGTCCCCGCCTAACATACCTTTAATGGTACCTATACTGTCTATGCTTTGAATATACTTCACATGTACCTTCTGCTACAAACTGTCAGATAATATAACATCCATTCTGTGTGACCACTACATGTGTTAGAATGGTTCTGAGACTTGACCAGATATTCTGATAGTTAGAGACTCTGCACTGCCATAGTGAGCGTTCCGGTAGAAAGACAGTATTTTGTCAAGAGAACTTGTTCCATTTACATATTGCAGCAACAAAGGGGATCAAGGAAGCCCTATCATAAAATGTCATGCTCTGGAATTATCGAGAGCAAACCACACGGGTGTGTAAATGGCAACGCCATTACTCAAATGCGTTACGAAGAAGCGGATTAGTTCAACATGCCCATTCCTCTATTCTGGTGCATATGTAGTACTCATGGTATATGAACACGACGTGGGAAAAAGAGACAGGTGATAAAAGCGAAGAAAGAAGAGTCTATAACTTTTGGTTGTACATGTCTCATGAGTGGCGCGTGATAGCAGAAACAAAAGGCGCTGAGGCAAGGCATTGAAAGACAATCACAAACAGATGCGGTCCGGACCAATTGCAGAGGGAAGATCCATCGGGAATAGAAAAACAAACGCTTCGATTAAGACATATGGATGAAGGCGAAAAGACGGGAAAGAGAGACGCCAGTTAATGCAAACGCTCAAAAACGTATGACGGAAAAGATAGACCAAGACCACAAGCCCCAATTGTGGTTAGGATTGAAGCTTAGTGCTCTCGAGTTCACGTTGTTCACTGAAAACTCGGCGACTCATCTCAAGAACAGCCTCAAACCCTTCTCGGCCCTTCTTCGCGTTCTGACTGAATCTCTCCACGCTAGCTTCTTCTACCTTGTTTTTTATTTTCTGCCATCCACCGCACAAGGCAGTTATCTTCGCCTCTTGATTAAAATCGGTAGTTGAGGAAGGGTTTGACGGTGACGGCTGATAGATAACGGTCTCCTTGACGTTCAAGACGTTAGACCATGTAAGGTTGGTCGAACACATCGTGACCTTCTTCGAGACAGGATCGACGTAGGACACTTCGTAAACATGCGACGTAGCACTGCCTCCAAAGAGTGAAAGGACCCATTGCGGCACTGATTGATTACAGGTAATCAGACGCTCTGTCCGCAGCTATACAACAAGACAATCAGCCAAATGTTGCACGGTAAGAATGAGAGTAAGATGGTCGATGATACGTACAATTCCAGTATCAGCATCGACTGCCCGAGATAGGGTGTCTACTGCCACGACATGTGTAGACTTGTCATTCCAGGGACAATATTTGCGCCAGTTTGCCGCCGAAACTTCTTCCCAAGAGTAATCGAAAGTGCACGTCGAAGAAAAGACTCTCATGTCGATAGACTTGCGATCTGAAACGTCCCTTGGGATCGTGATAGACAAAGAGTGGCCGTATGCTTATGAAACACTTCGAAAACAAGAAAGATGCACGTCCAAGGAGAAAAAGAGAGCGAGCCAGACCGGGAGCGAAACCCAAGTCTGTGGCGGTAGGTGCTTCGGAGATAGGTTCTTATGGATTCGATAACTACGAGGAGTTCAGGATGCGGCAAATAATCAACTACTACAAGATGAGTAATGAGAACTCCACATGAGTGGTCGTGAAGGCGGACGCAGTGAGTGAGAGTGGCGATCGCCAATCTTGTGCAATATTGCGGTAGGATTGGTAGAAAATTTGAGAATTTTAGCCCCGGATTCCGCGTTCTTCTCCTGGACAAGAACAGTGGCGCCAAGGGTCGGGATTTACCGGTACAGTAATCTGACTCCCGGTCAAGGTCAAAAGACCGCCTTCAACTCCGCAGAGAACCCACTAGTAGTTAGTTAGTCATTATTATGTGCATCTGACATCAGGCGCTACTATTCTAGAGGGTCGAGGTTGGTTCATGCCGACTACTACTTTGTATATCCGAACAATCCCCCAGATCAGCATCTTATGCTACCGATCAATTACTCATACTATAGGATAGTTGAAATAATTGAGGTCAAGATATGACAGTGTGAATGATGTTCTGGCCCTTTGTTTCCTGCATCATCAAATGTCTTTGAATCATCCAATAAGAGCCAGCTTTGCCTCTTGATATCGAACATTCGTCAAACAGTTCCAAAAGTGGTGGTCGACATTTAGAAGGCGCATACGTGCTTTTGGTGTACTGGGGGGAACCCCATATTGACGGGGAGATGGGAAATTCTTTGTTGATAGATACGTTAGTTAGTCAGTTACATATGCAAAGCACGCACTTTCTAGTTTGTTACATACCCCTGTACAAGAGTCCCTGCCAATTCTTACACATCTCCCATGCGTACTACAGTGGCTGTCTCGGGTGATAGTCGTTTTCACCTGTTAGTCTTGGCCTACATTCCACTATCTATGAACTGATCCACTGTTTAGCTGTTGATAAGCATCTTCAAAAGTCTTTCTTTACTTCCCCCAATCTTTGTGTTTTGTTTTCGTTGACACAAAACATCAAACGCCTGGATTCTCAATCACAAGATATGGTCGAACTACGAAAGCGCAAGGCGCCAGCACAAGCCCCTGCGGCAGAGCGCAAGGCCAAAAAAGTTCAGGAATCCACGGTATCTCGAAAGCCGGATGTTCCCAAGGCCATCTCCGACGATAAGGCTCCAAAAGTTGGCGACAAACTAGACTTGGACAACTTCGGTGGTGATATTGAGACTGACGAAGGGCAAAAAACCACGCTGAAAGATCTCGTCGATGCTAGTGAAGCTGGTGTCGTGCTGTTCACGTACCCTAGAGCTTCAACCCCAGGCTGTACGTAAAAATCTCTACTCCCACCTCCCCAATTCCCCCGCACTCTGCCATGAGGATAATCTGGTGCGGGTACAAACACGCATGGTGGTCATCGAATACACCCGTTCGCGATTATGGCCTTTGATATAATCATCCGCTGCAGTAATCCTAGAGAAGCTAATATATCAACAGGTACCAAACAAGCCTGTTTGTTCCGTGACAACTATGACTCTATCACGGAAAGTGGTTTAACGATTTACGGCCTTTCAGCGGACTCACCAAAGGCAAATACTACGTTCAAGACTAAACAAAGGTTGCCATACCCTCTTCTCTGCAATCCCACCGCTACATTGATAGCAGCTCTTGGACTTAAAAAGTCGCCAAAAGGCACAATTCGAGGAATCTTTGCTATTGATAAAGAGGGCAAAGTTTTGATACTACAGGCCGGAGGCCCCGATGCAACGCTTGATGCTGCACGTAATCTAGCTGCAGAATTGAAGAAACCGAGCTCCGGAGACGAAACCCGCCACGCGAGTTCACCAGCTAAGGATGACTAGTCATTGATAGTGATAACCAGCATATCACTTCAATGGGGTTGCTCCCATTGAACGTGGTAGCTGATGGATTCATTTGTTACAGACATATTGAGGCCTTGAGGTTTCCAATTGGTACATGCCTTGTCTGGCATAAGCACTATATGCAATTCCAAATCATTCTCGCGATTGATGCCCCAGAATATCCCCCAACCCGAACTGTAATCGGCCATAGTAGCCCGCTTCTCACACGTGAGCAAGGCAATTTAGCCTCTTATAATATGTGGCCTGTAAATGCATGCCCTCCGGCACTTTAGTATACAGTAATGATATTTTTTTTTTCTCCATGAAAATAACAGGGCTCTTTCATTTCCACTGCTACCTACCACAAATGTTACCTTGGGCAATCGGAGGTGTGCGACTGTCGGAGAATAAGTTGTTCCGTGTGTAGAGGCTCGATTCCGCAGGCCTGGTTCCGTTTGAGACCGTGCGGCGAAGGACGTACCCTTGAAGGTCTTCCATTTCCTTCCCGATATAGTACTCAGGTAAAGTAACACCCACTATAGCAAAATCTCTTATCATAATTGCGCCTAAATCATTAATACGTTACCTGGACAGAAAAGAAATCATGGCTCGCGACATCGTGAAAGCGGCTAAGTCCGCATCCAATGTGATAGCCGTTCATAAGGTAGGAGATAGCCATTGGCTGCTCTGTGTTACATCAGGATAGAATATTTTACTTATTCTTTATCAGAAATATACTGTTCAGTCCACTGGGATATGGGAACGCATTCGCCGCCTCCTTGCTGTCGACCCGACTCGCTCCACGGGTGTTCCGTTGAACGCTCAGTATCGTCTACCGACCCCTGGAGCCCTTCCTCCTCTCTCCTACGATGATCCGGTTACTGTTCCGGCCGGTGATTTGGCTGACAACCCTTATTGGAAACGTGATGTTCGGAGAAATTACCCCCGGCTCAGTGCGGTCAGTCAGGCGGATGCTGTGGGCCTGCTCAGTGTAGGCAGTCAAGCTGCTCCCAAGGATGATGTCCTTCAGATCGGCGAGGCAGGAGAGAAACAATTGGTGTCCGTGAAGCAACAGGCCGAAGAGCGCGGCCTGGCTGGTCTGTTTGAGAAGGACAAGAATGGAATCAAGGAAGTTCTGGGCGCTAATGGTTTGCCTCCGCTGCCATGCAACTTGAACCCTGCTGGTAGCAAATATCAGCTCGGCCATGACCATGGCTACCCCAGTGTGTATGTGCTACCTATCCCCGTTATCTCTAGACCAAGCTAACACCTTTGATAAGCTACCCCTGCCGCACTTTCGTTTAGCTTGTCTACGCAGCTTGACTACAATATTGAGATAAATGCAATTGTACTTACTTTCCCTTTATTACATGCTCCCATTACTAGACGGTCTGTTCTCGTGCTTTTGTGTGTTTAATATTTACTGGTGTTGTAGGTATTACTTGGTGTACTTGTAGATGTAATTGACAGTAACTATAGTCGATTTTGTACACCATCAAAACTTATTGGGACAAGCAAAGGAAAAGACTAACACGTTCCTCAGGAAATGGCGCAAGCCTACAAGGTACATTCTGCTGCCAATGGGTCAAGAATGGAATGAACTGTGTACATTGTGTAGACCACATTTGGCTCCTTGAGTTGCATATCTGTGACAAGGTTAAGTTCCACACCCAAGATCGCAGGCAATGCGTCTAGCAAATCCACTCTACACCTAAACACAGCAAGAACTTGAAAGGAGCCAGTGTAAGCTATTTTGGGGTTGTGGATTTTAGTTGCATGGCGCACGCTCCATACTCAAGTCTTCTAATTTCAGTGGACTAAATCAATGACTATTTGCCGAAATGATCAACTGATACTTAAAAAAAAATCGACATTATCACAAATTACATTGCAACAATAGAACCTTTAATAGCTGCTAGAAAATGGATTCGTGCGGGTACCCCACCAAGTAAGGAAGAGGCTGAGTCCCACTGTTTCAAACAACCTGCTGACTGCACCTACGGCAACAGTGTCAAGGGGTCTCTTTTCGGCAAAGACCTGGCTCACAACCTATACAAAGGCAACACATAATTAGCATGTCTCAAATGCGAGTTGGAAGTGGGAAAAGGAAAAGATGGGGAGAACATACACCGGGGGCTGCGCTGGCCATGAAGATCAAGCTCCCAAGATAAGCCGCTCCCTTGTAGCTCAAAGTACCCGTGGCGTTGATCAGAGCTGCTACTCCATATGTTTGGACTGAGCTTCCAACCAAGGAGGTACCCCAGGCTGCTACTGCACCGGCAGCCTCTTTAGATTTGAGGAACTCTTCCTTGGAATTGGCTGCTTGGGCACGATGATAGGTATCGCCGAATACGGGCGCGAGAATGCCGAGGGAAGCAGTGTGCGTGAAAAGAGCACCTGCCGCAATTGCGGAGGGCTTGACCGAAGGGAGATCTAGGCCAATTATGTTAATTCATGAGAGTTGGAGTTAAGAGGGGAGGGTCGTCGCTTGCACTGCGAGGACAGACGAGCACTCACAGTTCAAGGTTGTCATTTTGGAGATAGGTAGTTGGGGGCTTCGGTGTAGTAGAGACAAGATATAACTTCAACAAGTGAAATGCTTCGAAGTCGAGAGAATTGAGGTGTAGGAAGTAGATTCTTTCGAGCAAGTAAGCCTCGTTTTATGGCATGGAGCTGGGCTAGGCTGGCCTTTTCAACCCCTAAGTACCGTCACCGGACAAGTCCATAGTCGATCCGTGGTGAGGTACGAAGTGACGTCGTTATGATCGAAAGACACGAGAAGCACAGCAAAATGGAGGACGACCTTGAGCATACTTTGTACGGTAGTGCTCTATCATGACATCATACAATACTTCCAGTGGGTGCAGGATTATTACGTACTTGGCGGAGGGTTGCCGCAATCATACTAGTGCCTGGATCGTTCAGTACCCAGCAGTAGATCTTTACTACTTGCACCTTAAAAGAGTTACGTCGTGGCAGTATCCACAATCACAGACATCCTGTCGATATCTACAACGTACAGCCACTCTGTGATGTAGTCTAATCTTAATGTTTGCACCATTTTTGTACTTTCATGAGGGAAAAAATACGCTCATGTTGGATAGCTTGTTCGCTTGGCTCATGGTCCCTTCCTTTGACTCGTAGCATCCATAGTACTGGCTGCTTAGCACTATGAACTACTTCCAGAATGAACAACTAGGACCTAATGAAGGTTGTCGTTTCTGGTATTCTAGTATATAATTTGATTTTGAGATACAACTTCTCTCTGGCAATAGAATTGTTATGGCACATTCTACATCCATATCTGCGTATTGTGGACCATGATTTCTAGGGTGCGCCTTCATTCTATTATACATTGTATAATTTTTTCCTAAGTACGCTTACTATCAGACAAGAACAATACTGTGACTAATTTAGTTATCATGTTTCTGGTGTTGCTAAACACGCCTGCTGCCCACGGCTCTGTCAATGATTTCCCACGTCTTCCTCTTTTTCTCCCTTCCCCCCTTACGGTTCTACTCATAATTTAATGTTGCCCTTTTCTTCCCCATTGATACCAGCTAAATAGGTTCCTTGGCAAGTATTCTTCACTAAAGGCGGATTTATTATTCAACCTCACCAATGGTGGTCAATTCCCTTGGTACATTGTAAAAGTGTGACAACTCGTACTTATATGGGTGATTCCAGACATTAGGTAGAAAACCGATGGGGCAAAGTAGGGCGGGGGAGAAAAAAATTGAGGGAGACTAGAACCAACGATTCCGTGCCTCCCAGATCGACCCAAAGAAAAGAACAAGTTCATTATAACTAAGTGTGCTTCCATCTGAGTTACTCTTCAAACGTCCAAAGTTGCTTCATTTTATACTTCGGCATCAAGTGTTCGTTAACGCTGTGTGCTGTAACAGACCATCATCATATTAAATGGAAGTTCCCGGTTCAATGCCAGCTGCAATCGACATGAATGATTCATTAGACATCGATGAATCGTTGATCCCGGTTAGGGATTTTAAGCCCGCCAGTCAGAGCTCCATCTCCTTTGATGGGATGTTATCGAACCCTCTAGTTCTCCAGGAAGATCTAAAGGAAGGGTGTGGAGGCCAGCTATGGCCAGCGGGGATGGTCCTGTCGAAGTACTTGCTACGCCAACATCAATCTAGCTTTCTCGGTAAAACAATGTCCGTTGCCCTATGACCCAGTTTTGTCCTCACCTGCAACCTGTCCGACTTGTGCCTGGTATGCGGGTAATTGACCCCTGCTAATTGTTGGTTAGAGTTGAACTTGGAGCCGGCGGCGGTCTTGTTGGCCTTGCGCTTGCACGCAGATGTCACCCTGAGGTGCCACGAATTTACATTACGGATCAAGCTCCCATGTTGCCCCTGATGAAGACGAATATCAAGCTCAACAATCTTTCTTCTACAGTCGAAGCTACAGTACTAAACTGGGGAGACTCCCTCCCAGACAGCATCCCAAAGCATCCCGCAATTATCCTCGCCGCTGACTGTGTTTACTTTGAGCCCGCCTTCCCGCTACTAATCTCGACCTTGAATGATCTTCTTGGTCCAGAATCTATCTGTTACTTCTGCTTTAAGAGGCGTAGAAGAGCAGACCTCCGTTTCATGAAAAATGCAAGGAAGGTGTTTGATGTGGAAGAAATCCGGGATGACCCTGATGCGGAGACATACCGGCGCGAGAACATTTTCCTCTACCAGATACGGTTGAAGTCGGACAAGAGGGGTGTCTAGGAAGGTCTAGCTACAAATTAAAACTACTACTACTAGGGAAAGTCTTGTGCGAATATATCGAAATACGCTTGTCTTTGGTACATAGATCCAATCTGTAACCGCACTGAAATCTAAAGCTTGAGCACATGGCCACCTTCCTTCACGGCTTCTTTGATTTTACCGCCATTGATATTTGTCACTTCGCCCTGCTTCCCAATCAATTTGACTCCACCCTTCTTCAAGTCCGAAATGAGCTGCTGATTTTCAGCCGCTTTCCCTGTCTTCTGGGATTTTGCGGTGCTGGCGTTTTGCTTTTTGTGCTCTCGACGCAACCTAGCCTTTTGTTCCCTGGTCATCTCCTCTTTGGCGATTGCCGTTCCATTCTTCAAAATCATTTCACCAGCGACCTTGTTATCGTCGCCAGGTGCGTAGATTTCCTGCGGCGCAAGGGTTGCTGTCCCAGTTACAGCGTTGCTAGCTGTCGGCTGAGCATCCTCCATAGTAATTGTTGCCACATCAGTGACAACATTGATGCTTGCCTGCGGAGCCTTGGGCTTGTAATGCCAGTTCGAGAGCGTGTCTAGTTGAGAGCTGATCTCTTTCCATAAGTTTGTTACAGTAGCATGCTCACGGATCAACTTCTGATTTTTAGGATCAACGAAATTTGGATCGGTAGCGCGAAGATGGTCAGCTTCATATAATTCAGCAAGGCTTTGCTGGGGTTTGGTGTCTTCCAGTTCAGGACGAACTCCCCGCGCGCGCTGTGCGTCGGAAACACCAGGGCGCCGACGTATTACTTCGTCAAATTGTTTGGCAAGGATGCGACGCTTGACAAGCTCTTCGATATCCTCTGACAACTCTGCCGTAACGACTGGCACGGGCTTTCCGATCCTTTCGAAATCCAGGTCTTCCTCAATAAGTGAGTTCACAGGCCTTTCGACAGCCCTGGCTTCACCAGCTAGCATCCAATCCTTCTTGGCAACGTTGGCAGCCTCCAAGCGGCGAATCTCATCAGCAATGCGAGCACGCTGTTTTTCATGACTAGAGGAATTGTTCTGAGATCCCCGCGCTACTTCATGTTCATCACTATCCTCACCGGAAAGCTCATCTTCAAAAAGATCACGTCGAACATCAGCCATGGCACGATCAACGTCGTCGTTGGTAATGGCAAGGTCGGGCTGAGTTTTAGGAAGGGAGCGTGTCTTTTTGCGTGTAACTTTACGTGGAGGTGGAGCGAAGAAGTCAGAATACTTTATGTCGCTGGTGTTCATCCAACCTTCGCCTCCAGAATTTGCCGCATAGACATCATCTGCGTCCATATCGGAATCGTCCTCAAAGCCTGCATCACCAAATGTTGGTCCTTCCTCTTCGCTGTCGGAAATATCCTCGCCATCATTCCCGTCAGAGTGCTCCTGTGGCATGTCTCTCTTCGGTAGAGACATTGACCCTGCTGTAGTCAAAGGATTTGCGTGCCAATCAATTTCATCATCCTCGCTCTCAGAATCGTTGCCTGGGCCACCACTAACGTCCTGTCTTTCGAGTAGTTCCGATTGCTTGTTGAAATCATCTATCGAAAAGAACCCATCATTCAGGCCAAAAGGATCCTCCACATACGTTTCTTGTTCACCGTCGTCGATATCGCTTCCGTAATTGTTGTCGGATAATTGCTCAATGTCTTCTTCGACGTCCGAGTCATGATGGGAGGTTTGAGAGTGAGCGTGTACTGAACTAAGGTCGTCATCGTCATTATCGATACTCGATTGGGTGAGATCGGCCTCTGACTGAGAGTCCACGTTGCTGCCCTCGAATGCGGTGCCGTCAAGTGCCACATTATAAGGTGAGGTCAGGGACCGCTCGTGTGGCTTGGACACTGCAGACCACCAAGTAAAATCCCGCTCGACTTCACCACCGGAAGAATCAAGAATTCTCAAGGCTTGTTGCCATATCTGGTCAGAAGTGAAGCCGTCGACATAGAGTTGCTTGAGCTGTAGGACCTGGTTTGTAAAATCTTCCTCAGCTTCGGATCTTTTGCGCTTTCTGTTCCTGCGTTGGCGCGCACATTGGGAATCGCCGATCGACGAGGCTAACGAATCTAAATAGTACTTCACAGAGCCGGTGATAGTGGTTTTCAACTCCGTCGTGGGTTGAAGGAAAATCCAAGGAGTTGTCAATCCTGATTTGAATGAAGAAATTGGTTCATAAGTTTCGACTTCAGGAAGAGCTCCAGATTGATCGGGAACGAGGTTCTTCATGGCGTGGTACACGCCTGAGATGAGACAGCTGTATCAAAGAAAAAGAGATGGAAAGTGAGGTAAGGAAAAAAGAAGCAAAAGCTTTGAATGGTAGGTGCAGAGAGATCAGCCTGATATTTTGAGCTAGTGGTGGACACTTCAAATAATGGCTTGCGGAAGCCGAAAGTCGCGGAAAAAAAAAAAAAAAAAGTTAATGAAAGTGAAAGGGGAACTAAGATAATCAATTACTTTGGGTCATAAAGTGGGGACACTGGAAAGAAGGCAAGCTCGGGCCATGACCATTTCCTTTGGCCGTCTCACTACAAAATGCTTTTTGTGATGGATGGTGCGTTGCATGGCAGATCTCCTCATATAGCAGACAAACGTGGGCATACGAGCCGCGTATATCTATATAGAAGATGGGTAATCTGTCTCATACTGATGAAGTCGATGATTTCTACTCATTGTTGGTTTGGTGCGCTAAAGAGAATGCTTTACCGACCTCTAACCGGTACGAATCATGGCCTGAAACATGCGCGAAGGTATTGTTTGCAAAACATAATCCGAACAAGAAAGGCCTTGCCGAGCGTATGTAAATCTGCAGAAATGCCCGTAATATTTTATTCCCTCTAATCGGAGATACTACCGCTATTGATGACTTGCGATATAAGGCTGGTGGGCATACTTTACTTTATATGAGCCCCGCGGAAAGTTAACACTAGAAATGCCATTTCCACTGTCACTGGTGAATCGGACTCCTTTCATGTATCAGCATGCCAGAAATCTGCGTCTCTAATATTGATGATAAGAGACTTGTCGTAGTATAGTCCTTCACCTTGCAGCCTCTAGGTATATTTGAACATGCGAAGAAGCAGTCTAGCAATAAGTTGCATACTATGCATGCAAACAGTGGTAATGTCTCGATCTGTTGAAATATTCTAACATTACGACACGACATAGTCTAGATATGAGACGTTTGAGTGTGAGCCGTACAAGAGCGCAGAATATCAGTGTGAATTTGCAGCCAAGTCCCTAACCCCGTTCTAATATACCTAGGAAAGTGGCTTGCAGTTATTGCATACAATACATGTTGGCCGGATCTCCTTGCTCAACCATGAACATGACACACCTGGTATGCCTGTTGGAAGTTAAGCCTCCACTTCCCTTTTATCCCTCCCCCTATCAATTGCGCGCTGGTAATGTTCGGTAATGCACGAGAGCACATACTAGATTTCCAGGATAGGACTTCTTATACAGTCTACGTCCGAACCTGTCCGTTCCAACCCTTGAGTAGAATAGGGAGGAAGTAATTCCAAGTTGAGCTTAACGGCGGTACCACATGCGGGTGATCCTTGTGTGCCGCATCTTCTTTTGAAGTTGAAAGATTCCGTACATCAATGCTTCGGAGGTCGGCGGACCTTGAGTTGTTCCCATTAGCCGACGTCATTGTAGGAATGGTAAAGGGTATACAAACATCCGGGAACATAGACATCCACGGGTACGATTCTATCGCATCCGCGAACAACAGAATAACTGTAGTGGTAATAACCACCGCCATTGGCACAACTTCCCATACTGACGACCCAACGAGGGTCAGGCATTTGGTCATACACCTGTCTGAGAGCGGGAGCCATCTTATTTGTCAATGTGCCTGCCACGATCATGACATCCGATTGCCGAGGTGATGCTCTGAAAATGATTCCAAGACGATCCTGGTCATATCTGGGGGTCGAAAGATGCATCATCTCAACTGCACAGCAGGCGAGACCAAAGGTCATGGGCCACAAAGAACTTTGGCGGGCCCAGTTAGCGACTTGGTCAAGCGTGGTACTACACATGGATCAGTATAAAGTACCCATCTCATGCGTCTTAGGCAACAAACAGGACATATTGCATAGCACCCTCCTTTTTCTCCTGGCTCGGTAAGGGCACCTCTTTCCGCACCTTTCCAGAAGCAGTGAGCGCTTGGCCAGACTGTCCCCGCTGTTCGATTGCTGTTGCCGACTTAATTGAAGAGGTCGAAAGGAACGAAACTGGCTGAATTCGGAAATGGCAAGATGTGATACGCGGTCGCACTACATGAGTTCAGCAACTTAGTAGTAACAATTGGAGAACACATACCATGAAGAGCGCTTGGGATGGCGCCTGGAATGGCGCGACCGGTGAGAGGCAGCATGGCTGTATCGCTCCCAGTAACAATGTGCACAGAGATAAAGAGAAGCGACCTTGCGTGCAAAACCCGTATGAACTGTCAGAAGAGTGGAGGCTTGTAGTCCAGTCTGTCAATGGTGGCAAGATATTATCAGGATAGTCGAGGCTCAAATTAAGAGTATCATTCTGCACTATTGGTACTAATGGAACGCAATTTCCGTAATTTACTGTAACAAAACCTAGTTAAGGTCGTTGAATCCAGCGTCTCGCATTTACTCTGTGTATAATACCGTATTGGCACGTGAGCCACGGACAGCCGGCTAACAATGTGCTAGTGTAAGTTAGATTCTAAAGAGCTTCATTGGCTGGAGTCATCAAAGCTCGGTATTCGAATCCCTCCTTATCTGGACAGCGACATGGATCTCATCGCTGCGTGGAGCAAAGTACTGTAGATGGATGGATGCAGGTGAAGAGCATCCCGTAACAGAAACACCAATAGTTCCAAACTATTGATAGGTGTCCTAGCAGCCTGGGCTGTATGAAAGATGATGCCTTACTAGAACGGGCGTATCTGAATAGGATATTCACAATGTGGCTCTCTTAGAAGTCGATATCATATAGTATAAGGTCGAACAACGCAGCGAGAATCCTTAAACCAAGATGTTGGTAATGGCTTTGAACGGTAACCATGAAATTTCGAAGATGTATGAAGTCAACAGATAATGGAATCCACAAGTGGAACAGCTACAAATAATAACCATCCTACGTTCGAACTTCGAAGATTTAACCAGACCGGATTCCGAATTATACGTACTGTGTAGTCAATATGAAGATATGCTGGGTCAAATTTTCCTGTCCTCTATCGCGACTGTAAGACTGAGTAGAGATGAATAGTATACAATGGTCAAGAGAGTAATAATTGGGGGGAGGGGGGGAATTGACCAAAGCTTTAATTACTATATTATACTTTTGTCTTTGAAGTGAGGGGAAAAAAAAATAGAAATAAAAAGAAAAGAAAGATGGTTTTAAGCTTTGAATTTGAACGATGGTTCAAGCGTATGTATCAATCAATGCATCTCTTCTGCCAGTGAAGAATATTTAAAGAGGTGGCTCGAACATGTGGCTGATCCGCATGTGGATTACGTTAGTGAACTAGTATGGGGTTGTTCATGGGTGGGTTAGGTATCATTGACATAACTGGCTCAGCGCCTACCTTCTCCGAAACACAGAAGCCAGGAGATCTCGAGTCCCAAGAACGATGAAATTGATGATTTTTATCTGAATTCAGTGGGATTGATTTCTTCAGCAGGCCATAACTGACCTGGAGCTATGGCTTTGCCTAAGATTGCCTGTATCGGCGTCATTGGGAAAGCTGTGAGTCTTCATATCCTTCATCTGCTGCGCCAGTCTTAATGTATGAATCAGGACAATCCACTCCACGTGTCGCTGTTCCCTCCCTATGTGGAGTCCACTATTGAGTTCTCTTTTATATTGAATTCCTGCCTTGATATCTTTGAAATACGCCGCAAACAGACGTCAATTGACCAAGATCTTGGCCTTTTGCAGGCTGTGGACGAGAGACTTGCAGCATATGGCTGGCTTTCTACTACGGGGGTAAAATTCCTAGTTATAGTTGACTTGATTGGGCAGCCCATCAGTGATGAAGATCCTAAAGGTTCCACCAAGTCGGGGTTAAGGGAATTTGACCTAAAAGCAGTACGTTTTTGTGTTTTTCTCCTGCATTCGAAGTTCTACATGTTGAACAATCCACAAGATCTTGGGCTTCAATCACTGATGGTGCCCACCTACAGGTTTTCCGAACTCTCCAAACAGCATATGTGCAGTTGCTACAGAATCCGTTTCATCGACCGGACGAGCACATGGCCACAGCGAAAGCCGTGTCATCTTGCAGTTCGCAGATCACAGATCAGAGGTTCATTAACGAGGTCAACCGAATTGGAAACTCATGGGTTCCGATTGTAGCCTCCCTTTAAAAAAAGACCATGAACCCATGCTATGTGCAAACAACCTACCGCTCTACACGTTATCTTCGAAGAATCTCGATTTTGAAGATCACTTGTACTTTTGATGGCTCCCACCCTTGGTATCCTCCAATAATAATGGGTATAACACGCACAGGATTCGGTATAGCATTCACTGATGTACGGCACTCGTAGGAGACATCTATCGACCGCAAAGTATCAGTTGATAGTATCCAATGTTTACCCAGTGCTTTGTATAACTCTACATTGTGTACTATGATAAGTGTCCAATACGTGATAAGAGGATTGAGTCAAGTCGATTTGACCAATCTGGTCCTTCTGGGATGGGTATATAGTGAAAACACAGCTTGTGGGGCAAAGCATCTCGCCCGATTCATCCATTTCAATCATGTGGAGGGTCACTCTCAGTCTTGTCCAACGCAGAAAGGACATTTGCAATCTCCAAGGGGTCAGATATAGACCAAACACCGCCGCCTTTCACCATAACCTTACCGACCTCTTTCCCAACCAGATTTCTACCGACTTTCCCAGGTCCGATGCCGATCCAGCGTGTTACTGCATGCGTCTGATCTAGGTATCGAATACTGTCCCACCATTTTACCGTATCGACACACTGCTGTGATAATAAATACCTGAGTTCTTCCTTGGAATTGAACGGTAAGCCCGAAACGTTGGAGATACATGGCATTCGTGCTGGGAAATTGATATTCATATGTTCAAGGGCACATTTCATGTAGTTGGCTGCTGGTATCATAATGGGACTGTGAAAGGGACTTTCGCATCTCAGTCTCACCGCACGGGGATCGTGTCCTCCAAATTGACGAAGCTGGATAAGCAGAGCCTTTATTTTTGCAATATTGCCGCTCAGTACAATCTGATTTCTTGAATTGATATTTGCCACCATGACTTGTTGAAATGCCTTGTACCATTGGCTCGAATCATCTTTCAGACTCGATGGGCCAAGGCCAATGAATTCGTAAATGGTAGAAAGCAATTCACTCATGTGTTCGGGCTCACAGACAAGTGCTATCATGCCAAATTCATCGCCTGATCTCTTGATAGCAGCTCGCGTGCACTCGGACATTATCTCTGCACGCCGTCTCACCAACTTCAGTGCATCGCTAAAATCGAGATAACCTCCAGCAACAAGTGCTGAGAACTCCCCCAAGCTATGTCCAAGTGTAGCATCCACTCGTGAGGTCGTCATGAAGCCGAACTCCTCTTCAAGTATTCGAAGGATTAGTATTGACGTTGCCATTATAGCCGGCTGACAATTTTCGGTTTTATCGAGCTCCGAATTTGGTCCTTCGGAGATGATGTGAGACAGTTTGAAGCCCAGGATCGAATCCATTTCGTCTAGGAACATGCTGGATATTTTTGGGAACCTCTCAACCCAAGAACTTGCCATTCCCACACGCTGTACACCATGACCTACGCGGTAAAGGCGTCAGAACAAAGGCGAGTCCAAAATACAGGGTATGCAAACCAGGAAAGAAGAGAGCAGTGCGCAAGGCTGTCTCTGCGGTAATGGGGCTGGCATAATCTCGTTGGAAACTAGGTTTTAGCTGGGTACGACAATGAGCATGGTATCGGGGTGCTTTTATGCCAAAAGATAGTCTTGATTTCGATGATAATGCAAGCATGTTTTGTAGGCCTTAGGAAGATAAATGCCCTTGCTGTTATCGCAGGACATAGCCTTCAAATGCCATCGGCAAATGTTGATATTTCTTACAAATGAATTTGCGCTGCCTTCAAATGTAAGTGCAGCAACAGTAGCCGTCGCAGGAACAGAAGGGTTCTTGTGTAGTCACGTGATTTTGAGTACCGACAGCCCCAGATGGTGTCAGTGATAATGGGGATTCTGTACTAACCTTCAAGATTTCGGAGCTGTTGAACGCTGGGTATGTAGATTAATGGGTATGTATCATCTGGCTATGTATTACTGGACTAGTCACCGTTATTAGAAGTGTCAGGATGTAAGAACGGGATGAAGCTACAGTGTCTACATAGTATCACAATTCTTTCTGAAATTCCATGTTTTTAACAAAAATAGTACTATCCAACAAGTATAAACAGGGACTGAAGGGTGTTTACATCACTAATCAGGTAAGTGCGATTCTGTTTAGGAGAACTGGCTCTGCAGGTATCTATGGGTGTCTGGTATCCTATCAGAACTGCTGACCGCCTTCGGAGTGAATTAACCTCCATACCTAGTACCTATCAATGTCGCTATTTAAATAATATATTGTTTACATATAAAATTTGAAATCATTCTCCATCACGACTGTGGCGTGTTACGGTTACTTTTCAGATGCGCGCTTCTGGGCCACGAAGTCTACACAGGGTCTTCTTAGTACGCAATTAGCTTGTGTCTGGTCCTAAAAAATGTTTGTACCTAAGACGCTTTCATCCGCAGCTTCTCAGCGCAACCCCCGGAGGCGTCAGCGTACGAACTCAGACGAATCACCAAAGCCTCCAAGTGCGAAAAGACAAAGATCTAATCTCCGTCAAAAAGACTTAGAACTAACGTCTCAAAATCTGAACAACAATCATACCAAGCTCGACTTTCAGGAACGCCAGCCGTCAACTTTATCTAACGAAGGCGTCGCAAATTCAGAAACTGCTCATTTCCACAGAAATATTCCTATACGAGCGATCAAAAGGCCTGAGAAGCGCGAGGATGAAGGTGAAGGAACAGTGGTGCTTGTACGTGGTTCTCGATCACTATCCAGTCTACAAGATCCTTGGATCACCCATCTGACATAGGTTTATGCATAGTCAAAAACGGAGTTCTACACCGTCACCCAGCTACCCACTTTGCCAGACCAGGTGCTTGGTTTACAAACAGGCGAGTACAGCTGACCCCTCCGCCACCGCAACTATAATAACACAGCATGCAGGGCCTTTCAGAGGTTCATTTGGAACTAGTCATGGATTTGCTTTAGCCTTAACCAAATCGCATGCCATTGTCTGGGCATATTCGACCACAACTCCATCGCCTTCTCCCGCAGATGTTTACACCCTTGCAATACCCGAGTCCTGCAAAGAGCCTGGTAACACTGCCCCCCTTGGGTTGCTCTTATCTACCGTTGCAGGCGGTGTTCCGGGGTTGATGGTGGTCATGCCATATACCGGAAAAATCATATAC